TGCGAATGAGGGCCCGGCTGTCGATAGGAGTGATTGCCAAAGAGCCCTCCCTCCATATGGGCCCAACATGTGGAATCTCGTGGAAGAGTCGCAAGATATCTGCTGGGAGAGGCAGCCGGCCAAGAGCCTTCTTGGGCACCTTAGACACATCTGTCTTACACGATCCCCGAGTCTTCCCAACCGAGGCGGATAATCATGATGATAAGGCGTGGATCCAAACCAGTAACAATTTGTCACACTGGTGGGGGGTGATGGATGGCATGCGGGAGATGCCTCTTGATATGTACGCCTTCCGTAATACTACCACGAATTGGTCAGTCTGCGGGCTTTATCTCAACATGACGATTTTGCAACGTACCATTTGTGCGGCCTGCATGACGTCGTCGCGGGTGAGGCCTTCAGTCCTTGATTCATGTGCCGTGTTGGCATAGAAAGGCACATCAGCCATACATGCTGCGTATGTACACACACGTCGCCGGTCCCGAAGATCTGGATCGGGCAATGAAAAACGGGCTGGTCGTGTTTGCGCGCTCTTGCGTCCAAGGCAACGGCCAACGATGCCCCCCCAACCAACCTATTCTGTTTGACGTCCGTGTTTCCCTGCGTAGATAGCGAGCCGAGGGGCCTTGGCATCGTCTCTCGTCTTTCCATCTCTCGTGTCCCTTGACAAAATCGGGGAGTCGTCTGGAGGTCGCGAGGCCTCGAGCTGCATGTCGTCGCGCCCGAGGTGCATGATGATACATATCCCAGGACACGCCCCTTGGTTCCAGCTACTGCCACTCTCTCGATGCCTTATTACTGCAGCAATGCCCAGTGGCTCCCCTCTGGCTCGCCATTACGTCGCAGACCGATAATAGGACTCGGTAAATCGTCACACAATGCGCAGGCTGCGTTCCAAGGGCTTGCTATCGACAGCCTCATTCGAATAACCCTGACGCCATTTTTTTTCCTGGCGAAATTGGGTGCCGAGTAGCGATAATGTGCAGGCCGAGTATGGGAGTTGGCTTGGGAAGGTTTGTCCGACCACTTGAGCAAACTGATGTCAACTGGGAGTTGCAGGCCGCTGTTGCCCAATGTGCCCAATCAGACCCATCACATTTCCATCTCTACTAGGCGGCGACAAAAAAGGAAATTGCCCAAGTACTGACTTTATCTATGGAACCGTTCTTTCCCTCTTTTCCTTCTGGCACGGAATCCATGCTGATCCCAGTGCCTGTACTAATTGCTTATCCCCCTCCAGTTTGTGTTGCAGCGTCTTCTGCCCCAATAGCTCCGCATAACTACTAGTACCTGGGCATGTAGTACCCAGGCCGATACTCTGGCACTATGTATGTCCTTTGCTACTCCGTGTGTCGGTGGGCATTCAGATATGTAGGGCTGATGAAAATACTGATACGTGCCAATTGGGTGTGTAAGCCCTGCTGCCCCTGGATGTCCATGTCGCCTCGTCTGCTTCTCCATGTATGCATCCATGACGGCCGATCCGCTAGTTGCATGCTGCCGCAATCCGCAGGCTGTCTGTCAACTGCTTGCCGCCTATTTGCTCAGGTGCCCTTCTCCCGTGTGCCCTCATGTCATGTACTCTGATGTGCTCTCATGCACGTTTGCCGATTGGGGGGCTGGGCCACGCTTCTCCCGTCAAGCCACGTGGCGGTGCGGCTACGTAATGGTCACGTGATGGGAACCGAGCCCCTGGAACGGAATTCGATTGGGGAAGGCGCCACATCTGCTGACCCACCAGGCCTTCTCCACTCTCCAACTCCCCACTCTCCACTCGCCGTTGACGGCTAAGCATCCTCCCGTCTTTCCGACTTACACATGACATTAGTGTCGTGTAAACGATTGCCGTCGGCGCGGCTTGGGTGACAAGTTCGCCACAGACGCTTTTGTTCATGTGATCTCTGCCCGTGTCGATTTGCTAGGCGCTACTCCTTGTCAACTGATAACCCGTCTTTGGTCGATCCTCGTCCAACTGGTCAACTTTGGCCGGCGCTCCGCGTCTTGGCCACCGAAATGTGTCATGACCATTTTCATGCACCTTGTCCGCGTCGCAAACCGCCTTCATCAACGCGCTCACATGCCATTACCGCAAAGCCTTCTGCGTCACCGCATCCCGAGTTCTCCTCCACCTGTTCTTTTTGGGTGGTGAAAATTTAAGCACGGTCGTTGTGGCGTTCTGCCTCTATGCCCTTGTTGAGCACCCATGCCACGGGTGAGTCACCGTGGGACCTGGACAATCAGTTCGTGTTGTTTCACATATTTGATGCTTCAATATTCCCCTATTACGGAGGTGCATGCTAAGTGGTGCGCGTTGCCTAGGGATGAGTTATGGACGCAAGGCTGCCTGGTCATTCTATCTAGTTGTAGGCAGACACTTGCTGACGGCATATCATAATTTTGACGAATGGTTTCCAAGTTTCGCCTCAAATTTCAGCCGTGACTGTTGGTCTTCTCGTTCTTGGGGACGTGGTTGGCTAGATGGGCCATTGTGGGCGTCGATGCCACGTCGTCCGGGCACATCGTAGCCAGTAGCTGAATGGCTTGCGTCCTGGGTTGGTATATTTTGTTGCCTGGCGTCGTGATGCTTGTATGTTGAAGCGGCTTGTGTCACTTTCGGTTTTGCGGAGAAAGCAGTCTCGGGGGTTGTTTATACAGACACGCCTCATGATGGATGAGGAATGTTTGCAGGTTCGCCAAATTATCATTTCTGAGAAAGGTGATTTATTCGCACTGGGTTGGTCTTGGTAGCCGTGCTCCTTTTAGTTGTAGATAAGCGGCCGATTGGTCATGAGGGCTGTGGTACAAAGCTCGATGCAGTACCATGAAGCCATGGCGCTTGATGCGATCCCAGATGCAACAATGTAGCGTTGTCATTACCTGTCATGCCCTTTATTAGAGGCACGTGGCATAAGTCGTCAGAGTCTCATTGCTGAAATCTCGACGAAAGTAGGACAGGAGCATCACTTTGTCTCGTCATGGTCAAAGGAGCACTCAATCCCAGTAATATTTTCGGTCTCCATAAGGACTCTATGCCTCTTTAAATCTGTAATGTGGCTGTATTTCCCACCATCTCTCTCGTCGACTTACACGCCCTTCTCATAAGGGAAATATGCTGCTGCCTCTGCATTCGCTAAAAAGCCCATCACCCAGCAGTGTCAAGTTGAACATCCGTCATCAAATTGAGCCAGATTTCTCCTCTAATAGGGCCCGACCATATATTGCCCTGTATAGGAAATATATGACTAAAGTCCTAGCCTTTACTCATATACTAGATACTGATTTCCTGGTTTCGGACTTTGCCACATCACAAAGACCTGATTGTGAATGCTGCGAGTTTACGAAGCCGATAGCTCGGTGAAAGGATTAATCCAGACAGGAGTGGATGATGTGTGGCATAGTTGACGCAATTTGTACAACAGATAGGCTGGGGGATACAAGGCTGGGAGCCGAATATTGCGGACAAATTTCGCTTTTTTTTTTTTGAACCTCGTTAATGGTGGCAGTCACAGCTGTTGCTACTCCGTACACTCCAACGATATGACTCTTGCCAACTCCTGTTTAATTTGTCACTGGTCTCTTTTGCTACAACACAGTCCTTTACGACAAACTTCTTACGAAGAGGCTGGGCAATTTACTCAAGACAGAAAGAAATAAGTACAAGGGACTTCGTAAACTGCTGGTCTATAGGTAGAATATACTGATCAGCTTTTAAGATGCTTCCGCTTGTCCGCGTACTAGAAAAAACGGAGAAACATATACGAGCCTGCCGAGATTTCCATGAGATAGAGTGCTTCTACATAATTAGACACGGTTGTGAGGCAGTTTCTGCCAACGAGTGTAAAGCAGTGACCAAGCTCACGTCGAAGTCCTACGAAGCGAACAGACCACACGAGAATCTCGTACACATTTCTTCACCATTTTGACTTTGCCCCACGCAAATAAACTTATCAGACGTTGGGTGGAGCATTCTATGTACCTTAATCCACGTGTCTGGAAGGATTCCATCTCAATCCTTAGTATTCCACCAAAGGATCTCTGTATCTGCGGGAAATGAGCTAGTCGGCGATGATGATGGGCAGAGGCTTGACAATGCCAAGGTAATGGCAACTTTAGCAATTTCTTTCAAAACGTTTTACTGCAAGAGTACGAGAGCCCAAGGTAGAATTTGTCTCATAATTTGTTGGCCAAGCCCAATCAATCATGCTGCGGTGGTAATCTAGGCAGCTCGGGGAGCCCATACAGCCCGCCACCCGAGATAAACTTGGCTTGAGGATGCATAATGATGCCAACACTGCTGGGAGAAGCGAAGACGGAATACATACGTAGACACTGTGGCGCAAGCAAACTCTATAATGGCCCTAGTATCGTGTCCAAATTGGAGGAGGTACATCACGATCTATGACTGACCTAAACGCCAGTAGTATAGAGATCAAACTTTACGTCAAAGCCAGAACCAAGCCACTCTTCTATCCCCTTCCATGGAGAATTCAGGACAGCTGTCAACCTCCAGTGCAGGAATCTCACATTTCGCAGGAGATACTTGGCAAGGAATGGGAGTATGCCAGGATAGTCGAAAAATATACTGCCAACCATTTCACGGATTCGTATCCGAATAGCAGTGGCCTTCAAGCATAGTTTCTCAAAACTAATTATTTTTCTCATCATCATCATCATCACTCACTTCCCAGGGCACGCATATGTGGTAGAAGTGAAGTGGTGGTCTACGCAAACGCACCACCTTGCAAGACATGTCAAATACGTGAGGAGAATGTGCCACCAAACCAAGTATATTCCCAAGGGTATCCAAAATCCCAGTTGTAGTTTCCAAAGCAAACCCGAAATTCAATCTTTCCAGCTCAGAATCGTGTTTCTGCCCAACTCCCAACTCCCAACTCCCAGGCCCAGGCTCATCAGCCTTTCGCAAGTGCCATGTGCAACAAAACCCAAAGCCCATTCCGCCACATAATACCATGATCCGGGATAAAAAATAAACCTCGAGATCATGCCAAGCTTGCTGGGTGGCAGCGGAGACTGCGGATCCGGAGGCGCTTGAAAGCCTTCTTGAAGGAGCAAACTCGGTGGTTGCTGATGCATCTCAGGCACTGGACAGTGTTGAGCCCCTTGCGGCACGGCTCCTTTGCCACGATGCATTGTTCGCCGCGGATGGCGCAGCATTTGCATCTTTTGTTGGAGGGGACTGCCACGCCCTGAGGGCCTTGGAGGCAGTGAATTCTTCGGTGGTCTGCCCTGTTGTTGTAGGTGCACGACTTGAGGCACAGTAGGCACCGGTTGTCTTTGGTGAACATTTCGTCTTCGTCGTCGCTGTCGTCGTCTCCTGACGCTCCTTCGTCCGAGGGCTCTTCGTCTGAGGCCTCCTGGAGTGGGATATCTTGGACGGGAATGTCTCCGAACTCTTGTTTGATGGGAGTCCCTTCTCTGACATCTCGGAGTGAGATATATTGTAGTGGGATATCTTCCAGGGGAGTGTCCTCGAACTCTTGTTGGATAGGAGTCCCTTCTCTGAGAGGAGCGTCGTAGAGGAAAATCTCTTCATTGGTGGTAATTTCTTCCTTGATGGGAGTCTCTTCTTTGATGGGGGTCTCTCTGGTTGAGACCTGGTAGCTTGAATCTTCCCAGTCCTCTGGAGTCTCAATAGAGGCAAGTATTGTTGATGAGGTGATGCCGCCGAAAGAATAAAGAGGGCCAGCCAAAGGTGCTTCGGCCATGACTGCGTAATGAGAGTCGGCCATGACTTCGTAGGGAGAGTCGGCCATGACTTCGTAGGGAGAGTCTGCCATGACTTCGTAAGGAGAGTCGGCCATGACTTCGTAAGGAGAGTCGGCCATGACTTCGTAAGGAGAGTCAGCCATGACTTCGTAAGGAGAGTCGGCCATGACTTCGTAAGGAGAGCCGGCCATGGTCATTTCATCGAGTTGCTGGTGATCCAATTCGATAGACTCCATTTTTGTTTGTTTTTCGTGTTTGAAAGATGTTTAGTGTATTTGATGAGAGCTCAGTTGGTTGTTTTTATGGTCTGATACAGACAGATGTTTGGTGTATTTAATGAGAGCTCAGTTGGTTGTTTTTGTGATCTGATAGAGAAAGATGTTTGGTGTATTTAATGAGAGCTCAGTTGGTTGTTTTTGTGGTTTGATAGAGAAAGATGTTTGATGATGTATTCGATGAGAGCTCTCAAACCAGTTGGTTGTTTTTTTGATCTGATGCAGAAAGATGTTTGGTGTATTAAATAAGAGCGCTCAAACTAGTTGTGTGTTTTTGTAGTCTGATGCAGAAAGAGGTTTAATGTATTTAATAAGAGCTCTCAAAGCAGTTGGTTGTTTTTGTAGTCTGATGCAGGAAGATGCTCATGTATGTAATAAGAGTTCTCAAAGCAGTTGGTTGTTGTTGTGGACTGATGCGGAAAGATGCTCATGTATGTAATAAGAGTTCTCAAAGCAGTTGGTTGTTGTTGTGGTCTGATGCAAGTTGGTCTGGAGTATGAGAAACAAGTACAAGAGGTGTTAAGCCCAAGAAGGGAATAAAAGACGAATTTTTTTGAATAGTGCTTGTGTATTTTGGGAGCAGAGTAATGTGAGATGAAGACGAGAAGCGATGAATAGGAAACAGAAAGACAGAACCTTTCCTTGGGGGGCAGGGGCCTCTCCATATGGCATTGCAAATGACAGCCAGCTACGAGAAGCCAAGAAAGTTAGCTTGGACATGTATGATGGTATAGAAATAAACTACCTCCGTCCCTGGAGGCTTGACTATAGCGCGGAACTAGAATTTGAGTGCCGCAGAAAGAGAGCATTCTAGAATGGAGAGAGTCTTGATGATAGCACGATCAAGGTAGACACGTAGTTCATCTTTGATGGAACTTGGCCATCGAATGCCCAGTCTGCGACTTGGATCACATTTCGTATTCAGTACGCTCAGCTGGTAGCTGACCAAGTACCAAGATCACATTGAGTATGTTGTATTTGCTATAGAAAGCGCACCCCTTGATCCTATCTGTTTGTGACTCGCCTAGTACCGCCTGTAGACTCATCACCAAAAAAGTATTTGCTCTGGAAGCAGATTTAAGTACTACTTCCATGTGTTTCCATGGTCCGCGAGGTTATCCTGTGGCGGGGGAATACGCCTTTTCATGCAGAGGTATCATGGACTGGCGTCGAGTACAATGTACTCGACTAGGTCGATATGCATATAAGAAAGTTTAGTTGATACGTCATGACTTGAGAAACTAACTGACGGCATTAACGTTTTGCCGATCATTTTCAACGGCATTAGCTTTAGACCAAGGCTTCCTATTTTTAGCAAGAAAATGAATAAATTTGTTCCTGGCCCTGAACTCAGGCTGCTATTCATCGTAATGACAATGATATCAGATCATAAAACACCTTCCATTGTGAAGTGATTTAATGTCACCGCCTTATGCAAGCTTTACGGCATCCTTTGCCTTGCTATGCACAGCAACACATCGGCTGAAATAACGTGATTCCATATCCGTCTTCTCGTCCAAGCTTAGGTGCTGAAGCAAGGGAAATGCACTCGACCATGTCTTGTATGCCGCTCAATGGCGTCATCTTGATTTAGACTTCCAGTTAATCCACTAATTCAAGCTTCACCCATACTATCCAACATCAAGTTACCATGGGTTTTCGTGCGTAAATACTCCTAAAAGGAAAATAGCTGTGAAAAGGCGGTATGCCATTCTCAACCCGATTCACATCCTTCCGTACATCGATTAAAAACATTTGAATCTGTAAGGGTGTCCACTTTAAACCATCTCGAAATGGTCGACGAGTAAGACCTTCCAATCCAGAATTTACTATGTCTCGTAGAAGATGCCCACACTCTTGAAGACGTAGCAGCTTAGCCCAAGGCCCAAGGGGGCATTTCAAGTCCTGGTAGTGGAGCTCCTGGAAGCCGGCTTCAAGAAGCTCCCTTTCGACATACTGCATGCCGTACAGGTCCGATCCAAGAGCCTCTAGTCCAGCAGCCAAGTAGTTCAGAAAGTCTCGCCATGCATAGGGACCATCGCAAGAATTGTCGTCGCAAGCAGCGGCGTACTTGAATTCCTGCACCTCAACATACCCACCTGGTTTGAGGTGACTGTGGACGTAGAGTTAGCCATGCAAGCTTTACGCAACAGCTTGTAGCATAACAATAGCATAGCTGGGTGTTGAAAGTACCTGTAAATTCGCCTCCACATCTCTCTTCGATCCTTGATAGAATGTATCAAGTGTCGAACATGAATGTAGTCCAGCTCATTCTCCCCATAGGTCCACCCTGCCTCGTGCTCAATATCGTCAACCATGAATGATACATTTTGGGGCACCCAATCAGGTTGTATTGGTGACAAGTCCATGCCGTCAAAAGTTGAGTTTGGATACAGGTCCGCCACTGGAAAAGGATGGTCAGTTAAGGAACTATATGGTTGCAGCTACATGAAACTAGAATTACAACTTACTTTCTACGCACCATGCGCCAGTTCCCGTGCCTGACGATATTAGCAGGTGTGGATGATGGGGTGTCAGAGGATCGAAGCGTTGTTTCACTCACCCAAATCAAGAACATACGCGCCTCTCTGAAGAAGCTCGTGTATCGGGGCGAAAAAGTATATTCCCCCACACAAGTGCAACGTCACTACGTGCTTCAGATTGTCTCGGTATTGTTCATTCTCATCATTGGGGAAGGCGTACTGCCCTGCGTGATATGCGTGATATCGTAGGCCCCCATCAACGATATGTTGTCGGACGCTTGAGGTCAAACTGCGGGTATCATCATCAATTTCTTGTCCATCCACATACTCTCCATTTTCTATGCAACGAATGATGGCGGCTTCGTTTGACGTGGCGACGGAGATGGAGGTCCCCCTCGATGAAATCGATGCCGTATCTGGCGTAAATTTGAAGGCCGTGTTTCCAAGCATTTTGCGCGAGTTTCGAATGTATTCTTTTGGCCATACACCAACAAGGTAGTTAAATCCGGAGCTGCTCACGGTGCCGCAGATCTCTTCGTCAAGCGAGACAGGCGATGGGCTTGTTATAAGCAATATGCCTGACCACGTACCCGCTTCTCGAAGGATAGGCTAGATGGTTCTCCTCGCTGTGGAACAAGGACTTGTGTTGGACAAACCCTCTGCCATGGACTCGGTTTCGAGAGGTGGTGCAGCGTGCCGCCTTCTATTCCAGAGGGGTATAAATGGTCATCCAGTGCCCTGTGCTTTGAGTTGACGGATCCGGAATTGGTCAAAGCACAATAGCCTGGTATTTAAATGTGTCTCTCAAATTCCGGCTACACAAAGCTCGGCGCTCGTTAGGGAGTATTGGAAGCGAGATGTGGATGTTCAGTTTCTGGAGACTCAATCCGAATGTCTGACGTTTGATGAAGAAAAACGAGCAGCACCTGGCTCGCAAGGCTAAATACCGCACGGCGACGTGTCTAGCTGTGAGCTTCGGGGGTTAACCAAGGTATGTCTGGTTTGTTCGACTCTGCTCTGCTTGTGCTCTGCTGTCGTTTGTCTTGTTGCAATCGATTGGTCCCACTTGCCACTGGTCCCCGAGATGGGGTAAATTAGTGCCGGACCGGGTGTTCCAAAGTCCAACCGAGGACGGTGTGAGAGAGCAGGAGTGCAGGATTGCGAAGTGTGAGCAAGTATGAACCTTGAAAGCTATGATGAAGCCGAAGGCTGTGACGATGACTGCTGATAGGCGGCGCCTCAAGAACCAGACTGCTGCTGCTGCCCGAGCCAATATTCAATCTGCCAGTCAATATGCACACGTGGTGTGAGGCGAAGACGCTCGGTGTGTTTGGTTGTTGCGACGGGCTGTAGGAAGTCACGCTTGCTCAACCCTTAAAGGCAGGTGCGACCTGGTTCTCGCCAACTGATCGAGGCCGGTTCTTGGCCCTCACGCACCAGACAATCGTGCTGCGGGAATCAAGCCAGAAGACAAGCCAGCGACCTGGATTCCCTCAACTCCTCAATCAGCTCACTGAGCTACCAGACGTCTTGCTACCCGCGCGGGCCGGGGCCTAGGCATGAACCACCAAGTCCGGACAACAGCGGCGCATGCTAATGATGGAAAGCCAGGAAACCCGAAGCCACGTCGCTGCCAGACGGCCAGGACGTTCAGGACTCCGTACGCAAAAAGAGGCGAGTTGTGTGATGCATCATGACAGTCGGCCCAAACTGCTGGAACTCGCTCAAGAAAGCTGCACTTGCAGTCCACATTCGCTCGCCTTCTGCCTACTAGCAAACGGGTGTGGACGCCCCGACGGACCAGGACGCCAGCCCTGCCACACATCCAAGGCCTTTCAGGTTACAGAGACCGCCGTACCCCCGTTGGCGGGAGGGTTGGCGCTCAGAACCCCAGATCAAGGCGCCAGAGACGATACGCCAACCGTGCCGGCTACCATTAAACACACTGGGCGTCATGAGGCTGGATATAATAGACCATACAGGATAGACATTCGCAGCCCACCCTGAACGAGGTTCTACATGGCTTGATGGCTTACTCCCCGTGCCACTACGCCATTATTCGTTCATCAAATGACAAAGGCTGGACGATGGAGCAATGTGCCCACGAAAACATGCGCTAGCCCGCCCCGGTAAACGTGGATCTTATGTTTGTTGGGTCAGGCGTGTTCCCTGTCATGCATTGACCCGTTGCGGTATTCCTTGCCTACCGTTGACCACAAATGGCAATGGCGTATGGCGGAGTCAACCATATCAGTACGCAACTCATTAGTTAAGAGTTGTTACACTGTCTCCTACCACAGAGGGGAGGCGGACCGGCAATCAATTCCATGATCACTCCACTTTGTGCGTATCATATTTACCCAATGTCGCAGTCCTATTTTGTGTTTGTACAAAACGCAGAGATAGCATGAGATTTCGCGCTCCGATGCAATTGGGATTGCTTCGATGGTGCAGACAACGTCATCCCATTAGCAGGGCGATCGTCAACAGGCCACGATGGTGGACGTGAACAATCTAACTCCAACGAGACCGGTTGCCCGTTTCGAAACTACACGTGGGAAATCATAATGGATATGGTATCACAAGAGGTAACATTCTGGCAGAACTTGGGCTACAAGCCAAATTTACGCCAAACCAAACCCTCGGGTCAATTACAACCACAACGAGCTGTCCTACCTCGAGACCACATTGTCCGCCCTGGCGCTATATCCATTTGAAAGTACGATTTGCGAAGCACGCTGTTGGTCTCCAAGAGCTGTTTCTCTCAAAAACTCACCCGACGGGCCGCTACGCACGAATTTCGTCTATCTAATGATCTTTAATTGAGCTTTAAGACACAGAAAAAAGCTGGGGCGTATCAACAGTCGACTTATCAAGTCGCTGCATCACACCCACCCAGGGCTCCCTCCATCTCCAGGCTTTTGCATAAAGCAGTACTACTCTGTGTAGCTATTTTTAGCCTGGCCTTGTTTTTCCAACCATCTCAATTCGGAGTGAGCCAAAAAGAAGGGAAAAGGAAAAACACCAGGATAAATGTGTACAGGTCCACACCGATCACTTCTACCATGCATGTACATATGTACAGCTCACCAATCGCCTTCAGTGGATCTTTTGGTATAGTGTGACACTGCTTTTCTTAGTCCCATCATGTCGGTAGTGAATCGATGAACCATCAAAGTCTGGTACTTTGGTGTCGGCCTGTCCTTGTCCCGTCTTTGGTCGTTCCACAGTCTCACTCGCTTATGCCTCCCCTTGTGCAAACATTTTCCCCAATACGGAGTAGCCAGGACAATAAATCGCATGTAAGTACAATTCATTGTGGTGCGTGAGAAGATGTGCGAGAATTATAATAGTATTTAGTATGTCTCCATCTTTGTAACACCTAGATAGTACAGAGAGATGGCGGGGAGACGAGCTACATGGCCAAGACAGCACAATGTTAGCCGCAATCTCGAACTCGTCAACGTCAGCATGGCTCCCTAGTGTGCTGCGGCGAGAGTGTGAGCCCAGGAATAGGGAGCACTGACTGTCTATAGTCCTAATTTCTCACGTCTTGTCACATCAGCCGCCTTGTTGAATGCCGTCGCGAGCAGAAGGCGTCCGTTTGGTGGTACCACAAGACAAAAGGCAACCAGGAACGGCTGGTAACACATACAGGCCAATACTTCTGACATGGGTCTCACAATTTTTCCCACTGCATGGCCTGTGGACTCTCCGGCACGTCCAAATGTTGCAGGTTTGCCTCCAAGTATCCGGCGAGTCATCGCTTTCCTCCAGACCGCCACCGTAACTGGGAGAACGAGACTACCATGGACGCACAACTTGCGTGGTTCATGTGACGAGGAGCATGCGCCAGGCGATGTATCTGATAATGTACTTGGTATACAAAACCACATCTCGAGCCTATTGCTATTTGCAAGAACAAATTTCGCCAATCACAGTTCACATCATGGGTAAGATTATATGATTTTTGTTTTGTCAACTTTGCTCTCGATTTACCGCCGCACGTGACAAATCTGACAAGAGATTTTCTCTCAGAGCAAGTCTAGAGGTGAAAAGACACAGGACATCCAACCTCTCGCGCGTTATTCAACGCAATAACTCCCAAAACTCCGAATTATGAATCCAAACCTCATCCCAAAGTTAAATGCGTGGCAGCGTCCACCACTCCACTGCGGAAGAATCAAAGTCGATTAATGTTGTTCTTATACCTATGTAACCATTTACAGGACAAGGAGGAGACCGGCAGCCGCACCGATGACGTTGGCAACCACGTTGCCAGCACCAGCGACAATAGGAGGGCCAGTAGGAATAGGGTGAGGGTAGATGGTGCCAGTGCCAGTGCTTCTGCCGGTGCCAGTGTTTCTGCTGGTGCCGGTGCCTGTGCCTCTGCTTATGCCTGTGGGACGGACGGGCTTCACGCAATCGTTGCCTTGGCAGGGAACGGCCCGGCAGCTATCGCCATTGCAAGGAGGGGGGGGTTGAGCCTTGCGGCACTTGTCGTGGCATGGAGGAGGCGGCTTAGGGCAGTCCTTTCCATTGCATGGGGGCGCAAGCTTGCAGTTGTCACCCTTGTGGTCGCAGATAAATTTCTTGTGGCAGTCATCACCAGAGCAGCTCTCATGCTTGCACTCCTCGCCCCTGCAGACAAACTTCTTGTGGCACTCGTCGCCGTGGCAGTTCTCCCATGCGCACTTGCTGTCGAAGCACACAATCTTCTTCTCGAACCAGCGGTCATCGTCACTCGTAGACCACTTGCAGTCGTCGCCCTTGCAAAGGACGAGGCTGCTCCAATCCTTGTTGTAGCAGGATTCAGCGTGGCACTTGGCGCCGTCACAGAGGACACGCTGCTTCTCGCTCTGGCGAGGAATCTCGGGGGCGCAGTAACCGCCGTAGCAGGTAATCTTCTTCTTGTGCCACTCAATCGCCTCTGTTGGGCGAGGACAGGTCTCCGTGACCTTGGTCACGACGTAGGTAGGCTTGCCCACGGGGCAATTGGTGACGGTGGAAGAGCATTTGGTAACGGTGGCAACCTTGGTGGTGGTGATGGTCTTGGTAATAGCACCGCCAGCCTCAGCAGCCTGGGAACGCACGTACATGGAGACGGCCTTCATGGGAGCAGCGCCATCGCGACGCCCGTTGCCACCTCCGTTGCCACCACATGACTGAGCCTGATTGCCTGGGCAAGGGCTGTTGCACATGCCGGCATCGAGCTTCTGAGCCGCATCGGCCTTTTCACCACAGAAGCAGTCCCTGGTGTCTCTTGATTAGCCGAGTCTTGTTCGACGTTTCCTGGCTGGACATGTTGTTCAAAGACGGCTACTTACTTGCCACTGACAGCCATGAACTTGGAATGGCAACTGGCACTGCAAAAGTCGAGGTCCATGTGATCAGTAGATGCAACCTGAACAAAGCTCTTGAAGTCATCATTGGCGGCAGAGCATCCGAGGAGCTCGTAGTCTCCGACCACAGCGGGCAAGGTGTTGGAAACAGCCTTGCCAGCAGTTTCTTGACCGTCGGTCGTGTTGGTGAACATGGCCATGGCCAGGTTGCCCGCGCCGAGGGCGAGGAGTGCGTAACGCATGGTGGGATTGGGGGAAGAAAATGAATGTGAAGGTAAAGAATGAATAAGCTCTCGGGGAGTCCTGTTAGTGAATGAAATCGAGGCTTGGTGGTGACGTGGATGGGAAGGGAAGGGAATGGGGACTTGAGCGTCTGGGGAGATTTTGCGTCGTTTATAACCGCCGAGGACTTTGAATAGTTCAGACGCGTCTCGAATCCGCAGCATCTGCAACACCCCCGTCCACGTCGTTCACATACCGAAGCTCGAGGTTGTGAACTCTGCCTTTGACAAGAATGCTGGTTTGGCTGCATCGGGACACGCCATTGATGTTGTGTCTCAACTGCAATGACCACCAAAGACGTCGACAGGCTGTGCATGGCATGAAAAGAGGGCTCTAGAAGCAAAGCTTTATGTGAGATGATACATGACTGTTGGACTTGCACTGGTTCAAATTCCAGCCTGCGCCAGGCCGCCGCAAGACCAAGGCGCGTATATACTAAACCCCAGGCTCCTCAGCCAAATGCGCATTCGAAGACGCTGTGGCCATCGGGCCATCGGGGTCGAATTTCGACAAACTCGTATGCCATGTAATGTGACGTTTGAGCCGGTCAAGTAGGCACAATGCATTCATGCTATAATCGGGGAAATAGTGTTTGCGCTTTTTTCTTGTCCGTATTCCTTTCGACCAGGATAGAGCTCGAGGTCTCTGTCAATACCACTAGGAGGTACTCCGTATACAGCTTCACACTCCCATTCGTTCATGATCCGTGACGCGGGGGGCCGTAGGCTGTAGTCAATGTGACTAGTCGTTGCGTGCGAGCACTAGCGGACCGAGGACCCGCGTTTGGCGTCTGGCGTTTGACGATCAAAGGGAGCTGCCATCCCTTGATTTTCTGTAGAGAGCCCGAACAAACTTCTCCTCGGGGTTTGTCTCATTTGGCATCGTGGCGCGTTCCAGGAATGTCCCCGTGGAATCGGCACTGCTCCGTGCAAATACAAATGCAAACACGACAATCCGTTGGCCCGGTACGTGGGCGGTCCAAGACGTGGGAGATTGTTCAATTGGCAGGACGTCGTCGTCGGGCAATGGTTCGCAGATGGTCAAGGACCAGGGGAGCGGAGGCAGCGTAGACAAACTTTAATCGATTGACGGCCCAGGGAACCTTGTTGGCGCCTTGAGGGACCGGGAGGCTGCCGACGTGCCGTCGTGGACACGGGTTGGGCGAGTGAGACAAATGCGTGGCTTGGGCGCGGAGAGTGGAGAGGGGGTTTCAGAATTGGCATCGCGAGTCGGTATAGGGTAGTTCTCTGGAAATTGTCAAGTACAGGATACGAAGACACGCTGCTGGGACGGCGGATAGGAGTGGACGACGTGTGTTTGCGTAATTGCATCGGTCCGGTTGAAAAGTACACAGATGGAAGTACATGGCTTCAAGTTGGTTGATGTGAATGATTTTCGGTTTTTGGGAGTGTGATTTGGGGGATTTTCCCAACAATTCATTCAACTACGGAGTATGGCAACTCGACTAGGGACAGTGCAACTGTTGTGCTTGCCAAGAGCAGGGGCGATCTCGAGCTTCCGAAAATAAACCAACTCAGTCGACGGATTTGACACATGCTTGCACATTTGTTTTTCAACAGTCCAGCTGGCTGAGGTGAAACTGCTGAAGACGCTGCTTCGGTATGGATGGGACGCGTTCGACATGTCACATACCTCCCGGGGCTGGATCAAGGGAGGGCAGGGAGATCAATGTGAAAACAAATGCCACGTACATCTACTCCGTACCAGAACCATATTGATGGAGTTGACGGGTCCTATGCGCTCATCTGCTCAGAAGCGAAACAGCGTCACTGAAAGTTTGCCGTCCATGATGGGCTGTAACAGGACGAAAAGATGGTAGGATACACGCGGGAACGAGGAAGATTTGGCTATCTGTACAAGTTGGTGCCCTGACGGGTTGATATCTCGGCAACCAGACCGTCGACATGACCATGCCGTTGCCTCGTCTCTCGGCAACTATTGCTAGAGCTCTGTACTTGGCCGCTCGAGTTGATGTGCCAGAAGTTGGAACTGTCAATGTGAATTTAGCCGCTGGAACATTGAAATTCGACTTGACGTTATCCACCGTTTATGAGCCCCATCCCCACCACGCGGTGCGAGCCGTTCCCTTTTTCAATCGGAGACGGGCGAGAAGAGTAGTTTGGGGTGGCATTGGATGCGGGACGACGATTACGGGGCAGATCCTTGTCGAGCACATGACCAATCACGCGCCCCTCCTCGCTCGGTGGGCTTGCCTATTCCTCCCAGAGGCAGGAGTCGTTTGTTTCGTCAAGTGCCTGGACACGGAAAGGGAAAAAGAGCAGCCCTCGGCACGTCATCTTGCCGCTGATTGATGCTTCCCAAGTCCCAACGTCCATGGCCCATGCAACCGGCTTACGGTCCGCAAAGGGGACGTGTGTTTGGCGCCATGGCCTGAACTGATGTCTCCTCGCGAGGGGAAGAGGCCCCAATGCGATACTACAAGTACCGGCAGATGGCCGACGAGGCAGCTCACGCGGACTCGACTCTCCCGCCCAACAGGCTCGCCCTCTGCACTCGCATCATGACGGGCCACAAGCTGCCATTCCACGCGGACCACATTGGCTCGCTGATACGGCCGCCGGCCCTGTCCAGCCTCCAGGAGCAGGCCGACGCCGGCACCGTCACCGCCGCTCAGCTCCGCGAGGCCCAACGGGACGCCATCGCCGACATTGTCGACAAGCAGCGCGCCCACGGCGTCCGCGCCCTGTCATCGGGCGAGTTCGACCGCAAGTACTACTTCTCGGGATTCTTCGAGAAGCTGGGAGGGTTCCGGCAAGTCAGCCCCGTGCCGTGGGAGCTCGCGCGGCCGTCGGCGCCGCCCATCGCGGCCCTCAAGAAGGCCGGGCGGCAGTACATGATGGCCGCCGTGTGCGAGGACAAGATCGCCTACGACGCCAGCCCGTACCTCGACGACTGGAAGCTCCTGCGCGGCTCGGTGCCCGAGGAGCTGCGCGCCGCCTGCAAGTTCACCATGCCGCCGCCGTGCTACTTCCACCTCCGCCTGGCCCCGGGCAAATCCTACAGGGCGAGCGTCTATCCCGACGACGAGGCCTTCTTCGCCGACCTGGCGAGCGCCTACCGCCGGGAGATCCGGACCCTGTACGACGCCGGCCTGCGCAACCTGCAGATTGACGACCCGACCCTCGCCTACTTTTGCTCCGACGACATGGTCGCGTCCCTGCGCGCCGAGGGCGACGATCCCGACCGCCTGCTGGACCTGTACCTGAGGGCGCACAATGACTGCATTGCCGGCCGGCCTGCCGACATGCATGTCGGGCTTCACGTATGCAGAGGTGAGGCCTGTCCAACGCCGCAGGACGCCATGACATGACTGGCGCGTGCCTAACCTTTTCTCCCTTGTTGACTGGCAGGCAACTTTTCCAAATCGGTGCACTTCAGCGAGGGGTCGTACGAAAAAATCGCCCAAAAGTTCTTCACCACCCTCGACTACGACACCTTCTTCCTCGAGTACGACGACCCGCGCTCCGGGGGGTTCGAGCCGCTCCGCTTCCTGCCCAGGGGCAAGAACGTCGTGCTGGGCGTCGTGACCACCAAGGACGCGCGGCTCGAGGACGCCGAGACGGTGAAGAGCCGCGTGCGCGAGGCCGCGGGGATTATCGCCCGCGGACAGGGCCGGAGCGTCGCCGAGGCCATGGCCGACATTGGCATCAGCCCGCAGTGCGGGTTTGCCAGTGTCTCCGTCGGCGCAGATGGCATGACGGAGCAGAAGATGTTTGACAAGCTCAGGCTGGTTGGTGATATTGCCAGGGAACTGTGGCCTGAAGCGTCGCCTGGTGTGAGTGGTTCGATGTAGAGTGTTGAGCCGAAACAACGCCGGTGATGGTTCTAGGAAATGTCCGTCTGAACATGACGTGCCGCGAAGAGTCGTGTACAGCTCGTAGCTACACGGAGATGTTATCTGTGGCTAGTTGTAGGAAGGCCGAGATGATTGGTGTTGGCGCACATCTTGAAGCGCGTTGCTCCCGGAAGGTTACTGCATTGATAACCTACCCTTTTATTCTTTTTTTCTGTAGCTGCTGCGTTGTCTCTTCTGAACCAGTGTTTCTGTGTATCACGGAAGTTAAACGAAAAATGTAAACGGGTGCAATTAATTGATGGTGTGATGTAGCAAGCCACCCAACAAGGGCATTGGACGACGAAGCAACGTCACCGGATCACCTCATCACCTCGGGAGTCGGCAACTACTAGACATATTCCTAATTCCGATTACACAACAGTCAGTCAAGCTCTCAAGGATATAGTCGCCAGGTCTACTCTCATGTAATTACTTGTCGTGTGGCCGTCGCTCACTTTATCGTCCCAAACCGGCAACCAATCGGACAAAACACCCAAGGCGCCATTTCGACGCAACTCGCACCACCATTTCGTCACCTAGAGGAATATTCGTGAAACGGCTCCTCCTCTATTCATCTCCAGCACCCGTCCAGCTCTCACGATGGTATTGACCTGATCAGCCAGCCCGCACAACTTACAAGTACACGACAGATTTCAAGTCAAGACGAGCAAACATTGAAAGGCTACCTACCCCGCAACAGCGGCCCACAGAAGCTCTCTCGAGCCGACGAAAACCATTGGGAAAGAACCAGGCCTTTCGGTTGCCGGTATTTCGCCTCCAAATTCATTGACTTCAGATTTCTTCTCAAGCCTTGAATTAAATCCCCACCAGCACACCGAGATAACTTTCACCGCTATCCTCTTGGCCCTGGCTCGCAGACAAGATGCCCATCTCGAGAAGCTTGGTCGTCCCCCCCTCCGCCAAGCAGCTCCCACTGCCTGATTCCGCCTCGAGAGCCTTTCTCGTCTTCATCTCCTCGGAAGACCCCGAGACCAAGCAGCCGTGGTGCCCCGACGTTCGGGCCTCGTGGCCGCACATCCAGGCCGCGTTTGGCGGCGACGAGGCACCGACCGTGTCTGTGGTTCAAGTTGGCCAGAGGCCAGAGTGCGTCTCCTCTCTTCTCCTTGCGACACACGTCGTCCGTGGTGGAATAGTGCTACGAGGACAGACAGCTGACACGGTGACGTAGATGGAGGGACCCCGAGAATGTGTTTCGGAAGAATTGGAATGTCAACGGCGTCCCGACGCTTGCCAGGTATGAGCGTGTGAATGGCGAGATTGTCGAGACGGCTAGGCTGGATGAGACGGGCATCATGGACGAGGCCAAGTTGCGAGGGTTTATTGGTTGAGTTGACTACGGTATAGGCGGGGGGTACTGGTGGCGGAAGAAACACAATAGACGGCTTTACAAGTCTAGGCTGGGTATAGTAGTTACTACTGTTATACAATGCGTGCGTCGTGGTGACGCAAACAAAGGTGTGGATATTGCCACGGTGAATTGCCTTGAATAAAGGACGATGACTCTCACGGATACGTGGGCTGTTTCCCAGGCTCCAGCGATAAAAACGCCCTTTCTGGTGAAATCGCTGGGACGGACCACGTCATGAAGGGTGCGCCGGCTGGGAGAGAATAGTTTAGCGGCATCCGGGGGAAACGTGGCTCTTTTGAAGCGGCGACATTTAAATTGACGCCTCGCCGACAGCCAGAATGGAAATGATTTAGTCATGAAGAGCATTGCCCGTGTTGTCCGTCGGCGAAGCGAGCTCCAACATTGAACACCAGACACTAGATTCACCACCAACATTGAAGTGTCAGTCACGTCCCTGCTTGTGACTTGGTAGTATTTGCGATTGATTGATCCCTGTCGAACCCGTTGAATCTGGCAGCGTCCGCGACCCCGGGAGGGTGCATCAGAGTTTAATTGGCACCAACGTCACGGGTGCACACTGCAGGGCTTCAATGTTCTGGATGACTGCATGATCCATATTGATTGACGCGACAGGGATCAATAGGTCACAGGTGCCCCAGACGCCCTGCTAAATCCGTCATCGCCCAGCGCCTAGCGCCGCCCAAGACGCCCTGGTCCTCATCGCATTGATCTCTCAAACGCTGCCGGCCTCAAACTTCCTCCTCCCCTCCTCACCGAGCCGGAATATCCATCGTTGTCGATTCGTCGCTCACTCTTTATCGCCTTGGCCCTCCTCCGCCCGCGGAACATACAAAGCGTCTTTGTTTCTCATCCAGAGAGTACCGGGGCCACTGGCCTCGACGAAAAAGCCGCGGCCATGTTCGACCTCTTTGCCATGCTCTTATCGTACGTACCCAGCTCTGTCTGCCCCGCCGCCATGTCGTCACAAATCCACCCCGCGTGCTCATTTCTATACTCTCGTGAATGCCAACGCCAGACATCGCGTGCTGATCCGCTCGTCGCAACAGCTCCGTCGCCTCCTTCCTATTCCCCATCTTCGCCTCCTACAAGGCTCTCAAGACGTCGGATCCCGCTCAGTTGACGCCATGGCTCATGTACTGGGTCGTTTTCAGCATCTGTTTGCTGGTTGAGTCGTGGCTATCCTTTATCCTCTTCTGGTGCGTACCCCAGCCGTCAAATGTGAAACAAGCCGGTCAACTTACACGGCCTTGGCCGTCATAGGATCCCATTCTACGGCTATCTCCGCCTGCTCTTCTTCCTCTACCTCATTCTCCCTCAAACCCAAGGCGCCCGCGTTCTCTACGAGGAACATGTCCACCCTTTTCTCGCAGATAATGAAACCAGCATAGACGAGTTCATTGCCAGCGCCCATGAGCGCCTCAAGGCCGCTGGCATGACCTACTTCCGCCGCGCCATCGAGTACCTCAAAACCAACATCCTGAACCTTCCTCCCTCGGAACCCGAACCCTCGCCGTCCCCATCATCCGCTGGGCCGCAGGGCTACACGCAGTCGCTGCTTGCGCGGTTTAGCGTCCCGACGACAAGATGGGCCGGCACCGCCAACACTGGTAACGAGTTCTACAATCTGTTGGCGAGCGCAGTTTCCGCCGCTGCTTCCAACGCCGGCGGGTTTGCCGGCAGTCCCGGCGGCTCGTCTGGCAGAAGCATGACTGACTCGGGAACTCTGATCCCCCCCAACCTGCGAGGCTCGGCCGAAAAGATGAACTTTATCGCTGCTCAGCGTGAGCGCCTCAATATTGTCTTGGGCGCCCTGGATCGCGAGGCGCAGCAGATTCAACGTGATGGCACCGGAGCCTCTCACACCGTGCCACCCGGAGGCTTTGCGCCAACCGGCACACACGACATGGACGACGACCAAGTTACTCAGCGGCCACCCAGTGGACTCAGCACGTTGAGTGCCCTAAGCAAGAGCCGCAGCGAGACCGACTTTGAAAAGGTCGAAGCCGAGAGCGGGGCGGAAGATGATGTGGCTCTTCGTCGGCGCAATGTCCCGTCCGGCACGGCAGGAGGTTCCTGGATGCCATGGGGCTGGGGCGGCACTGGTGATGCGACTCCTGGTCCGGGAGGGCCCAAGGAAGATTAGGAGCTTCGGTCGCAATGGGCCAGAAAGGAGTTTGGGATACATGTGTAGAATTCGCTGCTCCTTGGTTTAGATATCCCTCTTTTTTTTTATCGTTTCTGAGGCTTGATCACTCTCTGAGCCGACATGCCTCCTAATATACGGTCGCGGCCGGCCAGTCGGTGCCCCCCTGCCTTCAACTTGACTAGACTCTCCGTTCACACAAGATTCGACTTGCAAAGACTTGAAGTCAATGGCGAAACTCCGTCGCTCATGCATTACCTACCAAAACGCTACATCTAAGAGACCTTGTCGCATATCGTACACGCACAACCGCCGCCCATCCACTACCTCGTCTAATAAATGTCTATCCCCGGCACAGTAGCCCTCCGTGATTAGATTATTTCCTCTACTTCGCCAGGCTATAGGGGTACGAGACCTGCACCTCGCCCTTCTTGAACCAAAACGCCTTCCTCTTCTTGGTGGTCGCGTGCTCGACCCACGCCTGCTCCATGTGCGTCCTCTTGAACCACCGCAGGAAATGGGGATCCCAGAGCTCCGAGCCGATGCCGAGGTCCTTGCAGCAGCGCATCAGGGCGTTGGACTTGCACCCCTCGACCGAGGAGGGCAGCTGGTCGGGCGAGAAGTAGGCGTTTTCCCCCTGGGCCTGCGAGACGAACCTGCCGGCTGGGTGTCAGCAACGTCCGCACGGGGTGAAGAAAGAAGAGAAGGGTTTTCCACGTACCGGCCGTCGACGATGAGCGCATACTCCCTCGTGACGATGGAGTTGCCGACCACGGCGTCGCCCTTGGGGATCATGCCCCAGCCCATGGGGCCAAAGGCCTCGTTCAGCCGCCGCCGGTACTTGATCTCGGGGAGGTAGACGACGCCGTCGGGCTTGACCTCGATGTCCTTGATGGCGAGCGGCGCCATGAGGGCCCGGAACTGCTCCTCCGTTACGGGGCGGGACGATATGCCGTGGAAGCTGTTGGCCCAGTCTACCGCCGGTATGCTCGCGGCGTCGAGGGGCGGCTGCGACCCTTCGGCCCGGTAGGCGATGGTCCTGGGCTCATATATCACGTCCGCCTCGGTCAGGGCGGAGCTGGTGCTGGAGCTGGTGCTGGCGCTGCGGGCGGGTTTGGCCGCCGTCTTGGCCTTGGCCCATTTTGAGGCTGCGGGGGCGGGTTTCGAGGCCGCTGCTGGAGTTGGCGAAGCCGGAGTTGGCGAGGGTTGAGCGGCCGGCGCAGAGGCCTCGGTGGCATGGAACCGGGCTGCGAGAGGGAGGGACGGCGCGCCGGTGGCGAGGGCTCGTGCTGCCGCTGAGGCGGCTCGTCTGGAGAGCATCATGGTCTCATGTGGGCTTGTTTGGGCGCATGTAACGGGATCGGGGGGCGTTGGCGATAGGCGGCGGCGGCGGCGGCGGTGTTGTGCGGGAGAATGGCCAGGAGGAGTTGATGTTGAAGCGGTTTGGAGATGTGTAGCTGGAGGAGGAGGAGGAGAAGATGGGAGCTTTTCCCTGTGAGTTTTTAGATGGGAGCCCCACACAAGGTGTTTTTGTAATCATAGCTTGACCAAGGGGTCGGGGACATTGCATTGAAAGTGGTGATGAATTGATGGCAATGTTGCATATGGCTACACATATATTTATATATTTACACAGTGCTGCTTCAAAGTCACGCATCTTTGCTTGATGTGCGCTCGTCGTTTCCATGACGCTTCCAGCATTGCTTGAATGCCTCCATCTGAGAGGCGGCACGTCTGGTCAGTGACACTCTGGAACAGAAGCGCGCGGGGATAACAAATGGTCTAGTCTAGCATTGTTCGAGAATCGAGGGAATTGAAGCTTACCTCTGCGGCGCAGGCCCTCCAATCCTTCTTCTCAAAGTAGCAATCGGTCATTTTCATATTCTCATCTACAAACACGTCAGTCCATGACACCAAACAAAAGTGTCTCCGCTTGCCCCATCACGCGCCGGAAGCAAAACGACTCCCAGCAGAATTGAAAAAAAAAAAAAAGGACTGATGCATCGTCAATTAGAAACAAGACTACTTACCTGCACATCCAGTGCTGAATATTCTCTTGTCCCTGCATCGCAATTGTGTGAGCGTCAGTGTGTCGCGGCATATCATCGGGGCCAGAGACGTTTCGAGGCAGATGGCCACCCCCAACAAACGGTAGGAGCGTGAGAAAGCCCACTCACTCACCACTCATCCGGCTCATCATCATCCACGGGCTCCGTCATAGACGAAAGTTTGCCTTGGTCCTGGGCCATTGCTGGCTGATCCGGTTCTGGGCGCGACGACTGCGACCCCATTGCGTACCCTTTGGTGTCGGGCAGTGCAGAAGAAAAAGGCAAGTTACAAGTTTGGTGACGGAGGAGGGGAAAATTGTCGACTTTCCGCGGGCGCGACCATCTCCATCGGCAACTTTTGGTTGAGACCCTGAGGCATCATGACGCCCCGGCGGCTCAACGTCCTCGTCTACACGGGTACGCAGCCAACTTTTCTGGGCCTCCATGACGCCGAGTTCCTGACTTTTTGAAAATCTATCCAGGTACGGGGACTACGTCTGAATCGGTCCGGCAGTGCATGTACTCCCTCCGGCGCCTTCTTTCGCCCAACTACGCCATCATCCCCGTCTCAGAATCGGTCATTCTCAAGGAACCATGGGCTCCCACTTGCGCGCTCCTCGTCATCCCCGGCGGCGCAGATCTGGGCTACTGCAGAGTTCTCAATGGCGAAGGAAACCGCCGCATTGGCGAGTTTGTTCGCCGTGGCGGCGCGTATCTGGGCCTCTGTGCTGGTGGATACTACGGGAGCAGTAGGTGTGAGTTTGAAGTAGGGAACAAGCCGCTTGAGGTTATTGGAAGCAGGGAATTGGGTTTCTATCCCGGAACCTGTCGGGGAGGCGCATTCAAGGGATTTGAGTACCGCAGCGAAAAGGGTGCGCGTGCTGCCGTCCTGAAGGTCGCAACTGGGGCGTTCAAGGACGGCCTGCCGGAGACATTTTCCTCTTATTATAACGGAGGCGGTGTTTTCGTGGACGTAGGTAAAGTGACGGGACGCAAGGTGGAAGTTTTGGCGTCCTATGCGGAAGACTTGGATGTGGATGGCGGCGATGGCAAAGCCGCTCTGGTGCTATGTCATATTGGAGACGGCAAGGCTCTGAAAAAAAAAAAAAAAAAAAAAAAAAGACTGCAGATGTCAAGGCTAACAACTGATAGATTTGCTCCTGTAAACCTCTCTCCGCAACCTACAATCCCAGGATATGACAACCTTATCAACAAGCTCCAAGAAGATGACGATAAAAGATTCAGCTTCTTAAAAGCCTGCCTGGAAAAACTCGGTCTCGAAGTAAGCGGCGAAAATGCAACACTGCCCACGCTCTCCAGAATCCACCTGTCTGCCGTCGACAACTCCCAAGTCTCGGAGCTGCTCTATGCCTGGGCCGAAGTCATTGACAAGGAGAATGGGGAGGAGTTCATTGCAGGTGAAGCGGATAGGTTTTGCATTCAAAGCGATCAGGATGGACTCACGCTGGAAGACCTGCAGCGGTCCCTTCCAGAGGCGGATGAGCATCTTGCACGCGAGACCGGCATTGTCGACTACAGCACTATAACAAAGCGTGTCATTGTTCATGAAAAAGCGCTGCCGACTACGGAAATGACTCCTCGTTTCGACCATAAGCTTTACTTCTCGAGTCTCCGGAGATTCCAGGTGAAGGAGGACGGCGCCGAAGATTGGGGCAACATCCTCATGTACGGCGATGTGGTCACGAGCACCAACTCCTTGCTAGAAAAGTACGCCAGGCCATGGGGAACTCTTTTGGCGGAACGAACACCACGCTGACGCTCCTCAACAGGAACCCGAAATTGATATCCAAGCTCCCAACCGGCTTCACATTCTCTGCAGCAACCCAAGTCGCTGGCCGTGGCCGTGGGACAAACGTCTGGGTCGCGCCCCCAGGAGGACTCATGTTCTCGACAATCATAAACCACCCTGCCCACCTAGCCGCTTCCAGACCCGTAGTATTCATCCAGTACATAGCTGCTGTTGCCATCGTGGAAGCCATCCAGTCATACGGCGTTGGCTATGAGAACCTCCCCATCAAGCTCAAATGGCCAAACGACATTTGTAAGTCATTACCGCCTTAATCTTCACCCCCAAATTCCATGCCATACTAACGGGCAAAAAAAAAAAAAGATGCCCTCGACCCCACAAAACCAGCATCGTCAAAAACATACGTCAAAATCGGTGGCATCCTCTCCCAATGCGGCTACTGCGACGGCTCATACCAAATCGTTCTCGGAATCGGCATCAACGCCATCAATCCTCGTCCCACCACCTCCATCTCCGATCTCCTACCCGCGAATGCGTCTCCTCTCCATTTGGAATCCTTGCTGGCGAGAATAGTAACTCGCCTCGAGTCCATCCACGCGCAGTTCCGCCGCCAAGGCTTCTCCGAAAACCTGGAGCAAAGATACTACCGGCACTGGCTGCACACGGGGCAGGCCATTTCGCTCGAGGCGGAGGGTGGCGTGAGAGCAAGAGTGCTGGGCATCACGAGGGATTGGGGCATGTTGAGGGCTGAGGAGACGGACGCGGAGGGGCGGGGGACGGGCAAGATATGGACGCTGCAGAGCGATGAGAATAGCTTTGATTTCTGGAAGGGCCTGGTGAGGAGGAAGCAGTAAGGGAGGGCCTGGGTTTGAAGAATCACACATACATAGATAGAGAGACATGTATAGAAATGACGTGTGTCTTAGCTGGGACAGGGAAGCTATTTTTTTTAGCAAATCGTGTAGCTATCCTCTTGATGCTGTCTTTACATCTTGTTTCATCCGCGGCGCAAACGCAAGGACCTCAGGCATTCGGGGCTGCTCCCGGGTTGATATACTATACACATTGTAGAACTTACTACCCTGCACTCATCACTAATTTACACGGAAAGCCGTTATTCGACCCCAAATATATGTGTCGTATAGTACAAGTATATTAAACATGAAGCTCAAGGCATCTTTTTTTTCGTCTAAATCCTGATCTCCAGCGGCCATTTTTTTCAGTGTCATGCCTCTAAATGTGCCGCCCATAAAAACGCCGTGCCATGCCGCAGTCGAGTGAAGATGTACATGTATACAAAGGGAAACGATGAAAAGAAAAAAGATTCTCGTCCCCACAGGAAGCCTAGCCGGCGCCTCGTTGCGTCATGGCCATTTCCTTGAATTCGTGATTATTCACCATCTTGTCGGAAGACGATTTCCAAGTCGGCGACCAGACGACGGAGCCGGGCTGATCATAAAAACACGTGCGCCGTTGTCCAAGAATGGTTCGGGGTATCGCTTATTTGTCCTTGTAGACCTTTGGCTTCCATCCCTCCTTTACTTGGGCCTCCTGCTCGGCCTGTTCCCGTATCGGCCCCAGCTCCCGCTCGAACCGCTCCTTCGCCCGGACAATCTTGCTCTGCAGGTAGAAGCTGCCCCCCTTTTGGGGATCGTTGGCGTCGAACAGCCGCTTGTATCGGTCCAGGACTTCCTCGACGTTTGCCTGCCCGCCGGCCGGGGGCTTGACGTTTAGGATTTTGCACGCCTCGTCCAGCGTCATGCCCGACGCCAGGGAGGCTCGGCCTGACGCGGCGCCGCCGCCGGCCTTGGCCTGCGCGCGCTGGTACTGCGACGCAGCTTGGGCCTGCTTGTAGGCCGCCATGAAGGATCGGCCGAGGATTCGGGAGCCCGTCAGGAAGGCGGTAACGACGAACCGGTGCGCCTGCGTTAACTCTCTGTTAGTTGTCTTGGTTTCGAGAGCTGGGCTCGCCATGGCTGGCCCGTTGTAGGGGAGGCGCATTTGAAGCAGGGCTTCATGAGCTCTTGGGGCGGGATAGGAGAGCAAGGTTCATCCGTACCATTGTCAAAAAAAAGTCAGTTTGCTCAAACCGTAGTCACCGGCGATCGAGGCTCTCGGGACAGGATGGCCCTGTGTGAATAAAAGTAACGGGCCGCCTTGGGGGGGAAATGGCCCTTGTCTCGCACGAAGCTGAGTGTAGGAATTGGAGGTTCGGAGCGGCTTTCTGGATTTTTCCACGGGCGCGATGCTAGCGAATGATTCCGCGGTCGGAAGAACTTGGGCGTGGGTGTGGTTTAGCCGGTATTTTGCCGTGCGACTTGGGATCCTCTGCGAGGCGAGACAATGTTTTGCCATGTGACCCTCCCCGGGCCAATTACACTGAGAAGAGGGGAATAATTGATATTGATAGAGTAATTAGAGATTGTGCAAACTACGTGAAATTTTTGTTGGTCCATCCGCAAGCAAGGCTGAGTGGTCTGGCTGTTGCTTATGAGGGCTCATCAGTAACCAAGCCTGTGGGGATTTCAGGCTGCTCAGCTCAGCCCAGACTTGCTCGCAAAGCCAGTCTGAAGGCCAGAGAGACGGGCGCCATGACACCGCAAGAAGTTGCCGCTCTCCTCCAGGAGTACGGTGGTGGTGATAAACAAAGCGGCCTCGAGGGTTCATCGGATCCGTCTGATATCCGTCTGAAAAGGGCAGAACTGCTCTCCAACGTTCTGGCTGCCTGCAGAGATGCCTGGTCAACTAAGTCTGAGCAGCTGGATTTGATAGCAGAGAAACTTGGGGATGGAAGTCGAGATGGTGAGTTGCAGAATGACCGTCCGTCTCTTGTTGACAGGATTGGGAAAAGGGGTTGGTTTTGTTCTATGAATATGAGCTTACCAACATATAGTGGCATGGCGTCTCCCATACGGAGATTCCGGAATCCTGGACTTCTTTCTCGACTTGTTAGATGAGGGTGGCCTGAGACAAAAGCTTCGCATACACTCTCTTCGTTTGATAGGGAATTCTTGCGCTGATACCGATGAGAATCGGGCTCGAGTGGTGCAAGACAATCGGCTATTGGCAATCACTAGACATGTGAAGGATGAAAGCATAATACCGTTCAACATTCCGGTCATTTACAACATTCTGGTTGATTATGGTGAGAAAAAAGACTTGTCGCGGTAATTATACGCACGAGGACTTGTACTAAGTTGATTTAGATCCTGCTCAAGTCCTGGCCTCAAAATCGCGCCTCAGCCAACAACTCGTCCACCTTCTATCTCTGCCACAAATCTCCAAATACGCCCCATTTGTTCCATATATTTGCAAGATCTTGGCTCTCCTCGTGTCACAAGAAGGAGAGTGCGCCGTTGCAGATCCATCCACAGTAGAGGTTCTTCTCAAACTGGCTAATCAGCCAAAGGCAAAAGAGGATGTTGACGAGTTCATTGCTATTGTAGGAGTGGCCGTGGCCTACCTAGCTAATAAAGATTTTCAGTCCAGGGTGGTATCGGAAATGCAAATGGGGCTGTTTATGGATGCCTTCTACCATGCTCATGCTGGTTTGAATGTTGCCGACGTTGACGATGAAGACACTGTCACGCAACTGAAGCAATTACGGACTTCCTTGCTCTCAACTCTGGCCGATATTTCCGGCAACGACGCCTTCGCCACGGCCTACCCGTTATCAGATGCTGTACCGCAATCCTTCCTGGCCTGGATTCGAGGGAACAATCCCTTCTTGCAGTCTGCTGGCTGCTTAGCCTTGGGTAATCTATCTCGTTCTGACAAAACCTCGATTGCCTTGGTAGACACATACGGAGCACATGAGCCTCTTGTCAGGCTCTTATCCAACTCTGCCGTCACCGAGACTCAACTCCTCCATGCAGCCTGCTCATTCCTCAAAAATCTAGCAATCCCCACAGCGAACAAACCTCAACTAAAAGACCTCCTACTTCCACACTGTGTTCCAAGAATATACTCTCTTGACGCATTACCGCAGATCCAATTCGCAGCAGTATCTCTTACGCGTCTGCTCCTACTCAACTGCCCTTCCAACGTTCGCCAGATCTGCGCCAGCGCGGACACCGCCCCGACGGAGCTATCCAGCGCAAGTGGTATAATATCCCTATTCAGACGCTCGGACGCGGAACCAACCAAGCTTGAGGCAGCCAGATGTGTGGCAGGAATTTGTCGAGTACTTCACTCTTCACCCGTGTCCGAAATTCTGGAAAACCTAGGATCTGACGACAACACTGATGAGAGCAAATTATCAAACTTCTACAAGGAGAATCATGTCGAAAACCCGTTGAGGTTTCTCATAACTCAAGGTAAATGGCCGTCTCTCCGCTCCGAAGCTTGGTTCGTCTTTGCCCTCATGTCACGGTCTGAGAGTGGTGCGAGGGTGGTGCTATCCGTGTTGGGTGACAAGGCAGCAGAGAGTGCCTTGATTGAAACAATCACGGGCCAAGAGCTAGAAAACAAAGAAGGTGCCGCTGCTCATGGCGAGTCCAAAGATTCAGAACCACACCCAGAGTTGTCATCTGCCGCAGGTGAGTTGCAGCTGGAACCTCAACAAGTCGACCCGAAGCAAAAGGAAAACATGGCAAAGGTGGACAGAGAAAATGCACTCGTACTATGTACCCAGTTGTTGAAGGTTGCAAAAAGCGAGCTAGCGCCAGAGAAACTTGCTTCATTGCAACGTCTCGTCCGGGATGGAACCCATCTTGTTGTTACCGATAGAACCAAAGCACATTCTTCCTAGATAGAAGCGCCGGCTAGGAACATCACTATGATGCCACCTTTGTAGCGGCTCCCAAACTCAAAAAGTTCACGAGAAAAGACATTTTCCCATTGGCGGTTTTGTATACAAGGCAAAAACAAAAAAAAGCTGGTGATCATGCAATAATATTTTTGACCTGGACCTATAGTATCTCTCCGCCATGAAATCGGGGCAAGAACTCCCTCAGAGTCTCGAACCGACGTAGCCACTTCCAAAGAGACGCAAAGAGCAAAAAACCCTCAAACACCAGTACCCTTTTTTGCCAGTTTATTTCTTAGCAGTCTCGGCCTCCGCCTTATCTCTAATACGCTTCTCGCGAGCACCCTGGTATCGCTTGTTGCTTCGGGCCATGCGCAGAGCAGCGTAAGCACCACCGTCGATGGGCTTGGGCATCTCGCTCTTCTTAATCTCCTTGACAGCAATGTCGGTGGGGGCGATGGGCAGGACAGATGAGATGCTAGTGGCCGTGTTGACCTTGGAGAGGTCGGTCTTGGTGTCACCCTTCTTGGGGGCGTTGGACTTGCGCGGCAGCAAGATCAAGCGCTCCTTGTAGGCCTTGAGACGGGCCACGTTGACGGCCAGGCTCTCCTCGGAGAGGTTCTGGCGACGGTGGTCGACGGAGATACCGATGGTGCGGGCCAAAGGTCGGGCGATGCCAGCCTCCTGTGAGCGAAAAAAAAATGTGTTAGAAGACCAGTTTACAAAATCGGATAACTCCAGCCATGCCCGTCTCCCAAAACGTCTGGTTTGCGTTTCGGTCCTCCATTCATTCGGGGGAACATGTCGCGAGATCAAAATCGGGACTGGGGAGCGCGTGTGGTCGGGCAGGAGAACCGTACCTTGAGCTCAGTCAGGGTGAAACCCCGGCCGGCGCGGACCTTGCGGTTGTACTTGATAGTAGGGCATCGGACAATGGGACGCAGCTTGTCGACGGGGCGAGGAGCCAGAGCAGCAGCCTTGGCCTGACGAGCAACACGGCGCGAGGCCTTCTTTCCGGGCTGTTTATGAAAAGTTAACATCACCCATTACATCTTCACAGCCACCATTCGTCGTTTAGTCCGTATCGACATCGCATACCTGGTCGAAGTGGGTGCGAACCCGTCGCTGCCAGTCCTTGCGGAAGTCTGTTGGAGAATATGTCAGTCGAATGTCGTCGCCGCCATTGTCGTCTGTCGGTGTAATGGGGTGGGCTGCTCACGGTTGTTGACAATCTTCTGGTTGTGCTTGATCGCCTGAAAAAAGAAATCCCGTCAGTTATGATAATTTAAATCATGCAAATGCCTGCATTCGACGGGGTAATCGTACCATTGTGCCTGCTTGCGATCAAACTCGCTCCGGTTGTCGATGTTCGGTAGGCGTTGAATTTTCGGAGATGGAGGCTTGACAAATTGTCTAAAGGGTTTTCGTGCCCTACAAAAGCTACGTACCAGGTGGGGTGTGCCCTCTCCAAACACAGGAAGCGAGAATTGGGCCAAATGTGTGGGTCACGTGAAGTCGGAAAATCTCTCGGCACCGTGGGATGACTAAGGCTCTACCAGAAATGGCTGCCCCAGGCATCAACAAACAGCTATAAAACTTGGCCGACTCCTCCAGCTTTTCACCTTTTCTTCCTTTCTTCTTCATACTTACCTTGTTCCGAGTTCCCCAGCTCAAGATTCGGGGGATTCAGTATGGAAGGCCTGCATTGCACAACGCGGAGTCGTTCCTTGCTCCATTGTCCTTCGGGGCCATGGGGGGCGTAATTTTTGATTTTCACCTCGTTTTCATTGTGAGCGTTGCCTTGAGCGATGTCATGAAGAAGACCCAAAGTATGATGCCTTCTCACTACTGGAGATAGCACTTTCAGTAAACGTCTTGGTATTAAGAGTGTTGGCAGTTAACACTGGCAATGTGCCTTGATTTAGTTTCGTGTGTCATGAGCCGGTGAAGGTGCTTCGAGCTCTATGTGGATTGCATGGAAGCGTTGTCGTTTCACGATGGCTCCAACGTGACGCGAATTTGTACGGAGGGAAGTCTGTCACATCAAAGCTTTGTCGAGTGGTGTGACTTTTGTACTCCAAGGCTCGAGTCATCGTTGTCATTCAATAGAAAACTAGTCTCCTCCTACCTCTGAGTCGTTCAATGTTGACAGGTCTCTTCGCCTTTTCCATGCTGCTTAGGTGTGTCCGAGGTAGGAAAAAAAGCAGGCACAGAGACGTCTCGTCAAACACTCTCCCATCCGACCGGCTTCATTTTCCAGTATCTCCAGACTGTAGAATTCAACTACAGCCTTTCGAAAATATCTATCTCTATGTACCACCGCATCATCAATTCCAGCGATGCTGTAGATTCATTGCATTGAATCAGGCCCACGTAAAATCATGTCCCCCCTCCCAGCTCGAGCTGCCATGCCCGAAATTTTCCCGCCTACGCCCAATCACAAGCGCTAAAATCACCACCCAGCTAGTCGTCCCAAAAAATCTCACGAGAAGGCGATTCCTCAGGCCATTCTCCCCCAATCGTCTCCCCAATCAAATCACTCGACATTTGACTTCTTTCCTGCGTCAAGTGTACCGCAACACAACCCCCCTCCTCCCAAGCCCACCATGGCGTCAAGAATAGGACCTCGAAGCGTCAAGGACGCAACACGCTTCACATCAACCATCCCTCACGCCACGTCCAAAACAGCCGGTGCGGCCGGGGGACGAGCTGCTGCCGCGACGCCAAAGCCGTCACCCCGGGTTCCCGGCGAGACTCCCGAGCAGCGGGTTCGACGATTGAGGCAGGCACACATCGCGGCACAAAAGGCACAGATCAGCCGGACAGATCGGGTCATCGATGCGTCGAGGCGGTTCCTGGATGTTGCGCATCGATGGACCGTCGGCGGCATCGTCGTCTTTACGGGTATGATAACCCCCCCAGCTCCCTCGCGGTGCCATTTCATCGCACCCCGCCAACCCATGTGATTGACTGCAGCAACTAACACTGCAGTTTTTTCCCCTTCACAGCTGTCGCTGGTGTAGTTAGCGTCTACTCCGTCTGGGACATGCTCCAATACAACCGCGCCCGCCGCGCGGAATGGGTCGAAGCCCAGAAGAAGCTCGAGGCCGACTCCCTCGCCGCCGCCCGCATAGCGTACCTCAAGGGGACCGCAACCGAAGAGCAGATCCTCCTCGTGGAAGAGGCCAACCGCGAAGCAAAGGAATCTGGCGTCAAGCTGCCGCCCCTATTAGCGCCGGCGGAGCACCGAACACATTTCGAGGAGCACGTGAAGCCGAAATTTTCTGGAGATGCCGTCGATGAGGAGAAGGCGGGAAAGGGCGTCTTGGGCGTCTTCTCGGGTTTCTTTGGTGGATCAACGGCAGCTGGGGAGACGCCGTCCAACGCAACTGCGCCGTTGGCTGCCGAGGGTGGTGTAGTGCAGTCAATTGAGACCAAGGCCAAGGACGCCTGGGAAGCAGAGAAACAGAATCAACTGAAAGGCGGAAGTCTAGACCAACTGGGTCTGGATACTGGCAGTTCAGGACAGAAAACAGGAAAGCGCGGCTGGTGGCCTTGGTAGACCTGCCAGCAGAGCAATGTGCCTACATGGGACCAGGAGGAAGTATTATCGTTCCAATCGTTCTATGGTCTAGCAAGGCATGGGGAGAAGGTGGAAACAAAAACATGTATCATATCTCTGTAGATTGGTTGTGCATTAGATTGGCGTCAGGAGTCGTTCTTGTATGTAATAACAGAGGGATTGATCCCAACTACCTGCATATCAACCTTGGTTTAAAAACAAAAGTATTCACATCATTCGATTTTGGGTCACTTTGGTATGAACTTATGGACATGAAATATCCTCAGCGGGAAATCCAATCTTGATAGTAGTACACATCTGTGCTGTGAGAATGCGCCACGCAGGAATTGCACCCAGTAGACGTTATAAAATCTTTGTAATGTGCCCGATAGTGGTGGCCGGTAGCCACTGCGCCAAAAATTACCTAGGTATGTATCAAATTACAAAGGAAAAAGTCGCTTAGCTGTGTGGTAGTAAAAGTACTCAGCCTCGTCAAAATCGCTAGTTGAAGAAGAAGAAAAAAAGGTCAATGCCACTGTGCCGATAATCATTTCCGCCCATGTTGCCGAATTTTATAGCAAGGTTAATCCTCATCTTGCTCAAACCGTTGTGTATAATCCTGATCCAAATACCTTGTTCAACGCCATCCAACTCAAAACGAGTTTGTCCCATGGGGCAGTCCTTCATAATAATATCGGCAGCCGAATCCAACAACGGTTCGATGCTGCCGGTCGCGAATCTCGCCCCTATTATCCAGTTGATAGTAATTTTCTCATTGTATTAAGCCCCACCAGCCGACGTTCCCTCCCCTATGAGATTACAATATGGTTAAAATGACCTGGGACTTTGAGCCTGCATTTCTCACAGTCCGACCTGTATCCTATGCTGAAACTCTTCTTCATACCAGGCTGCCACGTCCAGCTGTTAACTGTATGCTTACTGCGCTGATGTCCCTTGCGATTTGGAGACGGGGATGACGGATCAGTATCAGATTCGCCATGTTGCAGAAGGTGATGACAATCAGCATCCATCATAGCATTGGGATGTTCCATGGCGTGCAATGGTGATGGCTGTCCAGACATTGAACCGTGGACTGGACTTGGCTGACCGAATTGACCAAATTGTTCCTCACTATCCATCATCGTGCAGGTCGGAATGCCACTGCCGTCATGCATAATGGGGTCGCCCATTTCCGAGATGGGTGAAGGTAGCCGCCTGTGGTTTTGCAGGGTCTGCCAGTCTGGCCCGCCGGTCATCGCTCGTGGGACTGTTTGGTCCTGTGCGATGCCCATGACGTGATGGCCAAGGTTCGCAACTCCGTTCGGGGTTGTCTGCGTTTGTACAGTAGCCGCCCATCCGCTGTACTGTCCCTTGACCTGTGCCGCAAAACTTGGTTGGATGGGCGTGGGCATTCGACCCGTTGAACGGTTGAGTAGTAGGGCGGGGGGTTGTGCGGCTTCATCATGATCTGGAGGTGATGAGATAGTCACGTCCATCATGTCCATCTCGGCATCTTGTTGCAGCGGGCCCCCTTGATGGGAAGCAGACTGGAACGGTTCGGCGTGGGGGCGAGAACCAGCGCAGGCAGGACTCGCATTTAAGGGTACAACGCTTGGAGATGGACTATGCTGGCCTGCTCGAGGGGGGTTTCGAAGTGGCAGCGACTGGATGCGTTTCTGAGAAGGTGGTTAGCGACGAGTCCATATTGGCACGGCAAGGAAGACAAGCAAGGCGGAAGTAGTCGTGCATTTCTGTGTTCCCCAAAGCCAGCAGCAGCATTGGCTATTTCTTCATCGTCTCTGAAGCGTTTTCGTCCGGCGTCAACAGCCTCCAGATACTGTTGTGTAGCAAACATGTTCGCTGTCCTTTGGTATTAGATGAATCGCATGCACGTCTGGGATGTTGCGGATATGATGGTGGCGGGTGTCGGCAAGTGGTGATGCCTGCGAAAGGCTGTTGATGGCAGAATGATTCCAGCTGGTAGTCGATAAGACGGATAGCAGGCACCCAGATAGAAACTGGCACTGGCGATGGCAGGTGACGAGAGGCCGACAAGCCGGCGGTTCTTTCCGCGGAGGGATGGATGGCAGACACTCGAGCAGGATGCGGGGGATCGAGAAAATACGGTGTTGCAACAGCCAATTCTTGCCCTTCTCGTAAAGATCCAGGTAGAAATTGATTGGCGGTGCAAGGCAAGCTGAGACGAATCGGCCTGGTCACAGACAGCGAGTCGGGAGAGAGCCGCGGTTGGCGTGGGGGCAGGGCGAGGCTTGGTGCTCAAAGTGTAGCAAACTGACTCCAGATGTCCAGACTTGGGCCAGCAACTTTTGGTTCAGGACCAGGGCGTTGTCTTAATGCGGCTGACACCTCGACGAGAAGTGGGCTATGACGACAAAGTCAACCCTGTGGCGGTCGGTGGAGGGATCGAGTGCCGACGGCAATGGAAGGACGCATAGGTGGAGGGAGAGTGCTGCATAAACAGAATGTTCCATGGATTAAAAAGATTGGTATGACAAGATGAATTATGCACAGGCCTTGAGCGGCCGTGTTAAGTTTGCACCGGGAACATGAAGCCACCCAATGTGTCCGGTCAATTTCTAGACGATAATGCGAGCGTTGAAAGGAATCCAACCAGATGCCTTAAAACGCCATAAAACAGGGCGTGGCGGCGGTGGGCCAGGGCCCCTAATTGGGCTTGACGATGGCTGCAAATAAATACATGGCATGGCAGGTGTGAATTGAACGATGGTCAACTTGACGGTGCTGGTTCAGGTGCAACTGGGCCAGCACTAGAGAATCCTGAGACTGTCTGGTACATACAGAGTAGAAGCCCTTCCATGACTAAAGTTCGAGATGTCACTTGCTCAAGTACTAGATACGCTCTCGGAGTAAAGCATTCTCAAGTCATTCATCCTGTGCTGGGTCAGACATCCTGGACGCTCGAATGCGAATGGTGTGCATATGTAGGTTATCGTACGGACGAGATGGAGCATCTTGAACGACGATCTGGGCCAACTTGATCCAAGGGGATCCTCCCAGTGCCACCAAACTTGCGAGTCGGTCCACTCTTTTTTGTCTTGCGAAGCAACTCGTTTACGCGAGTGCAGTACGGAGTACGGAGTAGGTGCGGCTTTACAATTTCATGGGCCACATCCTGCCACCTGCGACTGCGCGTGCGCACACAATAGCTAGCTGAATGCTGGCTGAAGGCTGGGCGTTTCGAAGCTGTGAACTAGACGAGCCAGTCGAGTCTCGTTGTTTTGGAGTTACTGACTGGCATTGCTCTGCCACCAAATGTCAAGAGTCCAGGTCTCCGTCTGTTTCAGAATTGCTTCAATGTTCGCATGACGCGTCAACAGACATGCCGTGGCGTGACTGCGACGAAGATGCAGTGGCACTTCGAGCTCGTACGTTAATCATTGATGCGTGGATGATGCCAGCTGAGCGTTATCAAGGACCTGCACTCCTAGACGCAACTGTGGGTATCTGTACCGCCACCAGACTTTTTTAGAAACAATAAGAGGATCAAAAATGATGGTTCTCCATTGACATGCGACTCGAGGAAGGAGCATTCTGATTTTAAATGGACTGTTATTAGCAGATTGTAGTGTATAAATAAGAAGGCCGCCGAGAATTCCAGCGTGCGCATTCTTGACATTATTCTCAATAATGCCAAGTGCGTACCTACTACGTGAATTGCTCGGCAGGCTCACTCTTTGTGCTAAGAGCGCTCACGCGTCGCCAAGTACCTGGCTATTCGGCTTTATGTTATATATAATATATTATCGCATATTAGCATATCCTTTATAATAGGTAAGTATATTATACCATAATTATTAAAGTATATATATATAGTAGTATTTTACTATAGTAATTCACATATAGGGAAAGTTTAAATGCAGCAAATAGTAGGGGGGTAGGCGCACCTAGTAAAAAAAAGTGAGTCCGCCGAGCATTTCACCCTACCAGTACGGAGTACCTAGGAGATATGTTCCGCTTCTGGACCAATGCCGATGCACTGATAGCATCTACTTGCGGCATTGGAGCTGAGCCTGCAGGTATTATGCATACATTAGGCACCTACCTAGGTAGTAAGTTCAAATGTTACCTGGTATACAGACATGCAGGCATGTACCTGGGTAGTATTCCATGATACTTGAGGGTGCAGCGGGAGAATTGGGGACGAGCCAGGAAACCTCAAAGGCGGTCTACCAGCGTCAGCCCAGCTCAAGATAAGGAGGCCTTCCTTGCACATGGTGTTTGCGATCGACCAACTAACCGACGGGCGCTATTCACACGTTTGTGGATAAGGCGGCTGCAACCCAACAGGAGGTGGCCCATTAGTCACGGCTGTGGACGGCGGCGCGGCCGTACGATGGCAGGTACGCCCGACCTGCGACCCAAGGTACCAGTTGTTGACCTTACTCCGTACTCCGTACTAGCGTGCATAAATTCTGAGCGCATGTTGCGTGCTCAAGAACTGCCAGGCGCCGCGAGTGGGCCCACTTGAGGTACACGATGTGGGCTTGGTCGGTCCTGGAGGGGCCAGTGGGAGCATGTGGGAGAAAGTGGGAGAGCGCTGGCCGCTCGCAGCAAAATGGTCGCCCACATTTGACAGCAATTGACAGTAATTGGCCTGCACAGCTTCATGGTGGGGTCGCTCCGAAACTGCTCCGATCCATGATTTTTTTCTGTTGTCCCTTGGCTTGTACATCGTTGACATGCACATGCTTCATGGTTTCTGACTCATTTAAACATGTCCTCGAGCCCTTTAATATCGTTGCCCAGGGTCGAGTCCAGTTTGATCTGTTGACAAACTCTCCCATTCAATTGACTTCTGCTCATTTCACACACGTCCGCCCGAAACCTCTCGTCCCGCCCAATCCACCCAATTAATCAAGTTACCAGGAAGTACTCCGTAGTAGGGTAGCTCATCAGCTTGTGACTCGATCTGGTCCGCGACATTTCCTCTTCACCACAACCTCCAATTCCAGACCAGACCTTCAAGATGCCCGCGCTTGACTTGCAACAGCCGCTGGCGGCCGATGATACCAGAAGTAAGTGTTACACCAATTTCATTTCTTTGCCTGCGCGGTTGGTCCTACCTGTGGGAACTGGATCGGCTCTGGATCAAGCTGCAATAAGATTGTTTTTCTGCCAATCGCCAGGTATCACTTCATTTCGGCGTTTCCAGTCATACAAGCGCCAAGCAGTGTCATTCAGCGTCAACAGTTACACGGTGGCATTTATGTTTCAGTGTCTCAATTGCTTCAAAATCCGCTGCCCCAACCGATGGAGCTAACATCCTCTGCAGTTCTCGGCCAGGATCCTCTGATCCCACCAGCTCTGCTCACCTCTGAACTCCCCATGACCGACAGTGCCGTCCGGACCGTCATCAAGGGCCGAAATGATGCCGCCGATATTGTCACGGGCCACAGTGACCGGCTCTTGGTCGTTGTCGGCCCGTGTTCCATCCACGACCCTGCTGCTGCCCACGAGTACGCCGCCAGACTCAAGGCACTCTCCGAGAAGCTTGCCGACGACTTGTGCATAGTTATGCGTGCCTACCTCGAGAAGCCCAGAACCACCGTTGGCTGGAAAGGTCTGATTAATGACCCTGATATCGACTCATCCTTCCAGATTAATAAGGGCCTAAGAGTTTCCCGTCAACTCTTCGTCGACCTTACTTCCAATGGCATGCCCATTGCTAGCGAGATGCTTGACACCATCTCCCCTCAGTTTTTGGCTGACTGTATCTCTGTCGGTGCAATTGGTGCCCGAACCACCGAGTCCCAGCTACATCGTGAGCTGGCCTCCGGATTGTCTTTCCCTGTCGGGTTCAAAAACGGAACTGATGGAAACCTTGGGGTTGCTATTGACGCCATCGGCGCTGCCGCCGCCAAACACCACTTTATGGGGGTCACCAAGCAGGGCTTAGCTGCTATAACTCGTACCAAGGGTAATGAGCACGGTTTCGTCATCCTCCGCGGCGGAAGCAGAGGCCCCAACTTTGACAAGGAAAACGTTCAAGCCGCCAAGAAGTCTTTGTCAGACAAGAGCCAAAAACTTGCCATCATGATTGATTGCTCCCATGGTGTGTATTTGCCGTTACCTATTTATAAATGTCCGAGGTGATGAGACTAACAAAAAGATCAGGCAACTCCCAGAAGAACCACAACAACCAGCCCAAGGTGGCAAAGGTCGTTGCAGATCAACTCAGGGAGGGCGAGAAGGCCATTATTGGTGTCATGATTGAATCTAACATCAATGAAGGCAACCAGAAGGTTCCTCCCGAGGGCCCGTCTGGACTGAAGAAAGGTGTCAGCATTACTGATGCTTGCATCAACTGGGAAGACACCATTACTGTGCTCGAGGACCTTGCCGCGGCCGTTCGGACCAGGCGTGAAATCAACGGCCGATCTACCAACGGACATGCAAAGGTTAGCTTGGTCGAAGAAGCCTAAGTCTTTTATGCCAGGTTATGAGAGAAGTGTGTGGGAGGTTGATGATATTATGAAAGGGAATGAATTTCGTGTGCAAGAACGCATGTTGGATCTAAGCAAGGGAAAAAAAAAATTGCGTAGACTTGTCGAGCGGTCTGTCGGCCTGCATCTAAAAATTAGTTGTATACACATGGTCATTGAAGGACACAAAAGTAGTGAAGTACACATTTTGTGCCTCAGATATGTCTCTAGGTTTGTATTCGTGGATATTGTGTCAAAAATCAAGCCCTTTCGTGAACAACATCCAGACATGCTTCACGACACGCGGTAACCCAAAATGTCCACAAACGCCGTCGATAACTTTGAAAAATGTACAGGTCGTGTCGTCGTCTAAAATACACATGAGCTACCGCCTCTCGCCGCTCACTGGCGCATAGCTTATGTCTTGTCGGGACATGGCCCTCTTGCCCCGTACTTCGACGACACGCTTGAAAGCAGCCCACCCAAGAAGGCCAACTGTTCCGAGGATGAAGCCCCAGACAATGATCTTGTCCTTGTTACTGTCTCGCTGGAAGCACATGGTGACGACATTCTCCTCCTTTGCCTCTTTGCAGAAATCGATTCCCTGGCTCAGGCAAAACGACTTGGTACATTCCGAGCATGAGGTTGACAATGACCGTCGGCTCAGACCTTGATCGTCGGTTGCGTCGTCTGAAGCAGCGGCGCCGGAGGGATTCGACTCGGAAAAAAGGGAAAAACTGAGGAAAGAATTCGACGGAGAACCGGACGACTCTCCCTTGGGCCCCAACGGGATGATTGTGCTGTTCTTAAAGCATGTGCACTTGCAAAAGGTTGGAGCGGCTGGTCACAGTCGGGGTTAGCGGTGAAATCAAGGTCCTGATGCCAGACAGACGTACAGCTTGCTGAAACAAGAGCCAAAAGACTCGCCAATATCAGCGCCAGAGCCTGAATTCGGGCCATTGTGGTTCTCGCGGCATGTGTGGCTTCGAGGAAGATGGAGTTGGAGCTACGACGGAGAGGTCACCGTCGCAGTTGTCGCAATACTTCTGAAGTGTCTGGTGTCTGGTGTCTGGTGGGTCAAACCCAGGAAGCACTGGTACAAATGGGACCCAGCTCAGCCTCGCAGCATGTGGTTGGTCCCCTGCCTGCCACGCCAAAAAAGTAAGCCAATGCACTCTTTCTTGCCGCGCAGGATTGAAGGTTCTTGTCCCGACCTCGATTTGCACTTGTCGAACTCCTGGCCGGGTCTGGGTGCGTCGACAGCCACAACTGCCAACTATGTCCAGAATAACGCGTGTGCGGAGACTCGCGTCTTTGCAATTGGCGATAGCGACACCCTCGTCGGCGCCCAGAGCACCCTTCGTCGCATGCCGAGCTGTCTCGACGACGAGGGCCGCCAGAAGCAAGAATACAGAATGGGTTCGTACGAAGCTGTGGAAGGGCGAGGCACCTGGACTAGAGGACCCCTATACGCAACGTCCAGAACCCGAGGACCCTTCGAACCTGCCCGAAGAGGCACTTGAGTTCCAACCGCGGACCGACAAGACTCCTGCGGCGGTTCTGGAGTCTCGGTTAACACTGCCGCCAAAGCGAACCGAGGCGGCGTCTGAGAAGGAGTTGACATCCTCAGACCCGACATATGTCCCCGCTACCGAGGCAGAAGGACTCGAGGAGATTGGCACCTTGAACACGTGGTGGGATCAGGAGGGCCACTGGGGAGAAGAGAGTGAATTCAGGGGGTTCGGCAGTGCAGAAAAGGTGGTGGATAAGGATGTTGTCGAGGTTTACTTGCGACAGGCCGTCGTCGAGGCTCTTGCTCTTCGGGAGACTGGCGCCTTTTCACAGTGGGCGACGAAGAAGTGGCGGGAGGGACCTCGCAGCGAGCTGGACCAGGTGCTGGCGGCAGAGATTCAGGTGCAAGGGAGCCAGGCCTCGTTGAAGGGAGATGTGGCTGCCATCGCGCAGAATCTCACCGCCGAGTCTGATGAGATGGAGGCAACGGAGAGGATTCGTCCCGAGGAGGCTCGCGAGATGCTCAAGACGTGGGACGCGTCATGGAAGGGCCTCGTCCTGGATGACCAGCTCAAATTCGCTGTATGTGCTATTCATAGCCAACATTTACCGACCCAGCCGTTTTCTGACTAGTTTATAGCTTCGCAAGCGTCTTTACCAGCTCACAGGCACCCTCATCGCCGATGCCAAACTTGGCGCTGCGCACACCGTCAGGCACGTCTTGACTCTTGCTGCCAAGCAACCCCAGCCTAAGAAGCTAGCTGAACTGTTGGAGACACGAAGTGACGTTCAGGAACTCGCCAATGTCAAAGTTCACAGCCGCAAGATTGGACCCATCGACAGGGAGACCGCCTTGGGTCGATGGAAGGTGATTGAGGAAGAGCTGACGAAGCGCGGTTTGCCAGTCACTGGCACGGCAGGCATGTCAAAGAACAAGGAAAGGGACTGGATTTCAGGAAAGATTTAAAAAAGGGCCACGGAAGCTGGCATGTGTCTATAAGTGCTTCAAATGGCACTGTGTATATGTACTGTGACAAAAGATGAAGATTAAATCCAGCCTACTAATACCAAAGAGCTCTCTGGCCCTGCCCCTTTTGTTCCATCTTTTAGTTGTAAAGGGCGAATATAGCATCTCGCAGAGTGAGCTGTCTGTTCCTATTGCATAGCTGTAAATCTAGCCCCGTCACTAGATTTCTCTAGTCATGAACCCCTTCTTGACGTCAAGCACCACTCGTCCCAATTGGCGCAATAGCGTCGTAGCGATGTTGGCGGGTGTATTTTCAACAACATTGACGTATCACGACTTGGTGATTGTTAAGTCTATGTTTTCCATCATTGTGAGCTCCGTCCCTGGCACGGCACGGCATCACTGGCGCCAGGGATACCACGAGATGGGAGTTACTCCGTACCCATGGTGGAACAAGCTCTGGGACAAGAAGCTTCTCGCTTGTTCGGATACATGGGTCAAGCGAGGCCTTTAGCATCTTGCCATGCGGGCAACCGGGGAACGGCATCTTAGCGCCAACGCAAACAACGCAGGTGGCGGACTAGATTATGCAGATTGATTGTGGTATGGAGCTGTGCCCTCTTGGCTGCTGACGGTGGATGGGGCGAGATGAGCGGTCAAGGACTCGAAGCCATGACCTCCCTGTCGTTCCGAAAGCCGCCGACCTGGGACAACAGATGGAATCGAGACGAACCATCTGCAGGGACCGCCCTGGGTCCCTTCCTTTCTGGTGGTTACGACCGGTCACTGCATGTGGTCTGGGTACTCCGTAAGTACTTTATGCGGGATATTGGATATTGCAGTTTACTGAGAGCGCAGGCTTACCTATCGGACGTTGGGGAATGGCAGGGTGATGGAGAATCGACATGTCCATAGAACCAAGGGCAGACAACGGCGGTTTTGTGTTGGGGGTGGTAAAGTACCAAGACACACCAGCTTGACGGCATGTGCGAAAATCGCCCGGCGTTGAAGAGCGTTTGGCAAAAGACCATGACAAAGGCGACGCCAAACGCGGGTGCACATGGCTGATGGAAAGCTGTCCACGGCAACCTTGCAGTGCGTCTGGCCGCGCAGCAAATCAGTCGATGCCATTGCAGCAGGTGTTGCCCACTGCGATCAAATGATTCCCACCGCAAGTGTCCACCCCGGCCGCATTCTAAAAGTTCCAGAGATCAAGGGATGGTTGGCGGATCCGCTGATTGTTGGAGCAGGTTGATGACGGCGATGGCCTCGACTTGGAGGTGCTTTGTTGGTCGATCCGAGTCCCCCACAGCTCACGACCCCAGAGACGGCAAGTCGAGTCGAGTCCAGCATGATGTCCTCGTCCTTTTTCCCCACTGCTCGAATCTGGAATCGGTGCTGAAAGGTCCAAGGTGGCAGGCAGTTCTTCTCATCTGCCGCCACCGCACAAACCGCGCATCCTAGCACAGTCTATATAAGACGTCTCGCCCATCCACCAGAGTCTCTGGGGTTTCTCGTCCTTCTTCACCAAGTAGAGATTCATCTCGAAAAAAGACACCTTTACAAACTTTTCTCTGCCTTTTTTCCAAGGTCTTATACCTTTAACACACATCACAATGGCTGGTAACTGTGGCTGCTCTGGCTCTGCTAGCTCCTGCAACTGCGGCTCGAGCTGTATGTTTTTTTTTCCCGCCTCCAACCTGCAAACGTATAAGAGGAACGTGGTTACTGACAATATAATGATAGGCTCATGCACCTCATGCGGCCGATCACAGTGATTGGAATCACAGTTGTCGCCGCCTTGTATCATGTTGAGTCGACAACATCCTCGAGTCGCCCCTAGAGGCTTTGAGTGGCACTGCTCGTGGGGAGAAGGGGAGAATTAGACGCATAATTTTAAAAAAAAAAACATAACAAAAAAATAATAAAAACACGAAAAAAACCACGAAAAAAAAAAGGAATAATTGATGATTCTTTCCTTCTGTTCAATGGAAATAAATGGATGCGCGCGATTGGAAAAAATAGTGTGGATGGACGCTACGACTAATGTTTCTCATGGGCTGGGTTGGGGTGATTTTGACGGCGATATGGTTTATGAAAATGGTTTCTTTTTGGATATTGGATGTTGACGCAGTCATGTTATATACCGCGGGAATGATTTAACCGCTAGCCCATCTCTCGAATAAACTTTCCTTTGTATTTATTTGGTCGACTGTTGGTTCGTGTACTACCAGTAGACGTGCCTACTACTCCGTGTTTGGTAGAGCAAACACAAGTGTCAACTGGTCGAGGTACGGAGTACAACTTGACTTGAGATCCGTGGCCGGGAGACCCTGTGGCGGTCTGATGGCTCCGGGGGAACAACCAGGCCGGCAGACGCAAAGCATTTGACAGTACGGAGTACGGAGTAGTACATGTAATTTGCCGTTCCGGAGATGCAGGACAGATTGACGGGTTGAAGCAGATGCAGAAGTTCAGAACCAAGGTCGACGCCGCATCTGGTTGCGCCGAAGGCACCGATTGCGCCGAGTGCCCGCTCGCCCCGCGCCCTAATCCAGCCTGTTGGAGCAATTCCTCGCGAGCACAAGTGGCGCTGGCCAATCAAACGCCCCATGGCCATGGCAGCCGCCTCACATGGGCCTCGCGCGCCTTTGGCCTCGGCTGCGCCCCAGATTCCGTCTGTCATCACATCGCTTCGGAATGGCCAAGGGCAAGTGGCTGGGCTGCGGAAAAGCTGGAGGCCAATGATCCACGGACCACAGCGTCACAAACTGAGCACTTGGGACCTCGTGGCAAGGCTGTATTGTTCGCGAACGGGCTCTGGTGTTCAAGTCCCCCCCCGGGTTGCATGCTTGGTGCCGTCCATGACCTTCTTTCCAAGCTCCAAACTCAGGCCACGAGGACATGCGACAATAGTTAATTTGCCCCGTCCTCTGCATGTGTCTTCTTCTCGCCTTCACTCCTACTCATCGGGCTTCTCGCAAGGCCTCGCTGCGAACCACCCGTCGTCTTGACTCTTCAGGCTGATGACGCTTGGGGAAGTTGGTCCAACCGTGTTGCCGTCGCCGCCACAGCTCTTAAATGGCTGCAATTGTGAGTGTCACTTTGTTTGGTCTCTTTCCCCTGTTCTCCTGTTAGAACATGTCCCGGCCCCCGATCTGCCCTCGGAGTCTTCTTCGTTTTTTTTTTCTTTTTTCCCGCTCATCTCTGCATTGCTGTCGTGGTGGTCGGTCGTGCGTGGCCAACGCACCTGGTCATCGTGGGGCGTTTGGCATGTGATGTCACGACCTTGAACCTGTGCATCAAAACTCGCCTCTCAACTTCGGCATTCGCTGCAGTCGCCAGGCGTCCTGACCTTTGACCTTCACGTCACCACCACGCACCACTCCGCTGCCGGGACCACAAGTCTGCTCCCAAACACATCAACCACATCAACTGCACCAGTCACTGTCTCTTCTACTATCACACACGACCCTTAGCAGACACGGCAAGACACCGTTGGGTGGATCGCGCACATGTCCCAGTCCTCGAGTGGGCACTTTGTCGGTTTTCCTATCGCTGGCAGCTGCTGACAACAACACTTTGCGAGTTCGCCAGGAATCTCCGTGGCTATCGCACCTAGACCTGCCCATGTCTTCACGCGACGACGCCTCTTCGGCCTCGACATATGAGTCGCAGAACGCGACCGGGCTGCCGCCGACGTACGCCTCCTTCTCCCCCGTCACCCTGTCCGCCAAGACGCCTTCGCGATCTGCTCGCCGTTCGAACATCCTAGTCCATCAAAAGAGTCCGCTGCTGCTGGCCACTCCACCGCAAGTCACCCGTGCTCTTGCGTACAGTCACCCCTTTCTGCTGCCGCTGAACAAGTTTGTTGGCCTGTTGACATGGAGCACCGGTGATCCGTGGCAGAGCTTTCTGCTGCTGTCAGCCTTTTGGCTGGTAGTGCTATACGGAGATGTCGTGGTGCGAAGAGCCGGTCCCGTGGTAATCGGCATGGTCATCATCGCCGGCATGTATGGACGACGATACAGCCCATTAAGCAGCAGCGGCTGGGCTGAGCCGGCTCGACCGACCAAGGATGCGTCTAGTGTCAGCACCGCTTCGGCTGCCGCATCCCACGGCGAAGGGGCCAGCTCTAAAAAGGCTAAGCACCAAAGGGCTGCGTCTGAAATCACAAGCACCAAACACCAGAAAACGCTTGACGAGATTGTCGAGACGCTAAAAGAGTTTACTGGTCGATGCAATGTTCTGATGGAACCATTGCTGGAAATGACAGACTTTCTCAGCACACAGCGAACCCCCACGAGTGCAACCACGAAACCCGCCTTGACAGCCATGTTTGTGAGACTTCTTATTGTAACTCCCTTCTGGCTCGCCTTGACAATGCCGCCATTCCACGTCATCACCACTCGTCGTGTTGTTTTGGTGGTTGGCACAATCCTATTGACTTGGCATGCGAGGCCCTTGAGAGTGACGAGAACTCTTCTGTGGAGGAGCTCGCTTGTCAGACGGTCCGCAGCGGCAATCACCGGGCTCCGTTTTGACGGGCCTCTCAAGACCGGACACAAGCTGGCTGCCGAAGCGGCCAAGAGCCACGCCGCCGCTGCCGGCAAAGGGAACCGCAAGGCTGGGCGCAGCAAAAGCTCTGGCGTCAAGTTCACATTCATCATTTACGAAAACCAGCGTCGTTGGGTTGGTTTGGGTTGGACAGCGAGTCTCTTTGCTTACGAACGCCCTGCGTGGACTGACGAGCACAACAACCCTGTGCCGTCTAGGGATGAGTTTGAGCTGCCCGACGTCGAGGACGGGAGCAGGATGCGTTGGCAATGGGTCGAGGGCAGTCAGTGGAGAGTGGATGGTGTGCCTGATGAGAAAGGGCCTGTCGACTATGACGGCGAGGAGGGCAAGAATGGCTGGATATACTATGACAACAAGGTGAGCTGATCAGGAATGAGCCACCAGGTTCAGGGGCTCCAAAGTATTGGGACGCCTACTAACAGCGCGGCAGTGGCAATATGGTCGACGGGGTCAGGACGGCTGGGTAAAGTGGACTCGGCGACGGAAGTGGTACCGAGATGCCGAGCTCGTTGAAGTCGATGAATCAGACCAGCATGTACAACTCGTGCCGGGCCAGAACGGTACCTCCAAGTCACCGAAGAAGGACTACAAGAAGGGCTACTCTACTTCTGATGAGAAAATGGTACCAGTTCGTGCCGAGCCGCAACCCACGGCCGGTGACCAACCTGGCACCGACGACGACGGTGCATCAATCCTCTCCACCTCTTCCAAATCATCATTCTGGCCCTCGTCATTCAGGAGACGGGCGGTGGAGAAGTCGAGCACATTGGCAGAAAAGGGCCAACCGAGGAACATTGCCGAGCCAGTACCCGACGATGATGCCAGCGGGCTAGATTTAGAAACGGAGTTGGAATTACAAAAGCAAGGCAAGGACGGCGGCCGATGGGGTATTGGGGATGAAGCACACATGAATCTGGAATGATGAGCTGTTGCATGGTTGGTGACGGAGGAAGAGGAGAGCGTAGGTCATGTTCAACCCAGGTTGTTTCCTTGATGCATGTAACGAATATTGACGGCTGTAAGAGACTGTGGGCAGGACGTGAAGTGGGATTCTTTTGCGGCGCACGGTGAATGTGCGAGCCGGCCATGTAGGACAATAGGCAGATGACTGACTGTACGAGGAATCTGAACATTATGCCAAGCCTTGTCCCCCATTTCTCCCTGTTTGCCACTCTCCGCATATATATAGATATATATATCCGGTTTGCTGTTTCCGCCCGTCTCTCCCTCGCGGCTCGTGAACTCTCACGGCATCATGCAGCAATGGAAGACGCGCCCCCTGTGCCGAGTCCCCTTTCGATCCGACAAAGCTACGGTTCCCCCCTGGGCGAAGAAGAAGAGGGAGAGGACCTCCTCACGCCCCTTTTGCAGTCTCGCCGCCCCTCGCGGCAGTACGTGTCTATCTCCTCCCCGCCCGGCGACTCCTCCCTGCCGGTCTTTACAAACCCCTGGCCGTGCTCGGGCATACTGCAACATGGCTCATCCGCACCCAGGGTGCCGCTGGTCCACGTCCGCGACGAGTCGCCCGGCGGCAGGGCGGGAGAGGCGCGTCCGTCGGTGGTCTCCGAGGACGCGGTCGCCGGGCTGCCGCTGACGCGGTTCCCCCCGTGGACGAGCAACTCGGACAGAGAGCGGAGCAAGAGCGAAGAAGGCGCGGGGTGTCGCTGCGACGAGGGGAGCCTCAGGAGGGGGGTTGTGCATGCGGCGGTGCTGGCGGCGCAGTTTGTTGCGTTTACGGGCGTGTTTTGCGTGTGGGTGGGCGTTGCGGTTGGCGAGGGCGCTGACCATTCGGGATTCTGGCACAAGTATGTATATATACGTATCGACTACTATTGTTCCCGCTGATCCTTGTTTGTCTAAGTTTGCTAACGGGTTTTTTGTGTCCTAGGTTGTGGGTGTATTTCCAGCCGGTGCTGGGGGGTCTCGGTCTGCTTGCCGCGGCGGCGATGCTGGCCTACGACATGGCTGATGGGCTGTCTGACGGGGTGTTTCTGGGGGTTCAGGCCGGGGTGTTGGCGGTGGCTGGCGCGGCTGGGCTCTGCGTGGTCTGGTGGGCGCTTGAGACGGGGAGCCGGGCGGTTGTTGGGGCGGCGGCGGGCACGGCGGCCATGATGCTCGGGGTGGGGGTGTTTGGGTTTGCGAGGGCGGCCGTGGTTTGGTGGCTGAGTTGAGCTTTTGGTTCGGTGTTCGAGTTGGGGAACGTATCGTTGACGTAGTACTCTGTGCTACGCCAGTGAATCGGCTTAAACGTCGGTCATGACCCCTGCGTTTGACATGAACACGGTCATGGATGACGTTCAAGTACAATTTACCTTGATTTGATTTTCGTCTTTGGAGTCTTGGGCCGTTGCATCTCCTGTTGGATCCCGGCTTGACGGCCCGCAATATTACACCTTTGACCCCAGGTACTGCATGTGCTCTACTCTACGACCTACCCTGTGCACGCTGTGCAAACTTATCAATTCGCAGGGACTGCGAAACCGACGTCTATTGGACATGATGCCTTTTGCGAAAGTATCACTTATATCGTGACTCTACATTATATTAGTTTGTGTTAGCCTAGGTTTGTGTTGGGTGCCTCAGGTAGGCATGTTATAAAATGGAAATATGCTGCCCACACTCAATATTCGATTACATGCACGCATTAGCCCTGTTTTATCAAATAATTACCAACGCCAATTAAAATCCGATTTCACAGGAAGCGAAATATCAAGGGGGCTTTCGACCTGACAAAATACACCACAAATCCTAGTATGCTCACAATCATAGCCTGACGGCAAGTTTCACTCAGCTATAAAACAAGGCGTGAATCACACACACATCAATGAGAGTGTATAGTGTGCAATAGCGAGATCAATCCCAACAAGCGCGTAAGGCAGAATGGCCGAGTGGTCTATGGCGACGGTCTCAAGCACATTATATGTACTTTCGCCTGCGAAAAGCAGCGTTCCGTTCACGAAAGTGGCCGGGGTTCGAATCCCCGTTCTGTCAGCACATCTTTTCTTTTTGGCCCCTCTTAGCGGGGAGAGGGGGTCTTTTTTTTTTTGGTTATCAGAACATTCACACACTTCTTCTACGTGCCTATATATAGTATTTTATCTATCCCAATATTTGTCGAGACTACTAGTCGTGCCACAAGTTATCTCGGCAGGTCTTGAGTACTTAAGTACTTGGGCGATTGCAAAACTCGGGTGAATGAACGCGTAACATGGCAGCAAAAGGCCCCTTTTGTTCTCTGCCTTGCCGCCGATGTAACTGCAGCAACTTCCTAGGTAGGAACCCAATGCATCGTCAAGGTGCATTTACACCGGCTGTAACTGTGCCTGCCGGTGGTAGCACAAGATGTGAAATCATCTGCCACTAGAATTCATCAATGGGTCCATGTCTGAAGGGTCAAGTCTGCTCTCCCAGTCCAGAGCTGGAGATTCCACTACACGCGGTCCAATGCCTGCTTTGGGTACGGCATCCTCGGAGACCTCCGAAATGAAGCAGCACTTGAGAGCAGGGCCGTTCGACTTGGCCGGCGTTGGAAGAATTAAAAAAAAAAAAAGTTATGCAGGGGCCCACAGTGACGGAGTATTGAATGGAGGGGCAACTTTTGTGAGCTGGAGGGGAGATATTGAATGCATGTGCACATGGCTTTCGGCCAGTGCTGGCTTGTCGGGTACCTAGACATGTCAAGGAGAGCTCGCACGTGCGTGCACCGCAAGTACAGAGGTGGAATGCTGACTTCACGCGACATCTCGAGGCCAACATTGAAATGTTAGCCGTCACGCTGCATGTGGTGTCTGGTCGAATCTGGCATGAGGTCAACTGGTCTGGTTGGTTGGTGGCGCTGGGCAGCACTGAGCCCCGCGGCCACCTGGAGCAGGCGGCCAAGCAGATCCTGAGTCCTGGTGTATAAAAACTATGACTTCTTGAGACGCGCGACATCACCATACCCCCCTTCCTCTCTTTCCTCCCTCCCTTCTCTCCCCCTTCTCGGGCACTTTGCCTCATCCATTCCCACTAGGCTCGTACGCCTCAACATTCTCATTCGACTCTGTGATCCGGCTTCCGTTGCTCAACTTCCCCCCTGCTCTCTCCAAGATAACCCATTTTCGTGATACCCCCCACCCCCCTCTTTTTTTTTTTTTTTTTGCCCTTTCTCTCTCACCCAGTTTCTGGAACCAAAGCCCACCATGAGTGACGTCGAGAAGATCTACGTTACCTACAACGATGTAAGTGTGACTGGAAATGGGCGAAAAAGGCGCTTCATTCGTGCATCGCAAGTGTTGCATCCACCGTAGGAAAAGCGTAGCGACCGAGTACAACATACAATGCTGGCCTGCGACAAGCTCACTGATCATCATGTTGCGCCCAGGTCCACAAGCTGTGCCAGAAGTCGGCCGACCGTCTTCTGGGCGAGTTCCAGCCCCAGCTCATGATTGCCATCGGCGGCGGCGGCTACATTCCCGCCCGGATCCTGCGATCTTTCCTCAAGAGGCCCGGGTCTCCCAACATCCCCATCCAGGCCATTGGCCTGTCCCTATACGAGTCCCTCGGCGAGGATACCGAGGTTGAGCAGATCGGCAAAAAGGTCACCCGTACCCAGTGGCTCGACCTCACTGCCCTGGGCCAGATGGAGAACCTGGTCGGCAAGCGCATCCTCATTGTCGACGAGGTCGACGACACCCGAACGACCCTGGAATACGCCGTCAAGGAGCTCGAGAAGGATGTCGAGGCGGCTCGTCAGCGCATGGGTGGTGACCAGCCCAAGACGGAGTTTTGCATCTTTGTTCTCCACGTATGTGCCCTCGAATCTCTACTCTGCCATCAGTTGTTGGTAGTTTGTGCGCTGACAAGCTTGGTTGTGTAGAACAAGGACAAGCCCAAGAAGGGCGTTTTGCCCCACGACATGATTGCCACGCGGTACGAGGCTGCCGTCACCGTTGGCGATGCCTGGATCAACTATCCCTGGGAGGCGATCGATATTGATGAGCACGACAGGAATGCCGAGACCAAGAGCGGGATTTAAATCAACTCGCGAATTCTCTTTTTTAACTTGTTGACCAAAATAGATTAGAAGCCGGGTGTCTCAATGAATATAGAAAAAAAAAAATACACACTGGTGTATGTATATACGCTCTACAAGGTATGATGCTATGTGCTAGGAAATACTGGAATACGTCTATCATGTGGTGTATAACGCCGTTCATGTGCCCTCGCCCCCTCCCAATATATACGCACCCGATCCCATCCAAGAACGGCTTCACCCACCAACGGTACCCTCCCGCGCATGCCTCTCCTTCAGCCTCTTCTCCTGCTTCATAAACTCCCTAATGCCAACCGGTACGCCCCGGTAGACCTCGTCATCCCACATATCCTTGGCGATTTTACCGCCGCCAACCGCCGGCGCACTCCAACTCGTCTCGGACCCCCCGCCGTCAGCAGCACCCACCGTCCTGCCGCCGGCTCGAAGCCGTCTCTCGGCTTCCTTCTTGCTCGCCGTCCACTCCTCCATGTCCTCCCGGTACCGCTCCCAGACGCAGTTGACGCACCCGCTCATGCAGCAGTTGTCCGGCTCTTCTGGCTGCGGGGGCACCAGCACACCCGCCAAGTACGTCGACTTGGCCTGCTTCAAGGCCAGCCTGCCCGCCTGCTCCGCCGGGCCGAGGAGCCGCGATCCGAATATGATGCGGGCCTTTTCCTGCGCCGTCTGCGGAGGGGGGGTCGGTTCGGGCCCGCGTGCCGGGGGAGTCGTAGTCGCCGTCGTCGGTCGCCTGTGCGGCGGCAGGACGCTGGGGTCCGCGGTGCTGGGCGGCTCCTCGGGCTTGTGGGCGAACGGGTAGGGGATCGGATCGCGCAGTATGCTGGTGTAGTAGGCGCCCAGCGGTGTTCGCTGCGGCCACTGCTCGTCTTTGGCGCTGGCGGTTGACGTCGCGAGGCTCCTCCTGGCCGGGGCGGCTATGCGCGGGACCAGGCGCAGCCGCGAGGTGGCTGTTCTCGCCGAGGCCGGCATTCTGGTTCAAGAGAAAGGTGGTTATTCTAAAGATGTGGAAATATGTGAGCGTGTCATGCTGGGGAGGAATTATGCGCCGGGCCGGAGGAGGTTGGTTGACGCTTTTGTTTCTTTAATGTTCTTTTTTTCGTGTCTCGAGGGGCAAACTTGCGGGTTCGGCGGCAAGGCGTCGGAAAACGTCATTCGGCTGTGCAGGGCGTTGCATTGGCCGCCGAACCGGCATTGTAGCACGTGATGGTGCCTGGAGATGGGACTGATGCGGTCTGGTGGTCCTGCAGTGGAACCAATTGCCTGCCCGATACAACCTTTTGGCATTACACAGCTGCTGTGTTTCCTCGACGCTGCAGATAAACACCGAAATGTGGCGGGGGTTTTGTACAGTTTTTTTTTTGTCGCAGATGGACTCGAGGACTCTAATACACCAGACGATGGAAAGCCGTTTGTTGTGGAAATTGGCGTGGTTAAGGCCGAGGGTGGGCCAAGGCCAAGATTCTGAAGCATCATTAATTGTGTTGTTGCGTTTCAACTGACAAAACAGAATGCAGTGTCGAAATGTAGTCTAGCATCACAAGTGATGGGATGTAGCTTGAAACAATGAACTAGATAGCATCAAGGGTAGGAAGTACCTAGGTACTTAAGTAGGTATCTATAGAAGATGCTCGGGTGTTTCCCTGCCGACTCCTGAGAACTAGATTATTGTTTAGTAATGCCATCCCAGTTATTTGGCCAAGAAATGCTGTCTCCAATCCATGTAACAAAACCAACATCAGTATTCTCGCTATACCGCCGCTCTTTCGCCTCGATTGGTAGAGCAAACTCCGTCAAGAATCGGGGGCGAAGAGTGAGTCGGCAGGTCGAGACAGTTTGCGATTCCGTAAGCCGCAGGGTAGAAAACAGAGTCTGCTGCTGCCTCACCATCACCTGTACTCACAGCGCCGAGAAAGACGCAGGCTTGAATACTTGATGCTGAGATGTCTCGAAGATTCAGCAATGCCTGACTCTCTGGCGTAGGGCTCGGCTCTGTGGGTAGGCGGCGTCTTAGCAAACACGGGGTTTGCCGAGAATCTGAACTGAGGGTACTAATGCGTTGACTCATAAGGTCCTTGGCGTTGAGCAGAGAAATACCTTCCCGACAGGACCATCATGGCATATACGATCGCTTTTGGCGTCTTTCCATGTCGGAGGTCTTGCATAAAGCTCGGCCTGTAGAATAACGAGTGGAACTGGTCATGGGTGTATGTCAAGCACAATTCTGCAAGCTCGACGCATACGTTTTCATCCCAAATACTAGGACTAACCATGGGCTCTCTCTTCAAGACATGTTCCACGGTCCTTGACCGCTCTGTCGGGATGGCTGGTGACCGAGTTGACGCTGCGAAAGCTCCGGCCCTTGAGCAAACGAGATTCTGGGCGTCACATAATAGACATCGATAATGTCTCATTTCGCCGGCGAGACCTGTCAAGCCTGTTATTGCACAATTCTCCCCCATCTTTGGGGCAATGTACGTACTGACACACTGAGCAAGCTGTTGGAGTTCTCGTTGCTGGTCTCACCTCAGCCTAGTTTTAGTGTTGATTCATGATAGGCGACGCGATGTATGGCCGCACGCGCCATCTTGAGGACCAAAACCGGGTCGTTCAAGGTCAAATGTGGAATTATGACTGGAAGTGAGAGGCATCATATGCATGTAAATAGCTGGCGACGAGGCAACATTGAAACCATCAAGCCAAACCGCCATGCGGAGGCGGAGCCTCTAGATGTCAAACGGTGTGATTCAAGCACGTAAGGGCACAGCAGTCTGTTTAAAATTGGATGCGCCATGTTGTAGAGCAGCACTCCATCTTTTGTGAGTAACCGTAGTGCCCCAATGGAAAAGGGCCCATGATGATGGATGCGTGTCAAGGTCGCGTGTGAACTGTCAAGTGGGTGGACCGACACCAATTTGATCTCGAACGATGAAATCTGGCCCCACAATTGCTTGCACCGGCTAGTAGAGCCTTTGGCCAGGATTCGACGCCAACCACTGAATCCACTATCCTGAGCTGGCCGTTCGAGCTGGTTTGTTTGGGGTCAACGCGATCTGTCAGTTGCTACGGTTTTGTCTCCAACCATCACGAGAGGACGCTTGCTTGTAAACCAGCCGTTTCTGACCTGTGCATGTTTCTGAAAGTGCGAGGTCCTTTGACCATGCTCACGCCCCATATTATCCGGTGAGCTCTTCCACGAACATGGAAGAGTCTGCGCCAAAACGAAGACGCGTTTCTCCAGACCCTGAGGCACCAACAGCAGCATCAAGACCTGCAGCTCAAGCACCAACCAACCTACCAACTACAACAACGTCACAGTCTCCCAACCGACGACCTAGACCATCCTTTGCATCACCCACTCGAGCAAGCCTTTCGCGCTACAACCCGCAAATACTGGAACGACGCCGTTCAGCTTTCCGATCGCCGCCAAAAGTCACAACCACAGCCCCGGCACCCAGCAATCCGGCGCCCGGTGCTGCTCGACCACCGCCAGAAGCAGCCGGCAACATCGGAGCGAGCGAATCCAATCAACCGGAAGATACAGTCGAACAGACTGGAGGTGCACCACGACCAGCGACGAGCTCTCAGGCTGGGCCGGCAGGGCCACCACTTCGAACACCCACAAGACCAAGCCCAAGACCGTTTCCACCCCCCGCACCAGAAGGCGACGATGAATTAAATCCTTTTCTAGGACGGATGCAGAGACGAGAGCCCATCACTGGGGTACCCATACCCCCTCCCCCGGAACCAGAGCTCCCTCCAGCCGTCTCAGATCCTGTATCTTCAACGCCTCCGCGAGGCATCCATAGCAGCCCTAGATGGAGAGACCGAGACAGGCAGAAAAAGAAGTCGCCAATGAAAAGCTCACCGTTGAAACCGCGCGGCGTGAGCACCCCGGCCAGGAGGGTTGGCGTCTCGATGAGTCCGGCTGGCTCTGCCGTGCAGAGAGAGCTGCCGTTGCAGGACCGAAGCTTGAATGCCAACACAAACGCCGCTCGCCAAGTCCCTGCGTCTGATAAGAATATGCACAAGCTGAAGGAGAGAAACCGCTTGCGGAGAGAGATTGCAGTTTTGAGGAGAGAAATCGAACTCGCGGCCCGGGAAAACGAGCGCATCCGGGTTATGCAGCGAGCAGGTCGAATTGTGGCTCCTGAAAATGAAGAGGACGTTTTAAATCTGGTGCAAAAGACGTTGGTCGCCACGAGAACTGCTCCTACTCCAGGACTTGCTCACCAAATGACACAAGCAGCGCTAAACCCCATGGGAATCTTGCCATTTGGCCCTCCAAGATTGGTGTCAAATCAGCCAAGTCCCGAGACGGATGAAGCAAACATCAAATCTCATCACCCTGTTCCCATGTCGGCTGCAGACGATTTACCATTTTTACAACTATTCACTCCCTTCTCTGCCACGTCGCAGGTTTCCGTTCTACCCTCTGCCCAAAATCAACCTCTACGGCAGCGGAGGCAAATCACGCTACGGTCTCGAGATGTCCCGGGCTTGTTTACAGCTAGAGTCGACATGGTGGTCAATGCGATGAATCTCAATATTCTGGCTCTCAAGGTCCCCGCGTTAGAGCCATGCGCAAGACCAGAGCTCGGGCCCTTTGTTGAGAAGATATGCTCCGGAGATTGCAACAGAACAATGCAGCATAATGTTGGCATCCTATCTTGGGCAATGGGGGAGTGGTATCGCGTGGCAGTACAGCGAGCTCGCTTTTGGTTCCAGTTGGAGCAGAGTCTGGCCGCCAAGGGCGATTACTTGGATGCGATATCGCGAATGCGATCGGAGCCTGGACTGGGCGAGGACAATTCCCAGGACGACGACTTGGACACATGCAGCAAATCAGACCTCTTTCGCTTTCTCGGCCAGCAATCGTACGATGTGCCAGTCCCAACGATTACAGGAGAAGGCCCAGAATCGGCTGTGCGGTTGGAATGGAAGATTAAGCTCGACTGGACTGGGGAGGCACAAAGCAAAATGGGACTGTTCCTTGGGATCCCTGGCAAATGTAAGTGTTTAGACTGTTATTCGGACAGACGGCCATGCGCTAATATTTTGATTTGCTTCCAGGGCGGCAAGCTGATGAAAGGGGAGTGTTTGGTCAATTTGCCAAACTATTCGAGGTTTTGATCGAAGGCGGCCAACCCCCAAGAAAAGCAGTGCAAACCATTGTGGCGCTTCTGACAGGTGCCTAAACACCAATCTGTAATTTCATGAGACATGATGACCATGACACGTTTGAAAGATTCTAAGCGAAACATATCGGGTGGCATGATGGACAAGTAGCTTTATTACCAATGATACCAATGCACAATATTATAATCCTTCATTGTTGTTTAATCTCTTGTCTTTGTGAACCACACACCTGTGTTATACTTTACACGTAGCGTCTCCCATTACGAGATGCTGTTATTTTGATTGACTGCGTACCATTTAGTCGACGTCGACGCCCATCTTCCTGAGATCACCCTTGGCCATGTCAATTTCCTTCATGAGTTCCTGGTGCGCCTCGGGAACGTCGTTGAACGTCATGATGCCCCAGCCGAGACGGAAAAGAAGCAGCGCGCCGAAGGAGATGAGGGCCCAGAATGGAAGCTTCAAGTTGCAGACGTCAGCGGGGTTTGAAAACCATGTGGCTGGGCGCTATTAGGGGGGTAAAAGCGACGTACGACAGGGACAATCTGCTGCTGGACCAGAGCGGGAAGCGGAATCAGCTCCAAGTAAAGGGCGAGATATAGCTGTAAATGGAAAAAAGTTAGCAGCGGGCTCCTGTCTGCGCATGTAGAAATCGTAAATTGCGGATCAAGGTCGTACGGAGGAGACGAGGAGCCCTAGGGAAATGGTCTGCAGGGCGCGCGTCATGACTGCGGATATATGTATCTTCGAGGCCTTCTGAGCACTGCTGTTCTTCTAGGGGGAGGGATTGGCGATGCTGCTAAGGAGCGACAGTCGTGGTGACGGAGCAGGGAGCTTGTTTGCGATGGTGCAGTATTCCGGGGTGGTCGCCGAAGACGACGTGTAAGGAGGCCCGCGGCGGCGCGCGTTGATGACAGCTCCCGCATTGTGTATGATGATTAAGCAAGACCCACTTCTGTGGCAGCCCTTGAACTTCAGGTACGTACTAGGATAGTACAGGACTGAGTTTCCGCCTGGTTTTTGCTGCTTTTGTTTTGCCGACAACCAAGCGCCTCTATGAATTTGTCCGAGCTCTGTTTTCTGTGGCCATTTGAAATTCATCATCAGAAAGCCAAGAAAGCTACTCCGTATGTGAGTCGAATGAAATGTCAGACAACCAAGGGCCAGCCTCCACGTTCTGCCTTGGGCCGGGTCTCAAAGACTGGAGGGAGTGCCATTGAGACAACCGCTTGTACCATCTGGCTGTAGGTTATTCCCTTTTCCAATACGGAGTATCTCGAAGAATAATGCATTGTCGTGCCTCCCGGATGGAGAAAAGGGGACGTTTTGCTGACGCTGCCAGCAATTGAACCAGGTTGCACAGACACGGAGCAGAATGCAACAGAGCAGCTGGGGCAGAAATTGGACAAGGCCAGCGTCGACCGCACTGGACTGCTGGTCCAAGGACAACAGTCGCTTTTGCGATGACACAGCATTAGTCTACTGCAGATGCTCCCAAGAGAGACGGGCTGGATATGCCCCAGCCAATTGGTTCTCCGTTATTTCGCATATCACCACTTGGACCCTGGTTCTGTACGGCCGCTACTGCAAGCCCCGTGAAATGTGCCGACAGGCCTCGACAATGGCTGGAATGCGATTTGTGCCATGTTTTCTTTTCCGCCAGCCAGGGAGGTCGACTCGGTTGGAGCATGTCTTGAATCCCCTTTTGAGGCCACTGAGCACAGCGTTCTAACCGACCAATACTACTACATTGGAAGGCAGTGACAGGGGGGACGAAGAAACAATTGTGTGGTTCCCGGCCGGAGTGTCAAAGCATGTGGCTGGCTGTAATCATCTCGATTGAGCTCATTGTGCTGATTCGGCAGTGGCTGCAGATGAGCTGTCGGGTTGCCCTGCCTCCCATGACGACCAGACGGGCTTCTCCCCTCTTTCTGCATGTAGTTTTGGTCCATCTTTCGCACATAAGAAGCGAGCAGCGTCTTCATAGCCATGGTCTAGAGTGAATTCTGCTCAAAGCGACGTTTGTGTTTCTCACACCAGCTTTGTGTAACCATCAACAATGCCGCAGCCTATCCCTCGACCTCCAGGCGTGCCTTTGCTGGGTAATATTTTCAACATTACCCCCAGCAATACTTGGGCATCGTTGAACAAGCTCTCCGAAGAGTATGGAGAGATCTTCCAGATCACAGTTCTGGGCCATACAATTGTGTTTGTGGGTAGCGTGGCGCTCGCCGAAGAATTGTGTGATCAAAAGCGATTCAGGAAGTATGTTGGAGGGCCAATAGTCGAAATTCGGGCGGCTGTACATGATGCTCTGTTCACCGCGTTTGAGAACGAGTCAAGCTGGGGGATTGCTCATCGGATCATTGCACCACACTTATCCCCGGAGGCTCTTGGGCAGCAAAATTTTACAGAGATGCGCGACTTGGCCAATGAGCTCTTTGCGAAATGGAAGAATCTCGAAGCGAACACGGTCATCTCACCACTCTCTGAGCTCCAAAGACTCGACCTCGAAACTGTCACCTTGACCTTGTTCGGCCAAAAACTGAACTGCCTAGAAGGGCCAGAGCACCCAATGTTGAAAGGAATGGAGGATTCAACCTCTGAGGCGATGATGCGGCCGACGAGACTCTCATTGGTGAACTGGCTCGTCTACAGGAACAAATTCAACAAGAGCATTCAGACCATGCGGAGGTACGCAGCCGACGTCGTTGAGCATCGAAAGGACAACCCGACTACTCGCCAAGATGTCCTCACCGCAATAATGAACAACGAAGACCCTGAGACCAAGAAGAAGTTGACGGATTCACAAATCATTGACGAGATTGTCTCCATGCCCATTGGGAGCAGCACGGCGCCATGCCTCCTCACTTCTGCCATCTTGCTACTCTTGAGGAACCCCGACGTGATTAGCCGCGCAAGACGGGAAATCGACGCCGTTGTGGGAGCAGGCGACATCTCCATCGAGCAACTGGATGAGCTGAAGTACGTGCAAGCCATTGTCCACGAGTCTTTGCGACTGTCGTCCCCTGCGCCCGGCTTCAACATCGAGCCCCTCCCCAGCGACTCCAAGGCACCCGTTCAACTAGCCGGCGGAAAATACCAAGTTGCCCACAACCAGCCAATGATTATTGTCTTGGCCGGAGTCAACCGCGATCCGACTGTCTTTGAGGATCCGCTGGCCTTCAAGCCAGAGCGCATGATGGGCGAGCAATTCGAGCGGTTGCCCGATGGCGCGAAGAAGTGGTTCGGTAACGGGAAGAGGGAGTGTATCGGCAAGCACCACGCCTGGCAATGGAGCGTGCTGGTTTTAGCCATGATGCTGCAAAAGGTTGATTTTGAAATGGCAGACCCCGAGTATACGCTGGAGAAGGATGGATGGTTCAACGTTAGGCCGGTTGGGTTCAAGACCAAGGTGAAGCCGAGGGAGTGAGGCTTGGTGTTGTGAGGATGGAACCAGTCTGGATACGAGCCGGTTCGAAGGCCTTTGATGCAGTTGTAATTTGAGTTGAAATAGGTGCCGCAGTCAGTTTGCTGACAAGGAAGTGTATTGGTTTCGCAGTGGTGCAGGAACGTGGGAACTGAAGGAGCGGACTCTTAATACCATGCGTCTTTTTTGGGTTAAATATAAAACCATTCACCTAGCAAAACATTGTCAGAGATCCATCTTTAAAATTGCCGGATGAAACAGCTACGGAGGGAAGCTTTACAATTTCGCAACTCGGCATCTTCACCCCAATTCTCGGGATAAAAGTAGGTCGACATCGGCACCCCTCGGGCAAAGGCACGAATACGTGTCTCGAACCACGTACATGTTGAATCGTCATCATATTCTGTATTTGTATGCTATGTGTCTTGACGTGGGGGTATAAATGCCATGCATCCTGGATAATATGCGTCTGTCTTTATCCCATCCTGTATGTATATCATGTACTATGCTATTCATTCTCTGTATCTTGCGCAGCAAACCGAGTGCGCGTTCCATGCGATTTCCAAGTATTAAAAGGTTCACGTTTGAAAAAAAAAAGGAGGAAGAGGGTATATAAAACGCCACAAGATGCACCCGTGCTGAAAAGAAACCGATGCAAGACCCCCCCCCCCCCCCCCCGAGAGAATCAGATGGTGCTGCTTTTCCGCAGAGAAAAAAAGTTCCACCCCTTGCGGCGTTCTCTGACCTGGGGGCACGCCTTCTCGTCCTGCTCCTCCTCGAGCTCCAGCCTGTAGCGGCGCACGCTGCCCGAGTCGTCGTCAAAGGCTACGTGTCTGGGCGTGAAGCAGTCCGGGACGAGGTGCCTCCTGATCCAGCCCTTGACACCGCGGCTGGCGGCGTCGATGGCGGCGTACTCGAGGCGGCGGGTGCTGTCGCTCGTCCAGTAGTGTGTCGTGGGCGGCGGCAGGTTCGGCGGCGGCGGCTCGACTCGGGATGCGGTCTCGGTGAGCTCGACTAGGTCCGGGGCAGGGAACTGGAAGTAGCCCGGAGACGGCACGCCGGACTGGGGATACGACTTGGCCGATCTGCGCGTGGACGGCCGCGCGCGAGCCCGGGCTGTGGTGACGGCGCCGGCGGTGGAAGACACGGTGGAGGTGCGCCGCGACGGAGGGACCGGCCGCGGGTGGGAGAGGGAGTTTCGGGCCGAACCAGACTGGTGTGACTCGTACCCCGAGTCCTGCCGCTGCATCTTGACGGCCGTGGGAGGCGGTGCGGGCTGGATGGGCTGGTTCACGCCGTCCGCCGCCCGGCCCGAGTCGATGGCGCCTCTTGAGCGGGGAGGAGACGGCGGCTCTTGCAGCTCGATGTCGTGGAAGCTGTGGTAGGTCGTGTCCGACGACGCAGCAAGGCTAAACCTGGGATTCATATCGGGAGAGGGGGGTTGGAGATGGTGCAGCGGACAGTCCACGAGAGCTGTTTGGGGTGGCAGCAGCAGTCAACCAATCCAGTTGGTCTAGGGCTTGAAGAAGAAGAGGAAGAAGAGGAAGAAGGAGAAAAGGAAAAGGGAATAAAACTGGCACGAGCTTGGGAATTACAGCCAACGTATTTGGGGAAACGACGACTAGTCATTCCAAGCCTGGTCCCCCGAGAAAACGAGATGTTTACCCAAAACCCCCAATCCTTGCGTTTCGTCCAATGAAATCCAGACGGCCCTGCAGCTTGGTCCAGATGGGTTTCGGGAGACGACACCAGGGTGCGGTGATGCTTTCAAAGTTGCGGTCTGCAAGGGCCTCGACAGGGTATAAACGGAGCCGGTCGCGTGCCGTCGGCCACAGCAAGGCCATGCAACGGGATAGCAGGGGATGAAATGGCACCGGCAGCAGGAGCAGCAGCCAGATGCTCTTAAATTATAAAGCGACCAGGAACCAGAGCGGGCGGCCTGCACCGATTCGAATCGTATGTGTGAACAGGGGGTGGTGGCAGGGGAATACAAGCCCAAGGAACAGACGGCGGTGAACAGGACAAGTACTGGATGAATAATTAATACTACTCCGTACTCGGTGCTTCGTAGTGAATAAGGCTCGAACAAGCGTGTCCGCCTGGTCTCCGTTTTGTTCAGCTAGTTTCTCGTCTTGGTGAGTCCTGGTGGCGGTCTTTGTGGCAGTCTTTGTGGGTTAGGTAGGTAACCGGTAGGTCTGGCCCCGGCCGAAAGACGAGCGAAACGAATCACCAATGGGTGAATTGCGTGTTTGATGATGAAGGCGGCGCCAGGGACTGGTACTAGTACCCGTGATGCGTGATGCGTGAAGAGCCGGGGTGGTGGGTGAAAATGTGGGCGGGAGAGGGCGCAGCAGGAGCATCCAGGGATTTGACGATGAGGGGTTTATGGGCTCTTTTGTAGAGCTGGGTTGAATCTCGACCAGAGAAAAAGACGAAGTTGTGCGTGACTGTTGCTGGGCTCTCTCTCGTGAACAGAACAGAGTACAGAGTACTCCGTAGACGGCGACTCAAGGCCGTCGAGTCAAGACGCTTGAGTGGGGTTGAAACCCACTATGCAAGTTTCGAGAATACTTGTCGATGCGTGTTGAGGAGCAGATGGAGTTAATTTCGTTCAATGTTCCGTGCATGTGCCCTTGTCGTGGGGAAAGAATATTGGCTGCGGAGTATGAAGGTGAACGACGTCCTGCCGGCTGTCGACGGGCCAAGCGAGATGATGATGATGAAGGGGAAGACAAAAACGCAAAAGTGCCTCTTCATGCGGCCCCAGAGGTTTTTAATAATAATAATAAATACCGAGGAGATGCCTCCGTTGTCCCAGCCGCGTATTGGCTGGCCGAGGGCGCCAACGTGTTGGTTTGCCAAACACCCAAGTGGCAATGGCTGAACCTTGAGGTCATGCGTTGGGGTCCAAACATGCAAACATCCACGGACCGGCGGCGCGTGCAGCGGGTAACAACGGGCGCAGCCGATGTCGCTGCACCGACCGGGGTGGCTTTTGAGTTTGGACGAGGAACCTGATTTGAACAGCTTTGCACAGCGTCTCCAATGGCTGACATTGAAACGGGAGAAGAATCGTCCACCAGACCTCTGGGCGTGGGAGGCTTGCCGATCGCGAGGACAAAGGCGGAGACAATAGCGACAATCACTCGCCTCCACCAAACGGGCTGTGAAGACGGTGCAAGGGCAAGACAGTGGCTTTATACTCTGCACCACCGGCAGAGTACTAGACAATCTGCCGGCATCAGCCGCGGCGTTCACAGCACTTCTACGGAGGCAAGAGCGTCCCGTGATGGGCGCGTGCCACCTCCATGTCTGTTTCGTCCTTGACCACGGTCATGTGATGGAGCCCACGATCGACGCTTCCTCATGCCCTGGGATGTGTGCCGTGTGTGTGTGACCATCACATGTCGGTGACGAGATGTGGCGGCGATGCCCAATCACTTGCATGCAGGGACACGGAAACCAGCTTGATCAGACGGATTCCGGTATGACTACTCAGTGCTAGTTATTACTCCGTACACCGCCGAGAAATAAACGCCGGTTGGTCCTCGCTCCATGTCTCTCATGTTTGAGGGGCAGCCCCGTCAAGCGCCTGCATGAAGGGTAGGGTTATCCCTCGACGCCAACGTCCTGGAATCAACATTGAACGCACACGTGGGAGGAAACGGGCCCCGACGAACAAAACCTTGACGCGGCCAAGGAAGAACGAGTATGCCGTCCTGTTTTCGAAACCGGTACTCCATCTCGTCGGCCTTTTCAATGTCGCTCATGGACAATCGGGTAGCTGGCGTGGTAGTGGCGGAAGACGCCCTCAAGCATGGCCTCTATAATCGGCTAGAAGATGCGATGCCCACATAAGCCCCGTGTACAGTCAATGGATAGTTCCATTTGTGTATCCAAGCATCCTCGTCATGTGAGGCTCCAGGAGTTGCCCGTGGGCCGAACTTGTTCCCGTCAGAATGAGAAACTGTTTACGGAGTATGTTCTCATCCAACTGATCCGTCATTTCATGCCGCTGCCTCTGCCGCCTTGAATTGGAATTTCCACAACTGAGGCGTGTTTGCCCAGGCCGTCCAAGTCTTAAGGGATGCCTCAAAATGTAGTTATATCAAAACCGCCGATATTACCATAAAGCGGCGTGAGTTGATCGTACACAGGTGCTAAGAAACGGATAAAATATGTGCAAGCAACAGCACCGTGCGACCAACAAAGCGAAATAAATACCGAATCATCTCCATGTACAAAAGTAGAAAGAGTCTAGGATACTCGGAGATGCCCTCGACTGCCACTGCGGTCCTACCCCTCAGCGCTGTCAATCAAGACATCGTGCCGCCCAAAACTGTGTGCCATCACATACTCCCCATTGACCAAGTCATTGCTCTCCGCCCTCGCAACAGCATCCTCCATCGACTCCTCAATCCCAGCGTCAAGATGGCGTGCGGCAAGTCGCCGTTTCGCAACCTCGACATCGACCCTGACCAGCCACCGATCATCCACCACGTCCCCAATAGCACTCCACGGCGCCTCGTCGCTCAACAGGTAGTTGCCCTCAAAAATACAAATCTCCGTCTCTGGCGCTATCGTTACCCCGTTCTGAACAGGGTCTCCGAGGGCGTGGTCAAACGTCGGAGCAGACACGGCACTGCGTCCGGCTTCGGTGCGCAGTCGGCAGGCCAGTTCGGCCGCCGCCTCGCCGTCAAACGTCCACGGGGCGCCACGCCGAGCAAGGGCGTGCTGCGCATTGGGCAGCGCCCGCAGCGCCCTTCGCGAGAGGTGGAAGCCGTCTGCGGACACGGCGACTATCGACGGCGCATTGTCGGATCGCGCCACGTGCTCGACGACTTTGCTCGCCATGGTGGATTTGCCGGACCCCGGGGGGCCGGCGATGGCGACCACGAGACGGGCTTGGCCGAGGGCCTTCTTTTCGGCCCATTTGGCCCGAAGACGTTCCGACAGAGCTCTGTACGTGTCTTCCATTGTTAGGCTCTGGCTTGACGAGGGGGTTGAGCGAGGCAGAAGCAGAAGCAGGTCGGGGTTGTTTCTGTGTGGCAGGGAAACACTCGTTTTTGCTCAAGTAATTGCCGGAGGACTGGCCTCCGGGCATGTGGGGCCGATGGTGCGGCCCGGAAGAGAGCGGGCGGTAACCCTCTTGCCCGAATAGGAATCTGCTTCCCCGCAGCTTGGGCATCACTCAGGTCTACTTGAATCAACCCGATGTCGAGGTTATTCCATCCACGAAGAAAACCATGCTTCATTGATAGTTTGCGCCGTAGAATAGACTCTAGCATGGCAGACACCGTGGGTTATTGTCGCCGTTTCATCGCTGTGCTTCACTGACGCCCCCTAGAACCCGGCTTTCGTTCTCCAATCCATCAGAAAAGTTTCGTTCGAAGACCGGCCCGTACCAAGTCTACGAGATGAACACGACGTTCGTGTTCGCATAGAGCGGACTGGTATCTGTGGCAGTGATGTGCACTACTGGCAGAAAGGACGCATTGGCGACTTTGTCTTGGAGCCCCATCGTCCTGGGGCACGAGAGTTGCGGCGTCGTGGTCGAAGTTGGGTCGAAAGTGAAGAACGTGAAAGTTGGCGACCGGGTAGCCATAGAGCCTGGAGTGCCGTGCCGTCGATGTGACCACTGCCGCTCGGGCCTCTACAACCTTTGCGGGGATACAGTGTTCGCGGCCACGCCGCCTCACGATGGGACACTGCAAAAGTATTACATTGTCGCTTGTGATTACGCGTACCCCATCCCAAAACACATGACTGCAGAAGATGGAGCCCTGGTCGAACCCGTCGCCGTTGCAGTTCAAGTGAATAAAGTGGCAGATTTGCGCGCAGGACAGACGGTCCTCGTCTTCGGGTGCGGCCCGATAGGACTTCTTTGTCAAGCTGTGGCCAAAGCCTCTGGGGCAAGCAGGGTGATTGGAGTCGACATTTCCCAATCAAGAGTCAACTTTGCGAAAGAGTTTGGCGCCGATGGCGTGTTTCTAAGCCAGTCGAAACCGGTGGAGGGACAAGATCCCGTGCAGGCGTCGAGAGCCGTTGCCGAAACCATCATCGCTGAATTCGGGCTTGGAGATGGTGCAGATGTGGTCCTTGAATGTACTGGTGCCGAGTCCTGTATCCAGGCTGGAATATTCGCTGCCAAGAAGGGCGGCACGTTTGTGCAGACCGGAATGGGCCCAGAGAATGTGACTTTTCCAATTACAACTGCGTGTGTCAGGGCTTTGACGATCAAAGGATCCATCAGATATACCACCGGCTGTTATCCGCGAGCTGTGGAACTGATTGCCAGCGGTAAGATCCAGCCTAGGAAATTAGTAACGCACAGATTCAAGTTTGAGCAGGCAGAGGAAGCATTTGAGTTGGTGAAGAAGGCACAGCAAGATACATTAAAAGTAATTATCGAGGGAGCGTGTAGCCGAGTTTGCTGGGATATTTTCTGGAATCGACAGTATTAAAGTGCATATCTGGACCCGGAGAGATGCTTGCAGACCACCCGTTCCAGCATTTATGCATGACTTCTCCCATATATACCTTGTTGAGATTGTCTTAAATGTATCAAAAATTTATCGTCAATCATGAACTACTCCTCTTGGCTTGAATTCCAGCCCGTCCTTAAGGTGGTTCCAAGTTGTGCCTTACGCAACAGGTTTCTCCAACTCGTCAACGCTTGGTCGGCGATCAGTCTGGGCAACAAAGACCTTTCGGAAACGTCCGTGGCATAGATCCGTCATGTTCTCCTTCACCCCGGCCCAGTTCTCTCTCACAATATCCATGGTTGGTCGCTGGAACACAAGATCAATCTCCTCCAGTGTCTTGTTCTTTGTCTCAGGCATGAAGAACACTTGGTAGACTTCGCCGAGAACAGCGATACCGCCGTAGAACCCGAGAGTGAGGCCAGTGCGCGTCATTGCTTCCTCCATGGCAGTGAAGTTGTAGGTGACAATGAAGGAGGCCAAAAAGAGAAGGGCATCGGAAGTGGTCATGCCGTAGCTTCGGAGGTACGTTGGGTAGACTTCGGACGGCACGACTAGAGACGGCAAGTATTAGTGGACTGACTTGGAAAACAAGAGTGCAAAACCTACCCCATGTCAAGCAAGCGTATGAACCAAAGAAAGCCATGTAAATAATCAGTCCGGTGAGATAACAGCCCTCCGCAGCCATGGTGTGCGTCTCAATGTTAATCTGGTATCCAATACCAATCAGCACCAAGCCGATGAAGAAACCCGGCAACATCATGATGGCCCAGAACCGTCTACCGCAAGTTTCCATGAGGAAAACGGCCGGGATTGTGCCAATCAGCAAGGAACCACCGCCAACCAAGGACATGTAATTGGCCTTTTCGGCTTCGTATCCTATCTGGCTCATCAATACAGACATGTAGTACATGATGGCATTAACACCAGTGAGCTGCCCCAGGAGAATCATGATATTCGCGTAGATGAGGGCTCGGCGGGCACGAGGAACACTGTGACTTTTATTAGATCATGCCCCAGTGCCGTGAAAACCTTGGGATACGTACGTGAAAAAGTCCATCCATGGGAAGCGTCGATTTTTGGCCACCTCTGTAACAGTGCTGGCTTCTTGACGTACCGCGACAGCCATTACGTAAAATTCTTCCTTGGACTCGGTCGTCTCAACACCTCGAATACGTTTCCAAACCTTGAAGGCATCAAGAGCCTTGCCTTTATGCATGAGGTAACGTGGGCTTTCGGGTAGGAAGAGCATTCTATGAGGACCTAGCTGTTAGTTATATAAGTTCCGAAACTAAAAAAGGAATGTAGTATGAACATACCCGAAAAACATGATGGTAGAAAATACTAAGGAGGAGCCGAGAATATATCGCCAGTTACCAGGGACCTTGAGAAATATGGCGGCAACGGCATAGCCAAGAACTTCTCCAAGGGCAATCATGAGCTGGTACAACGAAACCAGGTTACCACGGATGCGGCGTTCGACTGTTTCTGCAACGTAAACGGGAACCGTACCACCTTCTAAGCCGACTCCGAGACCCAGAATAACACGGCCTGCGACAATCATGCCTTTGATGAAAACCCACGTCGTCAGTACGTGGATCATGGTTGGACTGTACAAGGTGACATACCAAAGTCAATAGCACCAGCTTCTAGAGCTGCTCCAATAGTGTACAAGACCAGGGACAGATATATTGCGCCTTTTCTGCCAAGATACTCGTTGGCAGGCGACAGGATCAGCGCACCGCCCACTGCACCAAGTGGCATGCCGGAGTTAACTAGACTGTTCTCTCGTGGCGTGAGACCCAAGTCCTTTGGGAGGTACAGATTTGCGCCGGAAATGAGACTCTGATCCAGCCCGGAAAGAAGGCCACCCATACTGGCAAACGCTACCAGCAGCCATGTGAAGTGCTTTGGATCCTTAAACTCGAGGTTAAAGAAGCCTCGCTTCAGGCCACCAGAAGCCTCGAGTTCTTGCTCCATCTCCCCAATCAACGTATCTACTTGGTGGCCGCCGGCACGCGCGACTTCGAGAGCCTCGGCCTCGGCCTTGTCGTTGCCGCCTCCACCCATTGTATATGAGTTTGCAGCTCTTTCTCAGAACAAGGTTATCAAGCGTGATGGACGGGCTTGACGACTGGAGTTGAAGTTGACAACAGAGGTGATGGACGAGGAGAGTTGCGACTGAGGATGCTATGGTTCGTATTGCCACCCCAAGCGGGTCCGTGTGACATTTTATATCTGGCATGATCATGTCCGCAAAAGAAAAGCCTTGTTGTCACTACTACTACTACTACTTAAAACCGGTGTTTATGCCGTTGGTCGGGGGTTACATTGCGGAGGGGGCCTGGGGCTCCAGATGGGGACCCCAGCATGGAGTGGAAAGAGGGAAGAATAGTAATATCTGCCGGTTTCTTGACTCGTATGTTTCTTTATTCGACCGAACAAGTGGCCGACAAGGGTGCTGGAATCGCGTAAACACATCGATGGGTAAGCCGCATTTGACAATGGATGTCACCAGACGTTTGAGACCAACATACGCAATGAATGGTGTGGTTGTATGCGGATTGCCGACATCGCGGCCGGGCTCGCCGATGGACGAGGATATGTTTTCAACGGCATCTATGAGTAAAATGGGCCAATGAAGTCAGAAGACAAAGAACTATGCAGTCTTGGAGGAGGAGGAGGTGGTGGTGGCATGAGACCGAGATGCTCAAAGCGAAGATCGCCAAGTGGTACATCCACGGCCCGTGTTACGCCCTGGGCGCACATCAAAATGATCGGGCCGGCAAATGAAGTGGACCAGGCTCAATTAGTGCGGCTTCACGCCCGTGCCACACTAATTTCTGCTGTCGCGGGCGACGACGACGGGTTGGTTGAGGCATTTTCACCGGTGGTTGGGGTTGGGGTTGACGTTGAGGGCATCTTGGCAGCCACATCTGCAACGATTTCGGCAGAGCTACTCCGTAGAAAACGATGAGAGATGGCGCCCAGCCTTGTGCCAACGGCTAATGAATTATCCTTTTTGCCTTCAACGGCCGATGGTTTGGAGTGGACGAGGGTCGGGTGCCACAACCGTCAAGTGTGGCCAGGGCTTGTTGCTGTTGGTTGTTGTTGGCGCAATGTTTTTGGTAGGGTGAGTCTAGCGTCACTAGCCTCGTGCAATTTCTAGAAAGCCTCCAGGGCATCTCGGACCGACAACATTTTTGAGAGCCAATCAAGTTCATCAACCTCAGTTTTCCTGTACAGAGGCCAAGGCAACAGGGCAGGTGGTCTGCAAATGAAGCAGACACGACATCAAGGACGGAGTAAAGGAGGAGGCGTATGCAGCGCATGATTTTTTTGGGCAATTTCAATATCATTCGATTCTTTGAGAGTAATGGAGGGGGAGGTTTGCTCCGTACATCGGAAGCAAATATCTGCAAACTCGGACCAAGCTGCGTTTGTTGTTCACCACTTCCGGCGACCCAAAAGCGAGCCCGAACTCGTTAAAACTGCACATGCAATGAAGCCAACTTTTTGGCACGGCGGGACTGCTCGGGCCACTGCCGGCTGCCGAACTGGCTGCCCATGAGCAGGGATGGGATAATTCGTGCATCACCTTCCTACTAGTACCCAACTATGTCTCAAGTCTAATTGTGCTACATCAAGGTCCGCTTGCCAGAGAACCTCACTCAATACGCATACCCTGCACGAAACAAGAAAGGAGTCAATACAACTGTCAATCAGTCATTGGTAGTAGGTACGAAAGTATAAGGACTAAAGTTGGTGGCACGTGACGCCGGAGTTTTCTGCCCCTCCTAAACCCCGCCACACCACCATCCCTACCTTTGGCAGCTTGTCTCCAATTTGTCCATCATCTCATGTTCCGTCCAAGAGTACCAGTCTACACCGAGACGACTTGCTATCCTGCAAAATGCAATTGAAGACCACGCAACGGCTCGAGCTGCCGCCTACGGCGGACATGCATGTGCATCTGCGACAGGCCGAGCTCATGGAGCTCGTGGCTCCTACTGTCCGACAGGGAGGAGTTGACACCGTCTTTGTGTAAGAATCCATATTTTTTCATATACAAGTAGTACGTAATGTATGCATTGCAATGCTGATTTATTCAAATAGCATGCCGAACCTTGTTTGTTCCCGTTGCCTGTCCCCTGTCCGCTGTGACGCCAGGTTTCACGTGGAAACATTTTAATCTTGGTGCTACTCAGGTTCCCCCCATTACAACTGTCGAAAGAGTACGTTGGATATCTGAATCGTTGCTACAATGGGGCAACGAACGCGGCATGACCGAAGAAGCCAAACGCTAACGTTGAAATCGACAGGCATTAGAATACAAGGCTCAGCTGCAAAAGATCGATCCAAATGTTCACTATCTTATGTCTCTATTCGTATGTGACGCGGTTCTCTGTAGACTCTGGCTTGGACATTCTAACAGAAGCGTAGCTCCATCCTTCTGTCACCCCCGATGTGATTGCCAAGGCCGCCGCCGCCGGTATCACCGGTGTCAAGATGTATCCCCAGGGTAAGGCTTGATGCGTATTGCCTGCCTACAACGAATGCTAACCTCCTCAGGTGTCACTACCAACTCTGAAAATGGCGTTGCCAATGTTGAGGCCTTCTACCCTACATTTGCTGCCATGGAAGAGAACGATATGGGTATGATGCCTTTGCCCCATTCTATGATTTGTGGGCACGAGTCTTATCAATGGCAGTGCTGAACCTCCATGGTGAGGTCTTGGAGTCTCTTGCTCCTGAAAATACAACTCTCGAGGAAGCGTTCCTACCGACCCTCAAGAAGCTTCATGAACGCTTTCCCCGTCTTCGAATTGTCGTGAGTAATCACTAAGAAATCTCTGTTATACACGACTGACATATTTAGCTTGAACACTGCACCACTTCTGCAGCTGTTGAAGCAGTCAAGGCCTGCGGCCCCACCGTTGGCGGTATGTGATACTCTTTTGATGACGACATACAAACGAAACTAATAATGCAATGGATAGCAACGATTACGGCGCATCACCTTTATCTGACCGGAGCGGATGCTTGCTGCGACCCGTTTGCCTTCTGCAAGCCTATTCCCAAAAAGCCTACTGACAGAGATGCCCTTCTAAAGGCTCTGGTCAGTGGTAATCCCAAATTCTTCTTGTAAGTCCCGAGAACATGCAGGACTCTAGATGCGAACCGCACCTTGTCTAATCATTATACACAGTGGAAGTGATAGCGCACCTCATCAGATCATCTCCAAAACTTCCGCTGAGCAAGGCAAAGCTCCCGCGGGAGTGTTCACTCAACCAGTTGCGACTCAGCTCGTACTGATGGCCTTGGAAGAAGGCGTTGTGCGTGGTGATATTAGTGAAAATGACATCACACAGGAGAAGTTGGAAGGGTTCCTCAGCCGGCATGGACGACGCTTCTACAAGCTTCCTGAGACGTCCGACAAGAAGATCATATTGGAGAGAAAGGGAGAGAAAATTGGTACGAGTGTGAAGAGTGCAGATGGAAAATTTGAAGTCGGAATTTCTCGAGCGGGCACTGAGATTTTCTCATTGGCTTGGGAATCCGTCTAAATTGCAATTAGTTGAGTGGTGGTGTCTTGTTGCCAGATCTATGGAGCGAAACCTGTTGTTTTGAAAATGGAGTTGGGGAAGGAAAAAAAAGCTTTGATTCAAGGATGTGGCGGATGACAGTGACGAATCAACACAACGTAAAGCATAAAAAGTCTTGGTTATAACAGCAAAATTTCTTCTGGGTACATTACTTTTTATCCTACTGTACCATACTGTATTTTGACTGACAATCCATTGGCAGACCAACGCTACTGTACATCGCACGCTCTTTAAACCAACTTCTGCCCTGGCTTCTCCTCCATGTGCGCTGCGGAATCCTCTATTCCCTTTGTCGCATGCATGATATTCATCTTTGCCTCGGCGCCATCAAACAGATATGCGAGTTCCTCAAGTGTTGGTCCTGCAGTCTCAACGAAGAAGAAGTAGACGACGAGGAAAATGATTGTCACCCAAACACAGTAGTAGATGTAGAACTTCCAGCCAATATTCTCCAAGCCAATTGGGTTCACATAGCCTCCAAAGATGGACGCAACTTGAATAGTCAACAGCACAAACGCCCACGTCTTGGCCCGCATCTGGTACGTGACGACCTCGAGGGGGTAGGTGACAACCAAGTTGGTCCATGCAAAAGTGTAAAATGCTTGGAAGATGAAGATGCAGGCAAGCACCACACGGCCTGCAGCTAGCGAATTCTTCTCGAGATACTGCTGGGCAGCAATGGTCCAAACAACGAATGTGACGACGACACCCCCGGAACCAACGAGGAAGAATGTCCGTCGCTTAAACTTGTCTATTATGACAGTGACAGTCAGAGCGACCATGTACTGCCACAGCGTGACCATGCCATTGACAAGAGTAATGTCCTTGTCAGCGTTGACGCCGGTGTCTTTAAGAATCTGGGTCAGGTAGTTGGACACGAGCAGATTTCCAGAGCTTTGGCTAAAGACTGCCGTCGCAAAACAGAGACCGATTCGTTTCAGGTTGGGGACGGACGAGAAGAATTCCCTCCAGGTCATGTTTTGCTCGGCTTCCTTGGCAATAACCTCTTGGATTTCCGCAAACTCGAACGCAACCACAGGGGAACCGGGGTCGCATTCGCCGTGATACTTGACCAAGATTTCCCTTGCCTCCTCCTTCCTGCCCTTGGCAACCAGCCACCGGGGAGACTCTGGAGAGAAGAAGATCAACGCGAGCTGGTACGCAGAGGGGACAATCTGAATGAGAGTAGGCAATCTCCACGACCACTGGTTGGGGATCCGGAAACAGCCATACGTTGCCCAAGCGCCAATGACGTAACCCAGAACAATGGAGGTATTGTAGAACGTCGTCACCTGGACTCGCTCCTTGGGGTGGCTTAGCTCCGTCACCAGGACAGCAGCCGTCATTTGCACCAAGCCGCTCCCAAAGCCAAGAACCATCTTGCCGCCAATGTACATGTTGAGCGAAGTTGCAAAGAACTCAACAAGGACGCCGATGATGATGACCAGGGAGCCCAGGGCGGTGGGGATGCGGCGGCCAAACTTGTCACCCATCCAGCTCAGCGTGAGGAACGGTATCACTCCGCCAATGGCGTTGGAAGCGCCGAAGAAGCCTAGCTTTGAGCCCGTTGGGTGGCCGAATCGTTCCTGCCAAGTGGGCAGGACCTGCATGCCATTGGTCATGGACTAGGATGCATCTCTTGTTAGCCTTATGCACAAACGCACAATTGCCGATCCGGGGATGCATGTGGTGAGACGTGAGACGTGAGACCGTACCCCATCGATGCCAAGAGCAGCGCTCGTGAAGAGCGACGAAGTAAGAAGGAAGTAGAGCAGGATGCCGTTTCTTCTCTTCCAAAAAGGACGAATGGCCTTGAGATCGATAGGCGGAAGGATGCCATCCGCGGTATGAGCAGCAGAGGGAGCCATTGGAGCAGACAGAGGAGTTGCGAGACGACAAAAAAAAAAGCTTCAACAATACGAGGTCGGAGACTTGATGGTCCCTCACCAACGAATGTGATCAGACTGATATCGATACACTGAGTTGAAACGATGCGAACAATGTCATCTCGACCAAGTATATATATCATTTAGTTGATACATGGCTCTAGCGTGAAATCCTGGGATAAATTGAGACGAGGAGTCTAACGGTTCCCCGTGGGGGGTGAAGAAGGTGTGGGTCGCGGCTCGGGGAATCGGAAAAACGGCGAATTCGGACGGCGAAATCGCGCGGAACAATACTACTTGATATCCCGCTATGGAGATGAAGCGAATCTAGCAAATGCGACAGAAACAATCGTTATCATTCGATTTTCCTCGTCTCTCGTGGAACATATTCAATATAAACCTCGCATGGCGGGAGAGAGTAGCACTTGAAGGCTACAACAGCTCACTTCACTCCCTCGCGACGAATCCTTTCGGCGGGACCGGCTCTTCTGTTTGCGGTCGCAACACCAACAAAACTTACAAAAAATGGGCAGCAAGAGTTCACTCCTCCCTGCCGACTTTGAATGGGGCTTCGCGACAGCAGCGTATCAGATAGAGGGGGCTGTCGCGGAGGGCGGTAGAGGCAAATCCATCTGGGACACCTTCTGCCATCTCGAACCAACTCGTACCAAGGGAGCCAATGGCGATGTTGCCTGCGATCACTATCACCGGTATGAAGAGGACTTTGATCTTCTCACCAAATACGGTGCCAAGGCGTACCGATTTTCCATATCTTGGTCTCGCATTATTCCCCAAGGCGGCAGAAATGACCCTCTGAACGAGGAGGGCATTTCATTCTACAGCAGACTCATCGACTCTCTCCTCAAAAGAGGAATCACGCCCTGGGTCACGCTGTACCACTGGGACCTCCCCCAGGCGCTGCACGATCGTTATGGTGGCTGGCTTGATGTCCAAGAGTCTCAGTTGGACTTTGAGCGCTACGCGAGGGTGTGCTATGAGCGCTTTGGAGACAGAGTCAAGAATTGGATCACTTTGAACGAGCCGTGGATCCAATCCATCTTTGTAGGCCGTCCAACACTGAGAGATTTGTTTGCGACAAGATCAAATGACTGATTCTGCGACAGGGATATTCTACCGGCGGCAATGCGCCTGGAAGAAGCAGCACAAACGACCTGTCAGATGCCGGCAACAGTGCCACTGAGCCTTGGATTGTGGGCAAGGCCCAGATTTTGAGCCATGTTCGCGCCGTCATCGCCTATAACAAGGACTTCAAGCCCTCTCAAGGAGGCCAGATCGGCATATCACTCAATGGCGACTACTACGAACCTTGGGACAGTGCAGACTCTCGCGATAAAGAGGCCGCTGAGCGACGGATGGAATTCCACATTGGCTGGTTCGCCAACCCCATCTTGTAAGTGGCCCACTGTGAAGCAGAAGCAATTCTTCAACGGGCAGAGTTAACTGGGAAACATAGCTTGAAGAAGGACTACCCTAGCTGCATGCGCGAGCAACTCGGCGACCGGCTTCCGCTCTTTACAGAATCCGAGGTTGCCCTTCTGGAGGAAGCCGAGACTGACTTTTACGGAATGAACTACTACACGTCGCAGTTCGCTCGGCACAGGGGGGAGCCCGCATCGGATACCGACTTCGTGGGTAACCTGGACGAGCTGCAGCAAGACAAACAAGGGACTCCTGTGGGCGAAGAGAGTGGCCTACACTGGCTGCGATCCTGCCCTGACTTGTTCCGGAAACATCTGACCCGGGTATATAATCTATACGGAAAGCCCATCTACATCACCGAGAATGGCTGCCCATGCCCCGGGGAGGACAAGATGACTTGCGACGAGGCAGTCAATGACCCATACCGCATCAAGTACTTCAGCTCTCATCTAGACGCTATATGCAAGTCCATTGTGGACGATGGAGCTGTTATCAAGGGCTACTTTGCTTGGGCGCTTCTTGATAATCTCGGTGCGTTCCTGTCCATTTCTCAAGTATTTGTAGCTAACCGCTTCACAGAATGGTCTGATGGCTACGGCCCACGCTTTGGCGTTACATTCACCGATTACAAGACTCTAAAGCGCACTCCCAAACAGTCTGCGTTGCTGCTGAGGAAAATGGTTACGGACAGACAGGGACTCTCCGTCACTACTAGCTAATGCGACTAATCACGGCGGCTCTCAAGCTCTTCCGTACATGGCAGGGCTGCACATGTCTGGGAGAAGGTCGCACGAAAGAACCATGTACACGCTGCATATGGACAGATTGCATAAACCCAAGGAGGTGCGCAGCAAATCACGACTGGTAAATACAGCAGTTGCATACATTGTGTAAAAAGTTGCAGAGACGAGATAGAAATCCATGAGCCAAGGTCCGTCCAGCTCTACCTGTACATGAAGCGCTATTTTCCCAACAACCATGAATCCAAATACCCAAACACCCAAAGCCATGCTCAAATTCCCTGTTTTTTTAATCCTTTACATGGCCCAAGTGGACGTGCTCTTGAGAGCGTCCGAGGCCTTTGAATCAAGCCTTGTCAAAATGTCCAGCAGGACGCTAAAATCACTTCTCGCTCGCGCCGCAAGCGGCGACGCCTGATTACGATGAATAATAGACAGCAGCGTAGCACCAATGAGCCTAATCTTTTCTACCTGCAAGCACACAAAAAAAGTAAAATGTTAGCCCACTCTGACACGTCTGTCAATGTCAAACAGGATTATGGCGGCAAGCGTACATATGGTTCGCCGTTGACCTGCAGAGACCAAAACGGCGCCTCGTGCATGACCCTCAGCATGTCCCTCACTATTTCCGTCTTGCGCAGGTCGGCTTGCTCAGCCCCCGGGGTAAAGAAGGCGATATCTTCAAACTTTTGGGTGATGACCATGCGCAGACAGTGGAAGGAGACCTGGAGATTTGCGCACTGGATGACGAACTGCTTGGCTTCGGCGATGGGGCCGCCGGCGCCCCCGACAGCGGCAAATGTATATGACTGCAGGTACGGGGGCAGATCGTCCATGCATGTGATGAATTGTACAAAGAGCGAGTCTAGGCGCTGCCTCTCGGACTCTGTTAGTGCTTGGCTCGGCCGGTTTGCGGCGCCAAACTCGATGGACTTTTGGTCTTGGAAGAGTCGAACTTGAATCAGGAGGTCTGAGGCTGCTTGCCACAGCTTCAGGTTTGCATTGAATCCAGCGATGAAGTTGCTACCGTGGCTATCGGGGGGCGTTGCGACGTCGGAGACACTTGCCATGGAGCCCGACCTGTTGTCCATCCCGGTTGGGTATGCTGTAGTGACTCCGGTTTCAAAGGAATACTTGTGCATAGTTATTGGGCGGTTGTTTAGGATGGCGGCTGACTTATCGCCCATGTAAACGATCCAGAAAGCACGGCGGCGCAGCTCAGATTCCACAGGCGGCAGCCCTTCCAAGGCGGCCTCATCGTATAGCCTCATGACCTGTGCGAGTCTGGTGGCCTCGCCAAAGATGTGCCACGAGTACTTGGGCTTCCCGGCGGCATGGACGCAGTTTGAGTGAAAGTACCGAATGGTTATGGAGTTTGCATTTGGGTTTTCCAGGTCCGCCTCCAAATAGCTGTTCAGACAGTCCCTCGAAGCTTGCAAGAAGAGATCAGCCACCGTCTCGCCCTCGGGAAAGAGGTCCTTGGGGAGAAGGAACGCCGCCTCGGCACAAACGGCGGTAATGAGGGTGAATGTGGCATCGTGCCAACATCCCAACGTCTCGCCGCCGGGACCGGAGCCAACGTCGGGAGAAATTCCAGGCCATGCCGGAGGGTTCAAGGCGGGCAGAGTGTCGGCCAGACCGTCATTTCCATTTCGTGGCGCGTTCTGCAACGCCGAGTTGGACGACTGTGACGTAAATATGGAAAGCCCGTCACGAAGACTTGGTTCGTGTACCAGGGGAGTGAGGGGATAGAGATACTCGAAAAAGAGGCCAAAGCATCGCTCAACCATTTGCTCAAGGACCTTGTTTCGTAGCGACAGGGCTCTGGATAAAGTGCGCCACCGCCTGACGGCGGAAACGCCATGCGCTGCTGGGGGACTTGCTACGGAAGCAAAGTCTCGAGTCGAGGCTGGAGACAGTCCGGCGCCAGCGGCGAGTTGAGCTGAGGATTCCCATGGCGTCGTCGTCGACGAGCTTGGTGGGCTTTTGAAAGTGGCTGCTGCGGTCGAGCTGGAAGGGTGCCCGACAAGTGGCGCGTGGTGTATGCCTCTTCGACCGGAGAATGTCGACACAGACTCCGGCGGAATAGACGAGTCGGTGCTCTTCTTCGACTTGGGCCCGCGCTTGGCTAGAGGCAAGTCAAATGTGCAACGAGCATTGGTGTCTCGGCAGTGCGAGCAGGTACCCACGGCGTTGTCAAAGTCGCACTTGTAGACTCGAGTTAGGTTAGCTGTAGCTGTAGCTGCCCAAGGGCCATGGAAAGCTCCGACGGAGAAATAAACAATAAAGCCGCACCTTTGCTTTTCTTCGGCGGCAACGGTCGCAGGCTCGAGTGATCGCTTGGCGCCGTGGTTTGTCCAGGATTGGCGACAGAGGGCGTGGAGGCGAGCCCTGCAACGAGCTGCTCATGTTGACATGATGCTCGCCCTTTACATGATGGGACCGGAGGAGCAATGCCCTGGGACGGGGAAAACGGGCGAGGAAGCAAGGGACTTTCGGGGTTTTATGTCGGTCAAACGCAGTCTTGAGCGTCGCTCGCCACGTGGAGGATAGGATGATGGACGATCCACACTTTTATTGAGCAAGAAAACTCCGCATCTGACTTTCAGCTGGAGCGGGGGCGGAATCTGGGGTCAGCCAACTGTGTGCACGACATTGAGCTAAGTTCCAACTCGGGTCAAGTTGGACTCGAGTCAATTGTGCCGGCCCGTCACCACTGGCGACGGCTTGGCGGCCGTCACTGGTGTTGATTGGGCTCGCTTGTCAGGGGCCGAAATGCTTTAGGGTCAACTTGGCTAGTGCGTTTCCCGACCAAGTTGAGGCTGGTTTGCGGTTGCAATCAAACATCGTCGCCTGCTGGTGTTGTTGACACAAGTATAAATGAAGCTGCCTTGACGGAGACGGACATAAAGTTGGAACCAGACAGGCTGGGGGAGCACTTCAATTGCTACTTTTTTTTCTACAAGCCTTCGATTTGTGCCATTGGCAAGAATATGAAATCACTACTCGTGGCTCAATTCCTGGTGGCCGGTGGCCTGACAGTGGCATCCGCCTTGCCCTCGCTTCAGTCACCTCGTGCCGACCAAGCTTCGAATCCGTATCCCCGGTGTCGATTTGTGGCTGACTGGTCCCAGGAGGATGTGCTCAAGGACCCGAGAGGCTTTGAACAGGATCTCCTGTTTTGGGAGGGCAAGTTCCATCAAAATAATGTTTCGTACAACTCGGCCAATGGCATGACGTATGATGGAACACAGCTCAACTGGACGACGGGAGCTCGTTCGAACAAGCATCCCTTCAGTGCCGCCAGTAAAGAGGTACTTGGAGCTCTCTATACCCAGGTGTTTCCCCTAAAGTATGAGAGAGAGAGAGACTTGTCTAACAGCTTGATTTGATGTACGTAGGCTCTCCAGATTATGCTCTATGCACACGCCGTAGCTGGCTCTAAAAAAGCAGCTCGCTTCCTTACTCCTGATGATCCCTCCAAGGCTCGCAAGCTTGCAGCATCCATCATGAAGACAAAGCTTCAGACATATCTGCAATTCAACGAGTCCAACCCGGGGTTCGGCGGCTTTCTGCCTTGGATGACAACCAGCGAGCGCCAATTGTCTCCAACCTGGGACTGGGTAAACCGAGTGCCTGCTTTGGACAACGGGTGAGCAGGCTCTGAAGCGCGCCCCCCCGATGAAAAAGTTTTGGACTGACATGAGTCTTTGATTGCAGTGAGCTCGTTTGGGCCGTGTATGCTTACATCAGTGCCGCTGAGCAGAGACAGGATCAATCAATCAGGGACAGCGCCAGGGGCTGGCAGAATTGGTTGGACTATGTCAAGACCACGGCTGTTACCGTATTCTACCGCGGAGGGGGCCATGTGTGCGCAGTGACAAAGATGAACAACCAAACTCTGCCTCCCAAGCATGCAAAGCAGGGATACCAATGCGAGGGCACAAACTACCTCGATGACCCCTATGAAGGCGAGCTGTTCACCCATTTCTTGAACGCCTTTGGCGGGCTGTCTCGCGAAGATAAGGACACACTGTGGGAGGTTAAGAGGGCGAAGCTTGTAAGTGTGGAATACAACATGGGCGGAGTTGGGCCCATCACGGTCGAGCAAGGTAATTGTCCCGTCTCCCTTTACATGGGTCCACTAGAGCTAACAAACATGTAAAAGGATATTGGTTCTCTAGCCACGAACCGTGGAAGGTTCTTGAGCTGCCATACTACGATGTTGACCTTGTGAGGTCAGTACGGGTCTTGTCGGCTAGTTTGGCTGTGGGAAATTTTGCTGACTCTTTTGTTTCAAAACGATAGGAGGTTATACCATAACGCGGAGAGAGCAAGGACTTGCAACTCAGTGGTGACCAAGGTTCCTGGGCTCTTTGCATCCGTCAACAACTCTACAGACCCGAACACGGATGAAATCATTGGCTACATCTCCCCTGCTGGAATCCCCTCCATCGCAAGCCAGAAAGAGCAGGAACACGATGTCATCACACCGTATGGTGTCTGGCCCACCATGCTGTTTGACAAGGCTGTTGGACTGGCGTGGTGGCGCAACATGGTTGTCGCAAAGAAGATGCAGAGTAAGCCACCTGGATGAATGCTGTCGTCGGAGATGCTAACTTGCGACCAGATCTTTACGGGAGCACTGAATCCACACGAGTAGACGGGAAACTGGTGTCGGCACTCGTTACTTGGGACAGCAAGATTACAACCGTTGTGGCCCTTTTGGGTGGTGTAGGTGACCTCGTTCGTTCAAAGATGAAGATGGATCGCATTTACAAAGATTTCATCGCGATCACAAAGGTAGGTTCGACTGCGTCAGATGCGCCTGAATTCCCCCGGGACTTGTAAAGACGACGACACTAATGTCCGAAACAGAAAGAGTACGGTCTAGTATTCAAGGATTTGAAGGGCGAGGACATTGCACTTTGCTTGCCCAACGAGACGGTGCCGGATGCCGGGTTGGAGGACTTTACCCTCTGTTCCGCATAGGCTGTAAAAAATGACGACGGGAGGGGAAATGCGATTTCTCTTGGAGAACACGTCTGGTTAGACTGCAATTAGTCCATTACGTATGTGAACAGTCCAAGGCTGTGAAACCGTGTGAAGGGGTTCAAATTTCAATGGCTGGTAATCGGCTCGGTTATTGCCAAGACCCACGCGGGTTGAGTCGGCTATATGGATTTTGTGGAATTTCCTCTGACCAATCATCATCACCCTGGACATGGACTTGTCTACTCTGTATAAGTTTCAATGTTCAACGTGAACAAGCAGAGCGTCTTGATACGCATTGGGTGCCTGCAACTGATCCAATGGGCGCATAAAATTTCCGTAACATGGCAAGGCCACGAATAACCAGCCTTGGCCAAGCGAAGCGACTTCTTACACAGCCATGGCTCCCTCCACCACCATCACCATGTCAAAGCCGATGCTTCTCAGCAAGCCAGACGAGGCGGATCATGGAAACAACTGGCTTCACTGAGAACCAGCTCCTGGTGCGCGCCTCCATCAACCAAATATGTTCCCAGTTCCCGAGCTCGTACTGGCAAGAGCGCGACCAAAAAGAGCAGGATCCCAAAGAATTCCACGCCGCCATCGCCAAGGGAGGCTGGCTAGGCATTGCACTCCCAGAGTCACTCGGCGGCTCAGGCCTGGGCATATCCGAGGCAACCATGATGATGCAGACAATTGCGGAATCGGGAGCCGGCATGGCCGGAGCACAGGCTATCCACGCCAACGTCTATGCCACCCAGCCCCTGGCCAAGTTTGGCACCCAAGAGCAGGTGAACGAGGCGATACCCAACATCATATCCGGCAAGTGGCGGACGTGTTTCGGCGTCACGGAACCAAACGCAGGACTCAATACTCTGGGGCTGTCGACCACGGCCCAAAAGACTGCCGACGGGTACAGCATCACGGGGCAGAAGATCTGGATTACGTGCGCGCAGGTGGCGTCCAAGATGATACTGCTGGCTCGCACCACGCCCAGAGACCAGGCCAAGAAGCCGAGCGAAGGGCTGTCCCTGTTCTGCATCGACCTGGACCGCGCCAGGCCAGGCCTGGAGCTGCGGCGGATCAAGAAAATGGGCGGCCGGGCCGTCGACGCCAACGAAGTCTTCTTCGACAACTACCATATCCCGGCCTCGGCCGTGATCGGCAAGGAGGGACGCGGGTTCAAAATGATACTGCACGGAATGAATGCCGAGAGGTGCCTCTTGGCAGGCGAGGCGCTGGGCCTCGGATACGCAGCCCTGTCAAAAGCGGCGTCTTATGCGCGGGAGCGCGTCGTTTTCGAGAGGCCGATTGGCATGAACCAAGGTGTTGCGCACCCCTTGGCGGATGCCTATGTCAAGCTCGAGGCGGCAAAGCTGGCAACCTACCATGCGGCAAGGCTATATGACCAAAGCACCCATGACCCAAGTATCAAGCAGGATGCCGTCGGCGTTGCGGCCAACAGCGCAAAGTATGTGGCGGCAGAAGCAGCCTTCACGGCGTGTGAGAGGGCTGTTCTCGCCCACGGCGGCATGGGATATGCAGCCGAGTACGACGTGGAGAGGTGGTTCAGGGAGTGTCTTGTCCCTAGAATCGCGCCTGTGAGCCGGGAAATGATTTTGAACTATATAGGTGAGAAGGTGCTGAAACTGCCGAGAAGCTATTGATTGCGTGTAAGTTGGGATCCGGGGAGCAGGGGAGACTCGCAGGGCAAAAGGATTGCTACAATAGAGACATTTATGTTGGGAAAAAAAAGAAAATAATAATAGATAAAGAAAAATCATACTTGCAGCAACTCATCACCTGACCTTTTCTGCTTTAAATCTTGGATAATTTCCTCGTTTGCAATGGGAATGGAATGGTGGCCCAATGCATACATGCCTGGTCATCGGCGTGTCTGACGGAAGGAGCAGGTCCAGGATGTCGTCAGTCGCCACACCGCAGTTGCAGACACCTCACTGACTTCTCACTCTCATTCTCACTCTCTCACACACGGCATTCCCTCTCACTCACCAACCAACTCACACGCTCTCTCACCCGCCGCGACCACAACCCGTCCAAAGTAACCGATGCGCACCCTCCACATGCATTTTCCTCGCAAGCCTTGGATGCACAGTCCAATGTCCCTCTAAGAGAGCACCCGCACCTCCCCTGCAGGCGCCATGCCGCACACCGCACCATCCGGCCAGAAACCCAAGAAGACCCGCGCAAAACACGCCTGTCGTGAATGCAACAGCCGTCGTGTGCGGTGCGATGTGACCGAAGTCCAACCCTGCACCAATTGTGCTGCGGCCGGGGCCAAATGCGAGGTTCTTCCATCTCGCCGCGGACGGTACGCCACCAGTGTGAATTGGTGAACTTGAGGCAACACGTCGAGTCGGGTTCCCTTTGAGTCGATGCTAATTGACCACGACAGATATCCGCGCCGGTCTCGCCGTTTGGAGCCCGCGCCGCCTCCCGACACCAGTGTGTCATTGAGCCCAACGCGCACCGTCGACACCAATGTGCGGCCGTCCTCCAGTCTTGCCGGCGACTCTCATCTGCCCGACTTGGAACCGCGGTCGAGCCCAGTCGTCGCAAGCGAGGACGCGGGCGCCGGCCTCAGCAATGCGACAGCCTCGGCGGCATCCGCAGCCGGCACGCTCTTCTTTGGCGAGTCCAATTTCCTGACGCTCGTGCCTGGCAACGAGGCGGCCGCCTTGGAGGGCGCCGGCAGTGCCTCGAATCAAAAGCCGCGACTCACATTCCCGATCCCCGGGAGCCCCGGCTCGCAATCGCAGGTGGAAGGCGCCGGGATAAGCGCCGGGACCATGCGATACCTGCGGGACGAGGGCGCCCTCACGCTCCCGGATCTTCAGACTTGCCTCCCGGCTCTCCAGGCCTACTTCACATGGTTCCACCCAAGCTTCCCAATCCTGGACCGGGCAGAGGTGACCAGGCGGCTGGCTGCCATGGATATCTCGCGCTTTCTACTCCAGGCCATGCTGTTTATCGGCGCCACGTACTGCGACGACGACACCATCGTAGCCATGGGGTTCAAGGATCGATCCGAGGCCAAGCGCATCCTCTACACGAGAGCGAGACTCCTCTTCCATGCCGATTGGGAAAAGGACGAGATTATCCTGATACAGTCTCTATTTCTCATGAGCTTCTGGCGTGGCGGCCCGGCAGATGTCCGTGATGTCAGATACTGGCTCGGCGTCGTCATCACCCTGTCCGAGTCGTACGGACTGCATAGATCGTAAGTCAGCGCCCGTCCAGACCAAGATGCGAAAAACGCTCTGCTCACAGTTCACCCCGTTCCCACCTTAAGACCGCGATCAATTTCGAAAAGCACACACATGAATCGGATGCGACGGAGAATATGGTGGTCCATTTATGTAAGTTGCTGCATTTGTTGCCATGGATCTGCTGGACTCAACCCCTGACCAGGCATACAGGTGCGTGAGCGCCAGGTTGCGGCAGCACTGGGGTTGCCCAGCCGTATAAGAGATGAAGACTGCGACATTGAGCCTCTCAGCGCCACTGATCTCGAGTCTGAGGCTCTGTGTGCCAACAATCCGCTGTTCGGGTCGTGCCAACCGGAGCACATTACGTATACCATCAAAATGGTTGAGATTGCCAGACTGCGTAAGTGTAACTACAGAACCCGAAAAATTGCAGAACGGATTTTTTTTTCCAAAGGAAGCTAATCATGTCCCAACAAGTCGGTCGTGTCATTGATCTACACTTTGCTCCTGGCAAACGAGCCTCGACGGCCGGCGACGTCAAAGGCCTTGACAACGCCCTGGAGGCATGGAAAGACAGTCTGCCAGAGAACATGAAGTATGCAACAGAAGAAGGTAGCGAGTCGGTATGGACATGTCTACTGCACCTAGCATACAAGTGAGTTGTACGCAAGAGCACCGTGGCCTAAATCTAGGCTGACCTCGTGGTGACGCAGTCATCTCCGCATTTTGATACACAGAAATAGTTTCCTACGATGCGGAGAAGGGGACAAGAATAACCAGGTCGTCACCGCTGCTGCCTGCAGGATAAGTAGAATCGCCGAGGACATGTCCACGCACGGCACACTGCGATACGGACAGATGCACTTGTAAGCTCGGTCTTCCGTCGATTCTCTCTTTTTTCTTTGTTTATATAAATTGTCTATTCGACTAATGCCCGTGTGTAGAATCACTAGTCTCTTTGCAGCTCTCTGCATCCACGTCATCAGTATTCGGCGGGGAATGGGCGTTTCAAGACGAATCGCAGAGCATAGAGCACAGATGTGCCTGCTTTGTCTCAAGGAGATACAAAAATACTGGAGGATCAACAACAATGTCCTTGACTTGTTCCTCCAATACCTGGATCGATCTATTGCCGAGAGACTGCACGCTGCGCAGACGGACGGCGCTGGTAATGACGCCGCGACGGGGTCAAAACGGCCGGACCCTTTTATTGGGAGCAATGGCGATGCATCGGCTGCGCCGTCTCGAGGGGACCCGGTGCTGTCGCCTAGTGCGGAGCAACTGCGCAGCCAGGACGACTTGTTCCAAGACCAGTACTTCAATTTGGTTAATGGTCATTGGGAAGGGGACGATGCCTTGGGAGACTTGGGGCTGTTTTTGCAAGCCGACGACTTTTCTCCCGTCAAGGGCCTGAACTTCCTCGGCCGGTCTCTGTAGCCGAACAAAATGGTATTGTGCTGTGTCAAGACTCTGTCTTGGAGACTGTGCAAGGGGTGAAACTTTTCAAGCACCATGTTTTATCTGCTTGCCAATATATACATATAGACACTTTGGCTATGGACAACCTGGAGAAGAAATTGTTTACAAATACCATCTAAACTCGGGGGAATTAGGACCATCCCGCAGCTTGAGAGTTGACACGTCCTGAGCCTTGAGCTTGATGCCTGCCCCGCGGTCACGTCTTCTATTGTCAAAAATCATGTACAGCCCCAAAAGACACGCAATAAGGGCGCCAGAAGCACCGAAGCCGGCCGCGGTGATGAGGGCCGGCATATACTTGGGGGCGTCGTGTTGTTGGAAAATGTTACTGGCCACCAGACCCATGACGTTGGCCAAGGGCACACCCACTGATGTGAGTGTAACTCGACGGCCCTCGTGGGCGATGTTGTTATTGTACCATGTCGAGAGGAGGACCGACGGCGCAGAAGTGCCCCAGCACATCATGAAGGTCGCAAAGTAGGCAACTTGAATTTGGGCCTGGACGTCGGTAATGGATGCGTAGATGACAAATCCAGAAAATGTCAAGGCGAAGCCGAGGACGATGAACGGAAATCGAACACGGGTAAAGTCGGAGGCAAAAGCCAACAGAACCAGAACAGCAGCGCCCGTGACGCTCGGCGCGACAGTGTAGAGGTTCGTCTTGACGGTAGAGTAGCCAAGCCGCTGGATGATTTGAGGCAAGAACAGTGCCACCGACTGGAGCGGCACGCCAAGGCAGACTTCGATGGCCAGGAAGGCATACGACGAAGGGTACTTGAATATCTGCAGGGCTTCCTTGAAGCTGAACTTCTCCAAGACGACCGAGGATGAATCGACTTGCATACGGTGGAAGGCCAGTGCCTTCTCCTCCTCGTTGAGGAACCTGGCCTCGGATGCACTTTTCGGCAGATACCAGAAGGCGAATATGGCGAAGAGCACGGTACCCGATCCCTCAATCAGGAAGAGATAGCGCCAAGGGTACATGCTGGACTTGATGTGGAACACACCAAAGGCAAGTAGTCCGCTAAAGGCATTGCCGATATTGGAAGCAGCATAAAAGATGGCCAGCCGTCTGGCCAGCTCGCCACGTCGATAGAAGGTCGTCAGGTAGTAAATGACGACGGGGAAGAAGGCGGCCTCTGCCATACCGAGGAACCAACGGACCGCAAAGATGCCGCCAAAGTTCTGGCAGGCTGCGGTGAGGAGAGTCATGGAGCCGAATGTGAACATCATGACGGGCAGCGCACGGGCAGCGCCGTACTTCTTGGCGAGCATGGCGAAGGGAGGGGCGAAGATGACGAAGGGCACGAAGAAGATGGATACGACGAGGTTGTATTGGCCGTCTTTGAAGTTGAGATCTGTCGGAGAGGGACTGTCAGCGGGCAGACATCTGAGGGGGTGTTTTTCTGTTGTGGGCAAGTGTATTTACTCTGGCTGAGGCCATTTGTTTGGGCGTTGCCGAGATTGCCTTTATCAAGGGCGTTGAACAGGTCTGTATGAAGCAGAGTCAGTGTGAGTATGCTCGATGTCATCCAAGACGTGGCAACAAGCTGCAGTCAAAAGAAAGGAGCTTACACATGACTACCAGGACTGGCAGGATACGAAAATCAAACTTGAAACACAGGCTGCGTTCGGCTGCATGGTCGACCACGGCCGTGCAATCGCTGAAGACGTTGTTCTTGAGACACTCATCCTGCTCGTGGACATGGCTCTCCACGGCCTCAACGTCTGCAGCGGTTGCTCTCATGATAAGGTCGGCAAGCACCGACTTGGCTCAACGGGGTAAAGTAGAGCCCAGTGTAAAATCAAGCTGTCTGGTGTAGAGGATGGCGGCCCGAGGACCAGAAAGTGGTGAGTGTGAGTAGAGCAGAGCGTTGGCAATCGTCCGGGAGGACGTGCTTATTTTATATCCCAAAACAACCACAGCAATTCGATGTGCGAAACACCAGATTTGTCAGAAAAGATGCAGCTTTGTGCAGATGACACTGCTCCTCAGTTGGGGTGCCGTGGGATACGCCTTCACGTCGTCCATGACCTTATCTTCTTGAACTATCAAGCGTCCGGTCCGTCGCTGATTTGCATGCATGCAAGCCGATGGCGATCATGGAGACGGAAGGAAGGGCTCAGACCTGTAATCTCTCTACTGCTAGATATGCCATAACCCGACTTTCGGCTAGCGCCACACGTGCGACCCTTGTCACGAGATACTCCCACCCCGATGTTGATTGAGGGCGAGGACAGCGTAGACGGGTTCTAGACGGCGAGTCGATCGCTTGCCTGCTTACTCCTTATCGACGTCCCGAAGAATCCACTGATACTAGCTTTTGATCCCCGCAAAGTCGACAAGCCACGGTGGGGGGGCCCCTTGCAGAGTACTCAAGTACTTTTGTACAGGTACTAGCACTTGAGCCAATCACTACGTGGGGGTCGACACCTTCAACGCACGAGCAGCAGGCTTGCCGCACTGTGGCTGTCTTCCTCGCATGGCTTGGAGGGGGTCATTCTTCGGGACAAGTCAAACCCATGCCAACAGGTTCGGAGCCAAGAGCTTCGGGAAGTGAAAGACCCCCCCCGTGGAAGATGAGGGGTCAAGTTGCAGCTTGGGGGGTCAAGTTCTAGTAGTATTATTGATTGGGAGCTCCATAAGGCCTTAGGAGTGTCGTCATGTGAGATGCTGCAATCCATTCAAGGCCGCCTCGTCACTTCCCAACAACCTTGGACTTTTACACGCTTCACTCCATTTCTCGACCTGGCGTCTCTCAGCTCCAAACCGTCACCTACTAAGCATCCAAGACATCGCAATGGCCTCCAAGGTTGCTGTTAGTACCGATAAGGCTCCCAAGCCTCTCCCTGGCATTTACAGCCAGGCCATCAAGGCCAATGGCATGGTCTTCGTCTCTGGCGCTATTGCCTTGGACGCCGAGACTGGCAAGCTGGTTGACGGCGACGTCCAGGCTCACACTGTAAGTTTCTCGACAAGCCTCATCTCATCAGCCGTGCTGTGGAAGAGTACGATGCTAACGAGTCCCCCAGCACCAATGCATCAAGAACCTCTCTGCCATCCTCGAAGCCGCTGGCTCCAGCATCGAAAAGGTCGTCAAGGTCAACGTCTTCCTCGCCAACATGGCTGACTTTGCCAAAATGAACGAGGTCTATACCACCTACTGGGGCGATGTCAAGCCTTGCCGAACGTGAGTCGGTTCTGTGCAGCTTTTGCCCTTTTGCCCTTTTGCCCCTCGCATTGCTGTGCGCCGTTTGTCTGTCAAAGCTACCCCTCAGTACCCCTCTCTCACTGAGAGTCATCTCGCGTTTCGTTGTAATATCGATGGATTGTTCTACAGGGCGAGACCCACTGAAATTGTCATGTCATGCCAAGGGCGCATCGAAGACAAGATCCGCGCAAAAAGCACGCGCGGGGTGCGAATGCGTCCAAGTACATAATATGCTGACAGATGATGAACAGGTGTGTTGCCGTCAAGACCCTGCCTTTCGACACCGATGTTGAGATTGAATGCACGGCCCTGTTGTAAGGGAGAGCGTATCGGGATGCAAAATTGGGCAGCGAGACATGGAACCAAGACTAGGAGAAAATAAAACAATGCCGCATGAGTAAATAGCCCAAAAAACATCAACTTTGACGATTCCAAATTCATCGTGGAAAATCACCGCAGCTGAATGTACTCGATACTGCTCCTCATGATGTAATGTGATAGATAGTTTGAGGTTGGCATGGCCAGCTCAAGCATGGCCGCCCCTCCGTCAGCTTGGAGCTCGGAGCTCGAATCTGCAGCAATGCATGCAATTGCCGGCCGACATGGGTTCAGAATGTCTTTGGAAGCCAGGTTTAATACTACCAAGAGGACCAGTTGACTGCTTTTGTGCTGTTGTGCTACCTCACATCGTACGACATGCCTACCTACTTTACCTACTAAGGTACTAGTAGTAGTAGGTACATGTACTAGTTACAATCTCCAGACCCCCCAAATCGGCAGCAAATCATCGGGTAACGTCCCAATAGTAGCGCTCGAAATCCGATGAATTGCAAATTGAGCCTGGGTTTCGACAGTATTGATTGCATATAAGCGCCTACCTACCTAGGTAGGTATGTAAGCATCATTTCATGAGAGTGTCAAACTGGTCCTTGACTCCCGTCCCTGCTCTCAGGCGTGCTAGTGTGGGGGTCTCATCAGGGTTCAGTGTCCCATGTCCAGATACCATCGCAACCAACCGCTCGCATCTCGTTCAATTCTTGTCAGTTATCAGGTTCTGCCGGCAATTCAACTTGTCGAAAAACCACAACGTTCTAGAATTCTTCTCCACTCATAATTGACTTTCTACCACCCCCTACACCTAACCCAGATATCGACAATCTCATCTTCCTTGCCGGCCTCATCCTCGTCCACGACAAAGTACCAGCCAAAGTGGCTGCTGGTGATGCAAGCGTGGTTGGGCCAGAGCCGGACCTTGTCGCCAACCCCGGGAAGCTCCTGGTCTGGCTGGACAGGCTCCGACTTTGTATTTCCCGACCTCCAGGTGAGGATTCCGTGCTCCTGGGAGAAACGACCAACCATCCAACCGCGGAAGTCCTCAACGTCGCAAGTTGGCAGGCCAACGCCCTTTCGACCCCACGGACTAAGCATTGCCATGCCCTCGTACGCCTTGCAAGACTCTCTAGCCAGCGCGATGCCCCCCGAGCCGATAAGAGCCTCGGGTGTTCCGTTGGCTCCCCGTCCGGGGTAATTGCTATGAACTTCTGCCAGGACCGTCAGGGCAATGTCTCCCCAGGACAGTCTCGAGGCAGAAATGCTGTGAGCTGCCAGCTGTTGCAAGTCCAGGGTTGGATAGACGCCGGCATGGATCTCAACAAGATGCCCTTTGCTCCTGACAGTGGCAAACATGTCTGAAAGCGCTTCGACTTCCGCCTTGAGTTGGACAGGGACATTATCTTGCCCTTCTTCAGCCGTGGTGATCAAGTTTTGAACAGCCAAGGCTGTCGGTGATGCCCCAGCAGACAGAACCAGGGGGGGCAGGCCTGCCATCGACTTTTCTGCGGCTCGCGACGTCAGCCGGTCAGCTCCCTCAAGCATGGCACTGAGCTCTGCCCTCATCATCTTGATGGCTGCCGCACGGCTATCGCCTCCGTACGAATGCCCGGCATGAGAGTATAGGCCGGAAAGCCTAATCTTGCCTTGGCCATGTGCCTCCAATGCCGCATCGGCGAGTTCCAGGAATCGTGCGCTCTGCGCCTCCACGCCCGCCCGCTTGCCGCCCATGTCAATTTTGATGTGGGCATGGGGAACCACGCCGGACAGGCCTTGGAACTTGGAAACGATGGGAATTTGCGCGGGATCGTCGAGAAGAACGGATACACTGCCTTCCCCTAGGACCTGAGCAACTGCCGCCAAACGGGACAGGGCATTCTGAGGAATTGGAAGCCCGTATAGAACCTGCCGGAGCCAAGAGTCAGTGAGGAAAGAGACTCCATCTTGCCATGAACTTGGTCCATACATTTACTTTTCTTCCCTGGCTTTTATACTCCTTCAGCCTGGGCAGAAGAAACTCGGCCTCGGCCAAGGTTGACACAATGAGGTTGACAGGCCTTGCCGCATCGGTTCCAACTTGAAATTCGGTTATTTCAATCGTCTGTGCACCTTCAAGTCAGCTTGTCAAGTTTGCGAAGGGTCAATTCTAATCCTTGTCACCTTGTGTGTTTTTACGTGCGCTCTCCAATCCAGGCCGAGCTTGACACAGGTCTGAAGCATGCGCTCGCAGTTTCGCCTCACAGCCGCAACATTGATCACGGCAGCAGGAGTCGGCACGTCGCGAATTGACTTGCCGATAAACTGCGCCAGTATATGCTTCGGCGAGGTGGGGTAAAGCTCAATTGATGACATTTGGACACCCAATTTCTTCAATCAGAGGCAGATGAGTCGCCGAATTTTTTGGGATGATATCAAGGAATGTTGGCACTTGTCTATCTCAGCCTATATCCTTTTGAGCCTGGGAAAGATATGACTTCAAAGTGCTGCGGCCAAGTCGGGTCTGCGAGAACAGGAAGATGATTGTAAAAAAAAGCCTCGGAAGAAAGTACTCCGACTCGTCCTTGTTTATTCATGTCGTGTGTCCTCCCCAAGTGTCGCATCCCGTGCTTGGCGGCATTTGACGTTGCCCCGCCACGCAGGCTGAACTCCGCACATGCGGGAACGGAGAGTTGAAGAAACAGTTGCGCACACATCTGGGATTCTTGCCGTGGTGGGGGTCATTGGTGACCAGTGCAGTGACATCTAGATGTTGAAGCCCCCACAGAGCTGATATCAAAACCACTCTAATCACTTCTACCAGACCTCAGAATCGAGACACCCTACCGCCCCCACGAACGGGTACGATGATGGTGATGCGACATTGAACGCGGCGAGCCGAGATGAATTGCCTCAGGTTCTTTAAAGGACCAGACAAGATACAGTAGCTAGGATGCTGCTTGGGTCCTTAGACCAGGATCGGACTGTATAGGCCCTTGAAGAAAATGCGATGCATGTCGAAACTCGGGATGCTCTATGTCCTAGATCCGATGCCAAAGCGAGCCCTTGCCATAGGCGTAAGCAATCCTCCCCAGCAGGGGGCCCTTATACTAACTAGTGGGCTCAATTTTAAACCCCTTGGGCTGTTGCTGCCGTTAGATTCGGGCCTTTCGAAGCTGTTGGATGCGAGCCCCTTAGGCTGCTGCTGCTGCTGTTGAATTTGAAACTTTTTGGCCGGGTTGATTGAAGTTAAAGAAGGATAGCTACAGCTATTAAACTTCCTGGAGCTTCTTTTTATTTCTCCTCCGGGGGAACCGCAATCGGCAAGCGTGGGGATTGGTATCATGCAGCCTGTTCGTGAACAAAAAGCCGGCAACATCCCCCATGGCTTTGTCACGTATGAGCCATTCACATGGTAACTAATTTTCAGTAGCAGTCGTCGCTTCCTGACGACTCGCTCACATTCCTCCCCGCAACCCTACATAAAGGCAAGGCTTGCAGTGAGGAAAAATGGCAGCGAATGCTACCGGGTGCAAGTCAAGTGTCCTTGGCTTGCAGGTTTGGCATCTGCAGCCGCGGAAAGCACGTAAACGTGTGCTTTCGAGCGGAAACAGGAGAGTCCATCTATTCAAAAATCAAAGTCAGCACATGCCTGCCCATTGGCGGTTTCGTTGGTGTAAAAATCCAGAGACATGTCACTATCCACGTTAGTAAACCATGACAAGGGCAGCAGCCAAACACGAATAAATTTCAGCCCATGAACAAGGGTTGTCCAGAGTCATAATCCGCAAGACCGGGTAGCCAGTCAAGCAGAGCCAAGTCGGCGCTACTCCGCATCGTTATAATACATGATCCGGTTCTATTCGCTATTCCGCCATATATGTGCCCCATCCCTTGCGGGGGACGTATAGTATGCTCGCAAAGTGAGTCATGATGTTCCTGAACGCCGATTCAACCAGTATCTTGTGTATCGGTATAATGCTGATAATGGCTTTTTTTTAGTCAGAACAAGGACCGATATTCTGTTCATGTACATGTTTTATGTATTCTCGTTGTCGGCGGAAGGAGGAATAGTCTCCCTTTAAAATGGCCTCGAGAACACCACCCTTTTCAGGATTAAGCGCAATCTCCTTCATTCGGTCTCGCAAGGTAGAGTATGCGTCCGCAAAACGCGCCACTATCGAGTTCGTATTCGATGATCCACCGGAGATATCGTTGCTAGAATTATTGGGATCAATAATGGACAACCGATCTCGATTCCTGTAATTCAAGGTCGCAACATCCGACTAAGGCGAAAATTAGCAACCGGAGCAAAGTTCCGAGCATAACCACCAAGCCATGATGGTTTTTTTGTTGAAAGCTGGGGTGAAGTGCACATAGTACTCACCTTTCGAATATACCCAACTGGTTTCGTGAGCGATATTGCATTCGTCTCGTATTGGAACTGGCGACCGTAGAGCTCAAAAAACTCAAGCAGCATTTCTCCCAGATGGTGTTCCGGAATCAGGCTCCTGCTCTGAACATGAGGCATCATCTGTAGCATGCTCACAACCAGGCAAATGACTGAAAACCCGCCTATTCCCCCATTGACCGGCTCATTCAGACCACGCATTAACAAAAAATGCTTGATCACAGTGACGAGTATAGGCATGGCAGGATATTGCTTCTTCCAGGACAGGAAAGTATCAACAGCAGTTACGCCACCCAAGTTCTCAAACGAGACATCCACCTTCAGTCCCGTGAGCCTGTCTACAAACTTCACCAGTGGTATTCGAGCATGTGCAATGACCTCGATAGAATCGCTGTCTGCAACCTTCTGCATGACAAGAAACTTTTGGAACTTATACAACCAATTCTTGGCACTGAGATAAGTGGGCGGCCCGCCGCGCATGTAGCTAGCTGAACAGACAACAAGGTCCATATCCGCCGTGGGGAGATATAGGCCGGACATGAAAGAGCCGAAAGCATGCACTTGTGCGGAGGCAAAGTTTCGTGCATCTCGTCTCATAGCTTTGCAAAGATTTTCGACAAGATTGTCTCGAATTCTCTGTTCAAACGCTCGCGGCCGCACATAATCGTAGAAGTCGAGGATTTCCTTGTGTAACCTGCGTTGGAATGGTCAGCTCCATTGGTCAACCCACGGGTAGGCTCGAAATTGCCTCACGTACCGAAACGCCATGTTACGTGTAGCGGAATGGTCTATCGTTTGCCACGGACAGGGATCCTCGTTCTTCTTTGGGAGCCACGTTGGTGTGACGCTACCTTTTGAAGGCTTCGTACTGGCTTTCTTGAGCTGTCCATAGTCTGGGTAGTCTGGGGGCTTGATTTCATCATCTGCAGTTCGCTTCCGAGATCCAAGCGGGCCTGAGTGATCTGGGACCGGAAGGCCATTGCGCCTGTTTCTGTCATCCGGGTGCTTGTGGTTAAACGAAGCTGGGGCGGGAGGGGGTAAGGGTGGCGGAGGCTCTGAGGGTGGAGGCGGTATTTCTGCCACGCTGTCGTCATCGTCATCCTCCTCCTCTTCTTCATCCTCGGTAGTATCGAATGATAGGAAGTCTTCAGCTTCGGTTGATACCTTGGCCTTGGCGGCACCCTCTACCCTGGCTTTTCGAATTAGTTTGACTACATCGCGCTTCTTGCGCGTCGAGTCATCTGGACAAGGCATGGCCGTATAGGGATCCGGGTTGGACCACTTGGGGACCGAGTTCGCTTCTTCGGATGCGTCATTCGTGCGCGCGCGTTTCCTGGAGGGTCCTTCTGAATCCGATGCTGAGGAAATGTCCATTTCCAATTCGTCATCGTCTGATAGCTCGTCCAGGTCGCGGAATTTGGCTCCGCCTTCTCCATCGTCAACACGCTCTTCGGGGAGGTTCAAGGTTGCGCCGGAAATGAGAGCCCGCTCGGAGGGGTGAGGCGGTTGCCAGCGTCTACCGGGTTTTCTCGGAGGGCCGCGTCGATCTCGTCGTGGGCCTTTATTATTATATTGGTGACCGTTGGGCGGAAGATCCGGTATACCCGCAGGTTTGTTGAACCTGAAAGTAAAGTCTCCTTGTGGCACGGGTGGCCGGTAAGAATCCGACGAACGATAGTCATTGCTTCGGTGATTATATTGTCCATTACGATCATCCCCCCCGCGGGTCCCCGGCCTCCATGTATCGGAACGTGGAGGCGGCCTGTCGTAAGAACTTGAAGACGGCGCGAATCTTGGAGGCGACGGGCGACGGATTCCGTCTCGAGGACGGTCCCTATCGTCGTTGCGCCTCGCTTTCTTATTTCTCATGCTGCCTTATTTTTCAGCCAGTGGTGCAGGATATGCGCTGCAAGATGAGTGCAGCTGAGGCTGACCGCTGAAAAAGGGTGAGTTAGCAAGGTCAAGTTGATTGAAGGCCTGAATCAATCTGGTGCGCGTCGGAAGATTTGATGGAAAATGTGCGGCGCGATAAAACGGTAACTTTAGTGGGGCGTTTTGGCGCGCCTGTGCCTGCCCAATGACTAAGACAACCGCCCAATCGCACCAGATAACATATGTCGATGCGGGTCTCAGCATCAGCGAGGCGGCAAATGGCATGCGTGCTGAGCAAAACTACTCGAGGTTCCCCATTGTGACCGTGATCCAGCATGAACAAATACCCCCAGGCTCGGATAGGCCTGAGCCGCATCTATCCTGTCAATAACTTATGTTGTTACATATGTCCGTCTCTAGACATGTCTGGTATTCCCAGATCAGTTGATCCCCGGAGGCACCACTAATGGCTTCAAATGTCACATCCCCCGCCTGCCAGGGAAAAGATAACGTTGGAGCTTGACGCCCTGCAACTGGGCTGAGCCACAACAGTGCCTCGTCATGGCATCTCAGCGCCGCTCAGCTGACATGGAGGTCACATAGACTCAGTTGTTAGTTAGTAGCTGCTCAGTGGCCATTCAGAATTTCAGAGGTCCCGCCAGCGCCACCACTTCCAATGTGACTCGCGGTTCTTTTCAAGTCGAATATCGCGAGTTCTCGACGTCAGCAGAGACTACATTATTGCTCATCGAAACCCCAAAAACGTTAACTTTTTTTTTTTCGTTTTATACTAAACCAAGAATTAACCTGGCCTTCCAACGGCGCAAGGTCCCCCAAGTCCCATTTGATCATCGTTTCTGCTCCGGAATCCTCACAGACAACCCACCAGAGTCTGGGGAACATACGAAACAATGGGTCACACATCAGAACCAGACAGCGGGATGAAAAGGGCCGCCGAGGTGTCGGAGGCCATGTTATCGGTACCAGGATACGCGGATGACTCCATGTTCTTTACCGTCCGCTACGGACACAAAGCCAAGGTAGTACTTTGGAATCCCCTTGCATCACCAGCTGTCCATAACAGCCTAGGGACTGCTAGAAAGTGATGGCATTGACGATATCTCTAGGAGACGCTGAGGAAGTGCGATTATGACGAGTTGATGGAAACCCTGAACAAAATGACAGCGTTATGGGTAAAGAGTGGAGGAGGCGGTGCCAAGCCAGAACCCGGCGCCGAGGAACGACATGCCCAAATCATGGAGCTGCGGAGGCATTGCTTGGAGATTATCAAGGACTTCCCCGACCTCGTCCGAGACTTTGACCGATTCCACGCCAGCTCCAAGGCTGCCCTGTCAGCAGTCATGCGATCCAACACCTAGGTGGTTTCGCACCACGCCGCGCATGGTACGTTGGATTCATGTCACTTTGGTATTGAGCGATTCTTTGATGGCTACTTGAGAATGTCCAAGGTAGGATTTGTATTATTATAAAGATTCAGGGTAGACTGTGAAAGTCTGTAATTTCCCATCAAGTCCCAGTGCAGCTTGTCACTGCGATATTACGAAAATAGAGTCTACATAAGTTACCGTCTAGCCCAATGTCACACAAAACGCCGCCCAAGTCGCAAAAACAAGAAACCCCCGATTGGTTCTTATAGAATCAATGAAGCCATGACGACGGCAATGCCCATGGCCAACCATGAGTTTTGCGTGGTGGTCAACGCAGCGCCGGCGGTAGGCCCGGTGGTATGGGAAGAAGTCGGGACAGGAGGACGTCCGGTGCCTCCAGTGCCTCCGGTGCCTCCGGTGCCGCCAGCGCCGCCAGTGCCGCCAGTGCCGCCAGTGCCAGTAGGCAGGATGCCGCTCGAGTTGCCCGAAGGAACTGGTGATCCCGAAGCGGTTGAAAGAATTGGAAAAGGAACGGACGTGCCAGAGATGGTCACTGCGGTCCCGTTGTCCTCGGGAACGGTTTCAGTAAACAGAGGCGGCGAGACAACAGTAGCGGTGAACTGAGACTCAGAGGTGACGATCGGAAGCTCAGTGGTGATCAGAGGCTCAGTGGCAATAGACATGGCCTGAGTGAACGCAGAAGCTGCCAGAATGGCAGACAAGGTAGCGGTGGTTCGCATGTTGAGGGTTTAAAGTAAGGTCTTGCAAGGCCTCGGAAGTTGTCTGATGCTCTGGTTGCGCGTATAAGTGCAAAGACCAGGCAAAACGACGAACGAGTCTGGTGCTTTTGCTTGAGATAGATGTGTATAGCTAGGAGAGAGATGCCAATCCAGCTCGAGCAGTGCGAGGCCTTTTACTTATAGCCCATACCGGGCATAGCGGCCAGCCCAAGAGGTTGGCGAGCAGATGTGCAAAGTTGCGGCTTATCACGGCAGCAAGCACGCGTCACCCCACCATTACAGATATTTTCGTGTCGCTATTCTTAGACGGGCAATGGGCAATTGGACGTTGGTGTTGCCACCGGAGGCTGTGGTATCAAGCCTTGGTGGGTACCGGTGGTGTTGCGTAATCGCCCGTTGCGCTGTGCAGAAAAGGCCAACTGGTAGCCACAATGAGTGGCGCACCGCCACAATTTGCGGCTGTCTCTGCGCCGGGAGGCCGCTAAACCGCTAGAGTTGGCGAAGGCGCTAGAAGCCAGGCCCTGGCAGTAGCGAGTGACTCCAGTGAGTGCGGACAAAGTTTTCCCTTCTTGTCGTCAATGAGTCAAGGAATGCCAATCTGGACCTTTCTGGTCTGTCTGATTTCCTAAAAAAAAAAACAGGTTTCGGCTGGTGTATTCCCTGAAAGTCCTTGGAGTTGCTTGTTATTGACTGAACCTTGGAGCGCGCATCACAATGGCTGTGCTAGAATATCCGAGGTTGGCCTTTCTTTCTCACTTTCGTAATGCCTGCACACACTGTCGCTTATCCGGCACTTCAATGAGTAAACAGGTGCAGATCGATCGGTACGTCATCAGCAGACTTAGCCATCCCCAGCCTCTCTCGCAACCCGTCAAAGATGCATCCGACAGCCATGATTGGGTTGAGAGTCGGGTTGTGCCATGCAACTAACTAATAAATCGGACTTGGCTGAAATCTGTCGTCGTCAATTGTATTTTTGGAGCAACCGGCTTCGTCGCTGCGCGCAGAACCAGCCTCTTGGCGACGTCAAGCTTATCCTACCTCCTCCACGTACGCTTAGCTGTTCAGCTATGCTCAGCTGAGTGGGCAGCAATCCGTTTCGTGTGAAGGCTGGGACAGTGCTTTCCCAAATTCAGCGCTCTCATCAGGATTGGGTCAAGGCTCTCTCGTGACGCTCACTCATTCTGTCAATGATTCAGTTTTGCTGCTGTTATGCAACAGTCACGCCACGGTTGAGGGCTCACTGCCTCTGCGGCGTGACTTGTAAACGTATGACTGCTGCGTGTTTAGTTCCCCAAAATAATACTCCGCAAGTTGCTGTGCATTGAGGCGGTAAATGTTCGTTACAATGAATTCGGCCCATGTACGGAGTATGGGAACCCAAGATACCGCGTAATGATGATCATGTTCCAATGACGCCGCCTCAAACAGCTTCACACATGACTGGTGCAATCACCAGAAATTGCCAGTACACGCACTCCCGAGTCCCTACTATCACGACTATCACTCAATTGGTGTTCTGGGCCACAACGCCAACGCTGAGTGATCATACTGATCCGCTCGGTTTTATTTTCCACCTTAAATCCAAGGCACCCATCACCCCTGAACCCTGGCCTGAGGCTCGGGAAACATCCAAGCCACATGTGCACGCTAGGCGAAACGCAGGGCACAAGCTGTCCTGACAAGCTACTGGCCAGCAGCACTGGCCAGCTTGCCCGATCGCAGCAACACCAAGCATCTAATACGACGACAAAACTCCTTCGTCGAGTTGCCCTTCCATCGCCGCCCGGTTCCATACATCTCCCACGACATCGCCCTACTGTCGACCTCCACCATGTCCAACTATTACGGCGGGCAGCCGAATAACCCGCAATACGGCGCGCCAGGAGCAGGCGGTGGCGCCCAAAACCTTCAGTTCTACCCATCGTCATACTCGCCCGCCGTGTCGGGTGCTGCAACCCCTCAACAGGCATCATATGGCTACGGCGCCGGCGCATCCGGGAGCTTCGAGTCCGGCGCACAAGCTGGCTTCTCGTCGGCGGGCTTCGGCGGCCCAGGCGTATCAGGCCGAATGGGCGAGCACGGCGGCCTGCGGACGGGATGGCTGGCCGCCTTCTCGACAGAGGGATACGACGGCGAGCCCCCGTTGCTGGAGGAGCTGGGGGTGAACTTTGGGCATATACAGATGAAGGTATGTCGCGGCCGGCCGGGCGGCTTCCAGAGCTGCTGCTGACAAGTGTTTCCAGACGCTAGCAGTCTTGAACCCCTTTAGACACATTGATCAGCACATCATGGACGATTCTGATCTTGCCGGGCCGATCCTGTTTTTCCTCTTGTTCGGCACCATTCTGCTGCTCTCTGGCAAGGTGCACTTTGGGTACATCTACGGCCTCGCGCTGCTCGGGTCAACGTCGCTACACATGATCTTGTCGCTCATGTCACCGACCGAGCCGCCGTCATCCGAGTCATATCACCCTCAGTACAATGACCCGTCGTCGCCCCCTCAACACCAGCAGGGCGGCCATTTCTCTGCAACTCTCACCTTTCCCAGGTCAGCGTCGGTTCTGGGGTACTGTCTTCTCCCGCTCGTCGTCACCAGCCTTTTCGGAATCGTCATGCCGATGGACACGCCCCTCGGCATTGTTTTGAGCACTGCCGCCATCATGTGGTGTACGTACAGCGCCAGCGGTATGTTCTGTGCTGTTGGAAGAATGAAGGGCATGAGGGGTCTGGTTGCGTACCCCCTGGCCCTGTTCTACGTCGGTTTCGGCATTATGGGAATCTTCAGCAGCAGAGGCAGTGGGTCGTTGGCCAATGCAGCTGCTAAAATAAACGCTTGAAAGGGGGAAACACGTGGTAGGCACATTTTGCATGATACGGACGGAGTCATATTGGGTGTGGCGAACCAAAATAAAGGGCCGGGGTTGGGAACGTCGGCTAGGGCCAGAATCACATTTTGATGGCTGGAATTAGCAAGCATTTATCAATGCAATGGGGGGGGGTTGTACTATATTGCCTGGTGCGGCCCTGATTATGATAACGACAGTGTCAGAAGGATAGGGAGCTGATAGTTCAAGGTCTGGTATACATATAAACATAGTAGGCAAGGACAAGATAATTTCACAAAGCATACAAGCATTGTCTTGCCCAAGGCATTACATAGTTGCGTGTATTATGACCGAAAGCCGAATAGGGAGCCAAGTATTAGGTTTTAATCATGTAGCACAATAAAGGGTCTTGGTCACAGCAGGGTGTTTGCTTGTCTCGTGATGTAGCTACGAATATTGCAGTATTCAGCATATGCTATGATATTTGTTGCCGTATACTGTGTATCTACTGCTGAGGGGCCTTGATTGAACCACATAATGGCAAGACAGCATGTATCCAACCTGGAATGTCACAAAGTGCGCAAGAGTAGCATCTTATTATCGTGTTATTCTATCAATAATGTCGTATACGACAGTTCTCTTAAACGAGTAATGGACAACTCCCTATACCAGATGCAAAGTCTGTCTTCAATTCGTCCTCCTCCACCCCGTGCCTCAGTCCGGAACGCCATCTGACCAGCCGCTAGTTTATCCTTGGCGAATGCATAATAGAAAAGTAAAAGTACAATGGATTATCATCAACGATGGTGGTGGCCATGCAAACGTTTACTTTCGTGTGGTGAAGTCAATTTCAAGCGCTGGGTTGAAGCCACCGTCGCGTGCCTTTTCGCAAGTACATCCATCTAGAACGGCGTCAGCATAGATTCAACCCAGGGATTATGTTTTTCCATTTCTTTATGAATTGGGAGAGAGGCATACCAGCCGGTCTTGAGCCACAGGCACATGTTGCACCAGAAATAGCAGCGTTCTCGGTAGATGCGCGGTCGCAAGTGCAATCGCCGGCAGGTCTGGCTCGGCATGAGCATCGAGGCCCCTCGACCTTGTTCTCTAATGAGGCCTTGTCGCAGGTGCAGTGAAGGGCTGACTGCTTGCCGCAAGAGCAGGTGGCTTTCTGGGCTGGATTGCATCACGTCAGTTCCCATTGCACTGATGAAGCATATTCACGAGGTACTCGACGACATACCACAGGCGCAGACGGCACCGTCCTTGGCGCAGCAGGTGGAAGCCTTGGCGACAGTCATGTTGGTTCAGGGTAAAGGCAAAAAAAATCGAGGTTGGTTAGGGATAATGCGTGGTTTTCACAGCTTGACGTGGTTGAAATTGTTTTGGTATGAAAGTTGTGCAGTTCCAAGAATGAAGCCAAGGGACGATCTCTTTATAGATTCAGTAGAGCAGTGATGTCAGTGAGTGGTACGACCCAACCTGACGGGACGGTCATCATAATAGATGGGAAGTGATTGGTTGCTTACCAGTAGATTGGGTAAGCCGGCCAATCAGAGCGGATATATTTACAAGCATCTGGTGAGCAACCGGCAATGCCGCCACGTTACCTTGGACTGAAGTGGATCAATTGAGGCTCGTTCCTGCCTCTGGCGTGACACGGCGCAGATGCATCTCAGCATTACATTCGCCCTCATAAAGCCGGGTTTGCAAGGCAAGGAAGTCCACAAATGGTCTATAGGAAACGCGAGCGACGACAGTGGCTGGACGGTTGAATTCGCATTGGGCGTGCCCTGCAGCTAGGATACCGCCCTGTTGACTCGGTAGGATCTCTCACGCTTGAACATTCGAATTCGGGCACATCTCACTTGCAGTTTCCTGCAGTTACGAGCTGCCTAGGCCATATCGTCTGCCATCTAATCGTATATATACGCATTTGAGAGTCTTTCATAGCGAGGCGGCATCAGCACGAGTTTTGAGCAGAAGCCATGCCAGTCAGCCAATCAGAGCAAGTTTTATGCTTGGTTCTTGCCTGACCGAGAAAACACCAGACCCTTTGGGCTGAAGAGTTGTCTACTCTATCCAAGGCTAAGGGCAGAAAGAGAGCAAACGCGCGACAACTGGGGTGAGATGAATTCAAGTTGCACACACCCAATGGCGACCGCTAGAGCTGTGCCGGCGAAACTAAAGAGGACAATAGGATTCTTCATGACTTTTGTCAGAGAGGATGGGACGTGATAATGCTAGAGCAGGACGCTCAAAGTTCATCTACAACTTGGCTCATCTTACGCTTCAGCTCGGGGGACCAATACCAAGCGCCTAGTCAACTCAGGCTACAAATCATTTGGGCCAAGGGAAACGATCCATGACCATAGGACACCCGCTATGGTTGGGGTATGTGACAAATTACAAGGGACATATTTACCCGGATTAGTATGTATGCCTGGCTGCAACGTAAAGGAGCAGGATGCCACATGCCAACACACCTTGCTGTCCCCAGACAGCCTATCAGTGCGGGCGAAAACGCGGGGAAACCAGGTGCCGACTAAAATTACCGATTGGTTCCGATCTGGCGTGGCACGGAGTAGTCTGCGCGCATAGTACTCCGTACATACCTAGGTACATATGCATCAGGCTTGGCCAGCCATGAAGGCTCAATTAGTAGTGCCACAGGGGTGCTGAGCACGGAGCCAAGCTACCGCAAACAGAAGAGACCCAAGAAACCTATCGAATCTCGACGGCGCTCATCCACTGGAACTGGAGACATCGGTAGCCATTCCGCAGTGCTTTACAGCTGCTCTTGTTTACACCGCCGATGATGACGAGTCACGACGACGACGACGACGACAACGACGATGTCGATCGACCGGCCCACTTGGGGCTGGACTGTGTTGTGCCTCCATTCATTAACTACTTCTACAAGTCCTTTGTCGCGGAACGTAACGCCAGACGGGATAGAGGCGGGACGGATTGGCGTCTTCGGGCCTGTCTCTGAAGGACGACGTTGACCCGTCATCCGTGTCCATAAAGTGTCTTGGTGATCAACCCTAGAGGTTAAAACAGACCAGCTCATGTCTCAAAAACATCATCTCAGCCGGCGGGATGGCGCAGAAGAAGGAAGACCGCTAGTCATCCTGCCGCGTCCGACGCCAAGGCCGCAGGATCACCCTCGCTTCCTCATTTGAGGGCCATTGCTTTCGGAAGCAGATACATCTTTCCGATGGACTTGATCGACACACATTGTACTACATACAGTCTTTTCCCCGCGTAAAACCACCCTTGTCTAGTTCCGAACACTTAATTTGGTGGAGCAGACGATCCTGGTTCACAGGGAACTATACGGAGTACTACCAACTTGTTATCGATGGTGTGCCTCCAGAGTCAGCAAGAGCCTGATGGCGAATAACCGTCTGGACTTTACTCTTCTGGCCAGATCAAAGCTCTCCCTGCAACAGCAAATCGCAAAACCTTGTTCTACAGCTCTGGCTTGTCGGAACTCCACCCGAACCCCGAGCCTAACTGACAATATGAGGCTTTATCTGGGCCGTAACCGTTGCCGTGTCTCTTCTTTTTGAAGGTTACTTGGCGGACAAGGTTCCCGAAACATTTGAAATGTGTAGAACTTGGCGGTTGATGATCTGAACTCATCCATTCATATTTCGACAGTCGCCCCCGTCTCCGGCCATCTCGCCTGAACACTCATCCCACAGATGGAATTTGCTTTGCACCTGAACAACACTTGTCCATAGACGCATTCCTCTGTGTGGGTATAGTACCTGCTGTTGAACGAGCTTGTTGTTTCCTCAACGTCTTAGTCCACCCGCTAGGACAATGGCCACCGAAAAGCCCAACGACCACGCCGGGCATATAGAGACAACCATGTCCGGGTATGACAGCCAGGGCGCGGATAGAGACCAAGGCCTCAGTTCTGCGACGTCTGAAAAGGCCGCGGAGCGTGGCGAGGTTGCAACAAATGAGTAAGTTTTCCGCCGCATTGACAGAGGCAGTTACGCAACGGCCGCACAGAAGCTTTTCGCTGGGAACGGCCTCCGTGGTGGATGGTTCTGACGTATAAAGCAGATATGGAGAATCAATGATTCTGTTCGACCCGGTTGCTGAAAGGAAGCTTCGGCTAAAGATTGATTTATATATTATTCCGACCGTGGCCGTCCTGTACCTCTTTTGCTTCATTGATCGAACAAACATGGGTATGTGTTTGCAAAAAGACACCAGTGACAGAGTAACAGCTATGATGCTGGGGTCAAGGGCCCTACTACATCAAAAATTGAATAAGAATTTAGGCTTGATACCTGGGCAAAAGAAGCTGATTTTGTTGTATAGGCAACGCAAAAATTGCAGGGCTAGAGGCCGAACTCGGATTTACCGGTTACAACTACAACGAAATCATATCAATTTTCTACATATCGTATATTCTTTTTGAAATCCCCGCCAATCTTCTCTGCAAATACATGGGGCCGGGGTGGTTTCTTCCGCTTGCTACTGTGCTGTTCGGTATAGCTTCAGTTGCCACGGCATACGTCCACAACTTCGCCCAAATGGCAGGCGTGCGGTTCCTCCTGGGTGTCTTTGAAGCCGGCATGCTGCCAGGCTGCGCATACTATCTGTCAAGGTGGTATCGCAGGTCAGAGCTTGCATTCCGCTTGGCGCTTTATATCATCATGGCCCCCCTTGCCGGCGCGTTTGGCGGGCTTCTTGCCTCGGCGATCCTGAATCTGGACAGCTTTGCCAACTTGCACAGGTGGCGCATGATATTTGCTATTGAGGGCATCATCACCATTGGTCTGGGCCTCGTTGCGCTCTTCACCCTCACGGACCGACCGGAGACGGCACGCTGGCTTACACCGGAAGAGAAAGAAATGGCTACGGCTCGTGTCAAGTCGGAGCGGGTTGGCCAGACGGCCGTGTTGGATAAAATTGCCACGAAGAAGCTCGTTCGCGGAATCCTCAGCCCCGTCACCCTGAGCACATCATTCATCTTTCTTCTCAACAACATCACCGTACAAAGCTTCGCCTTCTTTCTCCCGACTATCGTCAGGACGATTTACGGATCAAAGAGTACCATTCAGCAGCAGTTACTAACCGCGCCGCCGTACCTCGTAGGGGCCGTGTTCATGATTCCCTTCCCCCTGTTAAGCTGGCGAATGGACCGGAGACAAATCTTCATCACGCTATCGGCCCCATTGGTCATGGTCGGGTATTGCATGTTCCTCGGATCCACGGCGTCGTCTGTCCGGTACGCAGCAACGTTTATCATCGCCATGTCAACCTTTACCAATGGAGCCATGTGCAGTGCCCAGGTGTCTGCGAATGTTGTCAGCGACACGGCCCGAAGCTCAGCCATCGGAGCTAACGTGATGTTTGGAAATATTGGAGGGCTGCTTAGCAGCTGGGCCTTCCTACCGTGGGACGCCCCGAATTATCACATCGGCAACGGGCTGAATCTGGCTGCCGCGGGCACGATTTTTATTGTCGCGTTGCTGACACACTTGTGGATGAAGTCCGATAACAAGAAACGCGCGACGCGCGATGCTGATGAGGAACTCAGAGGTCTGTCACAAGAGGAAATCGAGGATTTGGACTGGAAACATCCAGCCTTCCGGTGGAAGCCTTGAAACGGGACTGAATGCGTATCAAGGATCGATACTGGTGGTGTACTTGATATGTATTTTTTCGTATTTAGAAATGGCATTAGCTCGCCTCTCAATTCAACGAGTACAAAGACAACACTCTTGCCAAAGAAAAAAAAACATCCATGCATATGTCATGCTACCTCGGGGTTGCACCTTCCAGATCACGGCATCGGCATTCGGGTTATCCGCGCGAGTGGGGTCGACGTCGGAATAAGCTCAATAGCCTCACGAGTCACCTTCATGGCAATCAACATCGGAGCATCTTGCATTTAAAAGCAAAGCGGCGGGATCCCTTGTAGTCCATCTTGAAAAGGACAGAGATTCTGCCTTAACTGAGCGAGGCCTACACAAACCTAGATTGCTGGTCGTCCATCCGCTCAACATATTACAGCGACATCTGCAAGACTGCAACCATGGCTCCGGCTCCAATCCCAACAATCATCATCATCGGGTAAAGTAGCATCATGGGACCAGCGAAGCGCCTGCCAAGCTAACAAGGCACATCTAGCGCCGGCGTCATCGGTCTCTCGACTGCCGTAAACTTGCAGCAAACATTGAAAGAGACCATGGGCCCCGATCTACCCCAGATTCTCCTGGTGGCCCGAGAATGGCCGGGTTCAATTCCAGGAGCCCCCCATCAACACTCAGTTGATTACGCCTCCATGTGGGCGGGCGCCCATGTTCGTCCCATCCCGGCGACAACGTCCCAGCTGCAAGAAGAAGCAAAGTGGCTCAAGCGGACAGTCGCAGAATTTGATCGGCTGGCTGCCGAGGAGCCAGCGTCGGGAGTGACCAGGACACTCGGCGTGGAGTATCTCGAAGCTCCCGATCAAGCCTACCAACAGCAGGAAGCAGCGAGCTTCAAAAAGGAAACCGGGCTTCCGGGATTCAAGAAATACGCAAAGCCCGAGCTACCTGAAGGCGTTGCGCTTGGGTACGAGTACGAAACGTTTTGCATCAACTCACCAGTGTACTGCGAAACCTTGTTGCGGAAATTCGTGCTCCGCGGCGGCAAGACCATGCAGAAGGACCTGAGAAGCGAGTGGGAGGCATTCAGCCTGGCGGACAACGTAGCGTTTGTAATAAATGCAAGCGGCGCCGGCTTTGGGGACCCGACATGTTTCCCAACAAGAGGTATGGGCCTCCCCTGAACGTTCGGAGCATGACGACGATGTACACTGATACTTGCAAATCTTTTCATAGGCCAAACTGTTGTGACTGATCTGGTTGATGTGCAAAAAACCGTCACCAGACAATACAAAGATGGTAGCTGGAGCTTCTTGATCCCTAGGTTCTTCAATGGCGGCACTATTGTTGGCGGGACGAAAGAGCCGGATGATTGGCGACACGCGCCGTGTGTGCCAACCCGGAAGAGACTATTGGAAGAGGGACTGAAACTAGAGCCGCTATCCCACGGAGATGACAAAATCACCCCCAGAAAGACGATGAAAGAGGTTGGTGTCATTTCAGACATTGTAGGAAGACGCCCCACGCGTCATGGAGGAATGAGAATAGAGATCGAAGAGCGACGGATTCCTCACCCAAATAAGGACATGAACTGTTCTGTGATTCATGCATATGGTGCCGGCGGCCGTGGATATGAGATCAGCTGGGGTGTTGCGAATGAGGTCCTTACCTTGGCATCACCTCTTTTGGCCAGGTTATAAGCGGATTACATGTAACTGATTGGAAAAAAGGAGCGTTTTGGGGAGATTATTCATGTAGGGGAATGATACGGCCATGACCAGTATTTTCACAAGAATGTTTTACAATCTTCATCTTCGCCGCTCCGTCTCGATGAGCATTACGGCCAAGCCTTCTTCCCGTGCACCCAAGCCCCATGAACTCTACAAAGCTCATCTCCGAATGGAGATTTTACGAGTCCAGAGTGTAGGAACTCATGACCAACTTGTGTCTATAAGTGACTAGTTTATCATTTACAAACAACTCATACGTGAAGTCGCGGCCCCGGGGCGAAGCAAACTTGTTTGGTGTGGCGCAGGATGTCCTCGATGCTATTTTATGAATCGCCGGCTAGATGGCGATGGATTGGATGTAGTAGTTGATGAAATCTGCGTCCAAGAGATGCGGAAATATTGAGTGAATTTAGGTATTGGGCCTGCCGAGGCGTGGCAGCTAAAATAGTCGATCGCATCTTCAGCCATATCGAGTGTTGATGATGTTTGCGCTTTACGAGTTCAAAAGATTGACTCATAAAAGCACTATTTAGTCCAAAAGTATGATTTATCCATTAAAGATTGGATAGTTTCCTAGTTTCCACTGCTTCGTAGACGTCTTGTTTCTTACCTCAGAGTTACCCCAAGCCCCAGGATCCGATGAGCCGACATACAATGGCGTCCCCGTGTTTTAGCTCTACAAATATAGACATGTAACCCGATGCAACTGGCCGCATTAGCTGTGCAGGGTTCCATACAGATCATCACTAACAAAGCCATGCGGCCAGCCGGTTGCAAACTGCGTCCACACAGTCTGAAGCCTCTTCGGCTCGACAGAGGTATCGCTCGCCAGAAACCGCAGGGATTCGCATAAACTGGAAGCTGCGTGAAAGAAATGAAGCCATCACCGGGCCGCGGTCGAAACTTGGACGACTCGGGGCTCGAAGACGGCACTGCCGCCTCGGCAACAAGAGACCGGTCCACGTCTCCTAGATATGCTGCCCGATACATGGCCCGCATTGCTCGCAGTGTATGAAGCCACTGGCTCGCGGCAGTCCAATGACCTTCCCACAGCGACATGATTTGCAATACTGTATCGAAGCCCCTTTCGGCGTCTTGAACAAGTGTCGCGGTGCCATACTGTGCGTCGTTTGAGTATTGGATCCAGAGATGTCGTTCAAAGAATATGTCGAAACAGGTTTGCATAGCCTTTCGGTCCGGAAGTCGAACGGATGCCACTCACTACATTGTCCGCCGTCAATGGCAAGGTATCATACCCCTTATCAGAACCATTCTCTTCCGACTGAGCAAGGCCTTCGAAAACAGGGCCTGGCCATGCAAGTGTATCCCGCGAGATGCGCAATGGCGACAGCTTGGGCGGCCTCCATCGCACTTTGTCTTCCTCCGTCGGCTACGTGCCGGTAACACGAACCAAGTCAGCCATAGAGCCCACGGAGCTATGATTCAGTTTGGTTGATGTACCAAGTCACACATGCCTGCGGAGTCCTATGACGTGGATGTGAGCTCTGCTCATCCATTGTGACCCGAGGAATATGGGTTGGTTGCAGTGTCGGATGGGGAATCGGCAACGTCGGGAGAAGAAGCGGTTGCAACATCTGGTTGTGTCCGACGAGACCATCGGGATTGCCGACCCCGCAAAATACCTAGGTAGATATGCTTAGATGTATTGCGCCAATGAATTTGCAAACTAAATAAGTACATAGTAGTACCTAGTCGTTAGTTATCTCCGATCCTGGTTTGGTTTGGACTGTTGGGTTGACATGCAGGGATAGCGCCGATAAACCTGGGGAAAGCAGAGTCCATTTTTCAAATAGCATTACGTTTTGAGTCTCGTGGTTGTAATTATCCGCGCCGTACTTTGAATTGAATCCCGTATTTTTCCTTATCAAATTTGAAGTCTTCGCCATCGACGCAATGTCTCAATGTGACCAGTTAGTTGACAGGCATATAACATCCGCATTTTGGAGCAAAGGAAGAAAACACCATCGACTTGGCCACTTGTATCGAAGAACCTTTTTTACCTACATAGGCTGTGACAACAAAGCCATATCGACCACAGCTGGGACTGCAGTAGTTGAAACCGGCTAAAAAAGCAGCTTCTGGACAAGGCTATAGATGCCTTCAGATTCCAGAACACATCTAAACCGGCTTTCGATCACGCTTGTCAAATTTTGAGTAAAGTCGTGTAGCGACCACCTAGGGCTTTGTGTAACACGCAGGACTGTCGGACTGCATCTGCAAAGCAATCGGATATCAATGCGTACAGAGTCTCCCTTGCACCTTGCGGCATTTGCAGGTTGGAGGCATTAAAAAAAAGAAAAAAAACCTTCGCTGCTATGCCACAGCAAAATATGCACCATGGACCACGCGACAAAGTTACTCGAGCTTCCCATTTGGAGCGCTGGTTCTTATCCCGAGGACGGCAGTCCCTCCGAGCACATTCGAATTTCTTATAAGCGAGCAACAAGTATTGTCCAACACGTAGGAATGACAACCAAGGACATTGTGACACTCAGTCCCAAATTCCGCGACTTCCACACAAACTGTAAGTAAAACATGCCAGGCGCACGAGCCAGCAGAAAAGCTAGCTACCGTTAACGTAGTACAGTCCTCGGGACGGCTGACAGTGCCGTCGCGACGATTCTCAGCACCCACTGGAACCTCTGCATGGGAACCATCGCCGCATATGCCGAGGACCATCCGGGTTCGTCTTACACGCGTCAGGTCCTCCTGGAGCTCCAGGAGTTTCGGTCCGTTGGCGAATTCATGCTGACCGAGGTTGCTCGTGGCTCCGATGCGAGTAATCTGGAAACTACCGCCACTTACAACCACGACGGATCCTTTGATTTGCACACCCCAAACCCAATGGCAGCAAAGTCTATGCCTCCGACCTCCCCGGAGGCTGGGATGCCCCGGATTGCGGTTGTCTTTGCGCAACTCGTTGTGAATGGAGAGCGCAGAGGAATCCGTCCTTTTATCGTGCGTCTTTGCGACGCTGACAAGATGGCTCCAGGGATACGTTCACGCCTATTGCCCCGTAGAAATGGCCCAAAATACGTTGATCATTGCATCACCATGTTTAATCATGTCCGGCTGGAGCCGGCGGCGCTGCTGGGAACTTTGAACGCCGCCACGGACCTACGCGGAGAAGTTTCCCGCCAAGTACATCGCCTGACAGTCGGGGCATTGTGTTTGGCCATGGGCTCTATTCCCATCCTTAGAGTTACAGCCTTCGTGTTGGGGAGATACGGCCAACGTCAGCACGCAGCAGGTCCAAAGTTGGGCGAGAAAGTGCCCAAGGCGTGCTTTGCTTCACAGCATGGCCCTGCCTTGGTAGCATTGACATTGTCATCCGTTCTAGAAGCCTACGCAGCAACAGTTTGGGAGGAATTTTGCTGGGAAGAGCAGCCCCAGCTTCGCGATGGCCTTGCCTGTATCTTTAAGACGGCCGCAACCATTGATGGCCAGTCCATCTTGACAGAGATGACTGACAGGTGCGGTTGGCAGGGCTTGTATACGCACAACCAGATTACAGAGCTGGCGTCTTCGTTTCGTGGAAATTTGATTGCCGAGGGTGATTTTTCACTTGTGTGTAGTCGTAAGTATAGCATGAAAGTGCAATTGGCGCCTGGTTGAATGTCGGACTGCGCAACATGCTAAGGCAGACGGTAAATAGGACTTGTTTCGGAGCTTCTTCTTGGGCGACAAAGCATACCAAAAGCCAGGAACCCGACATCACTGCTTGCTAAACATGAGTACGGCGTCTGGAAGGAAGCAGCATGTCAAGCAAAGGCCATTTTGAGCACAGACGGTAGCAATCGTGACGACGTATTCAACGCAATGCTTCTTCCGCGATGTCGAAAGCTGGTCCTTGCTATCGGGCACAGGATGGCATACGAAGCCGCCGTGGACTCGAGTAGGGTGACAATCGAAATGCTTCGGCTCTATGAAGCAACTTGCATGTTGGAGGATCCAGGATGGTATGTTGAGAATACCAAATTCACGTCATCCAAGCTGGACGAGCACCACACCATGGCTGTGCGTGCGCTTCTCCCTAGTTTGGACAGGTTGCTTGATGAAAGCGGTGCGGCGGCTTGGGTTACATCACCGATAGTGACTGAAGAACGATGGATGGACTTTGTCGGGAAGCTCCCTGAATTCAGCTCAGATGGCTGCAACGGCAAAGGCAGAAGCCGCGTATGGAACAGCACCAATCATGCCAGTATGTCCGAATCAAACGTTGGGGACTCGGGGGATCCTGATGAATACTTGGAGTTGGAAAAGTTGAGGGCTTCCCAGCCGGTATCCAACCTCGCTTCTAGGAATTGCAATTGTCTGTAAAGGTGGACGGTGGTTTCGTGTGATATAAACGTCTGGTCATATACAAACAATCAAGGGTCGTGGGCTGCGTTGCCAAAGAGCAGTTGTTTACCAAAGATGTAAGCGTTAAAGGAACGGGCGGTATGAACACGACCAAAACTAATAGAAGGTTACAATGTTGAACCGAGAATTGAAAACGGCACAAGACCTCTGTACTTAAGTACGTAGGACCGCAGGTGCCATTGCCTTTGTTGGGTGGATGCTCCTTCCTACTTTACTTATTGATCAATTCTGCTGGCGGCGCTTTTGCCCACCAGACGGTACATATGTACGGTACGGGCAGTTTAGTTCGCCGATAGTTGCCCTTCTGGGTTAGGTCATCGGGCGGAATAGAGAAATGAATGATAGAGTCTATTCTCTAATCTTGTACACTTGAATCGTTTTCCATGATATCAATCAATAACCCCAAACCCAGGCGGGGCAATTCTTGACCAAATCACTAATCAGAAAGCCGTCTCACTGGAAACAGACACGAGAAACATAGCTGAACCCGGTGTGGCTCGGTTCGCACTCTCGCCTTCTATCCGTAAGCTCAACTGCGCATAATTTCCTAGGCCTCCTTTGCTGGCTCCTTAGGGCACTGCGCAGGTTTTTTGCTTTTAATGCGTGCGTCGTTAATGCATTCCTTGAGTTTAGCTGGCTCAATTATGCCGCCCTGTAAACACTTATCTGCGTAGCGTTTACAGTCTTCTTGCCGCAGCAAAAGGCCGCCACGGCTGCTGTAAACCAACTGATCGCGAGGACAGGCCTCTTCTGCTAGCTTCCCGACCTCCTTTGTTACGTCCTCCTTGCCCTGCGTGCTCGCAGGGGGACCTGCAGCTGGGGCGGCGATTGAGGCGGTCGCGAAAGCAGCGACGAGGAGAAGAGGATACTGCATTGCGATGGCAGGATTTAAGTAAGAATAACAATTGACTTAGGACAACAGATGATAACAACAAAATTGCTAAACGGCTTTTGTTGAGGAGCTATCAAGTTTTTGCTGGGTTTTGGATTTGGGGTTGGACTTGGAAGGAATAGCAGAGAAAGGCTTTCTATTTATCGAATTTTGACCTCGTCTGTTTACAACTATCTTGCGAGGCGAAAATGCATGCCTGTTATGCACAATGCTAGGTGTGCATGACTGTACGTATCAATTGACTAGCATGAATTGAACGGGACAAATTTCGGCGTCTCAGGTAGATTATTATATTAAGGAATTGCTACACGGGTGACTTTTACCACTTGCGATTGGTCACATTGTCTCTGTTAAACGCTGGATTCTGCCACTTCAGCCGCAAGTATCTGGGCCATTTTAACCTTTCTTCTGTAGCAACTCCCTTATATTAATGCCATAGTTGTTACTCCGCGCAGGAGCGAAGAACAGGTAATCTGCCGAAACATGAACTGCTATACAAGGGCATAATACCAGGAAATCCATGTAGCCCAAGTCATAATGCTTTAGATAATAAATTAACTATCTATGCTCTGACTCGTGATGCACCGCAAGAATAAAGTAGGATTACGTGAAAGCCACTCCACTGGCATAAATTCTACTCGTGCCACGTCCTAGTGGCACCTTTTCGGGAGCGAGAATGGCGTCATGCCTCGCAATGCAACGAGGATATAGATAAAATAATAGTAGCTCAGGCTGTTCATCTGATACTATGGACCTAATATCATGTCTTCTAGGCCCTCATTGTCTGACGCAGATGCTACGCGAGTTGGAGTACTCGGCAGAAATCCGTATCAGGCCTTCCAGGTTGCATTGGAAGGCACGATCCAGGTGGCCGCCAAGATACTTCCACCCCCCTACCCCATAGCCGACTTTTCGTAACAACTTTTCATCTCCATATTGACTCAATTGGGAAACATCAAAAGCAAAACATGGTCAACCTCATCTTGGCCAAACAGCTATTGCACCGTGTCGACTTGCCTTTGTCTTGCGTTCTACCATTCTCCCCGTTCTCATCACAACCAGCAGCAACCATGTGCGCGGCAGACACCAATGGCTCATTACCTCGTCCATCTTCTCAGCAGAGGTTGCCATGCCAGTCAGCCCAGGACCATCTCTCAGATTTCGGCGTCGAATACATTGAACTCACCTCCCCGTTCGCCTCGGAGCAGTCAAGAATCGACTGTGAGACCATTTGCAAGCTCAGGCTCAAGTCCAAGATCCTGACTCGTATGCCAATGCATATCCTGCGTCTCTTTTCGCCATGTCCACTCGCCAACATCCGCCTTTGGACGTGCCATGTAATTTAGAAGACGCCAAGGCCGCGGTAGCCACAGGCGTAGACGGAGTCCATCTCGTCCTCGGAACCTCAAGGAATAGAGGTCCGATTCTCATCCGAGGACTCGTTCCGCTCCGATCTAGTCGGCCTGCTCTCACTATACAAGGCCGTTGACGCAATTGGCGTGGATCAAGTCCGTGTTGCTGATACAGTTGGATGTTGATACAGTTGGATGTGCTACCCCTAGACAAGTGTTTAAGCTGGTGCGTACGCTTCGTGGAGTTGTCAATTGCGATATTGAAACCCATTTGTGAGCCATCTCTCTTCGCATGATGCTTGATGGCTTCTACTCACCCACGAACAGCCCCATGACACTGGGTGTGCTATCGTTGATGCGTACGCAGCGCTGTAAGTTCCTCTCCAACCATGAAATTCTTGTATGCCTGTATCATATGATGACACTGGACAGCGAGGCTGGTGCAACCCACATCGACACGTCTGTTCTGTACGCTTCCCACCGAGTTGCTGCCCCGTTATGATTTCGAAGCCATTTACTGACGGTGATGTAGGGCTGGAATGCCATCAAGTCTCGCTCTGAGCAACTTGGTCTGAGCATGTCTGACGACCAATACAAGATTCTAACTGCCAAGATTAAGCAAATGGCTGATACCAGACCTCTTGCAATCGATGACACAGACTCAATCATCAGAGCCCACCATCATGAACTGGAAAACGGCAAGGATCGAGTGATTGAAGACTAATATATTTACTTGCCGTGAAATATACACTATATTATACATGAGCAGCAAACTCGCCCCTTTCCGCCCTTGCCTAGAGACCTGGCCGCCAATGTCTAAACTACCAAACAAACTGTGACCCCTCGAGTAGTTGATATGAGGGCGTAGAAACATACCCGGATATACGCAAGTATACACAAGCATACGCAACTCGTGGGATGACATGAAACGGTCCCATACAAGCGTGAAATCGGTCTGTAGCTGCATATACTTATACTCCCAATCGCTGACTGCCGTTTGTTCTCATCGTCGGCTCACCTTCATCTCAACTCATCATTGCTTTGCACGCAAACACCTCCAGCATTCAAGCAAGGCACCTGCACCCAATGCCATCCTACCTCCCATCTCCAACCTCACTCCCCGGCCCGGTGTTGATTCTCTTCAAGCCGCCCCAACTCCCCATCTTCTCAACAGCATGTTTCAAAACCCAGTATTTCATCTCTTGTCTAAACTATATCTGTTAATTGATTGCCAGACTTCACAATCCATCATGAGACGTAAAATCGTCAAAGGGCCCCAAACACCCCTCCCTTCCCTACCAACCCCCCCAAACAAAACGCAAGCCGACTCTCAAGAACCGCCTGAACCTCTCAAACCACCCGCAAATTGCCCCCTCTGGCAAAAAGTCAAATACACAATGGACAAGGAAGACTTCTTCCGGCAGAAATCCAAATCCGCCGAAATCCAAATCAAGCGGCTCAACCGAGAAGTCGACTCCCTCAAAACCCAACTTCAGCGCAAGACCAAAACCATAGACGCACAAGAACGCAGGCTAGACACCCTCGCAGACGCCCTCAAGGAGGCCGAGCAGCGCACCGAGTCCAGCAAGCACCTCAACCAGAAACTACAAAACAGCCAGCACGAGTCGAAGCGGTACCGGACCGCGCTGGCCGCCGCGTTCAAGCTCATCGACGACTTGAAGGACAAGACGACTATTGCCGAGCTTCTCGCGCAGACGGACCAGCAGCTCTTGGGCGGCGCGCCGAAGCAAGAACCTGACACAACTGCTGCAGCGTCCCCCGAGGACAGCAGCGACGAGTACTACATCCGGAAGCCTGTTACGAGGAAGTACCCCGAAGGTGGTATCGCCACGCCGCGTAGGCCCGTGAAGCGCGAGCGCGAGGGGGACTGGTCAAGTGAAGACAGCGATGAACGGCCGCTGGCAAAGGCAAGGAAGCTTGACGATAGGATCCTTCGCAACATTACGCCGGATGAATAGCGACCCATGGCGTGGATTCTCGTGATACCGTGTCAAGACTGAGGTTAGAGGTTAGGTTTGAGGGGTTACTTTGCTAGTTGGAAGCCTTGACGGCTTAATCAAGTTTCATGAAAGACAGGGTTTACGAAGCATTAAAGCGTTCATCTTCGGCATATACAAGCGGCAGGAACCACGGCGGCAAATCAGCAGTCAAAACAGGCGACGAGAAATGTACCATAGAGTTGCGAATCTGTGCTGGTAATCGAAAACATTAGCCGGGCAGCCGGGCCTTTTGAGAAACCAGAATACAAATGAAAATCACCAAACCCAACCAGTCGCTTGCTTACAAGTTTTCCATTATAACAAGAATGGTTGTGCTAAACGTCTCGAGGCTCCCTTGAAAGAAAATCTTGATACCCCCGCCAAGTTGCTGCCGTGAACGCCATTCTCCTCCAATTAATCCATGCCCGTGTACGTGAAATCCTGAAATCCTGCCTCACCCTGCACGGCTACCCCACCCCCCAAAGAATCTGTATGATCGAGTCTACTGCTGCCGCTGCCCTACTAAGCCGGAGCTCGCAGCACTCTCTCCAACTTTGACCTCGTCATCGGGCACCCCTACAGCAACACTGCCTGCAGCACTGGTAACGCTTTGCGAGGTCAAACCACGTTCGCGCTCTGGTCGTTGGGGAATAAGGCTATCACGAGGACCGGCAATGCTAACACCGCCCGAGGGAGCAATGCTGACGCTGGCTGTGGTACTGACACTGTCGCTTCGAGGGCGTGCAACGTCGGTTGATCGTCGAGTCTGAACCATTCTTTCCAAGTCTCTAATGCGTCTCTTTAGTGTTTCATTTTCCTTCTTGGCCGATTCGAGCTCGTTTCTATAAAATGCAGTTTCTTCATATCTCATGGTTGCGGGCATAAGGCCTGGACTCATTTGGTCCGTGAGGCTTCCGCTGCCAGGGGTAGCGGCGACTGAACTCATAACAACGGACGGCGCGTGCGGAACTCGCTGGCTGTGGAAGTAACTCGATGGATCCAATGCACTTTGCTGAGGACCAGGGGAGTTGGTACGGCTGATTCGTGAGTGCGAGCTTTGTCGAGAGAGCGGGATAGACTGTGCTGGTCGTGGCACGGGGTGTCTGGCCTCGTACGAAGACGCAAGCTGCTGCAAGCCGTGATTCTGGGAAGCAGACGACGAATTGCGGTGGTGTCGACGAGCGGTGGGGATGGTAAAGCCCGAACCGGAGAGGAGAGAGGATTCGGTAATGGGGTCGTGAGCTGAGGCCGAGGCAGACGTTGAGGATGCGTTGGAAACCACGGACGCATTTTGAGCAGCCCGGAGGAGGGAAAGTTCACGCGTCAATCGGTTCACCTAGAGAAAACAAATTAGACCACAATCACGCCAGGGTCGGGCGAATCCTTGGACGAGACGCACTACTGCCTCCTGCTCCTTCTCGAGCTGCATATGCAACTCGGACGCGGTCAACGGGCGTGGGTGCCTCAGCGGTCCTGGGCCAGGCCCAACAGACGAATCACCGGATAGCGGCGGCAGTTGAGATTGTAAGGGCTGGGCAGCGATGAGCTGAGGCGAAGCGGACGACGAGGCTCCATGAGGCTGGCTCAAGCTGGCACTACGGCTGTGAGAATGGCTCACGGCATTCTGGTTCGACGGCAGAATATTGATGGACGAGGACTGGGACGGCGACGACACCATGGGATGCGAGAGTGGAGGAGCCATTTGGTGCGACGACTGTTGACGAGAGAGAGCGAGCGAATGCGGCGACGGAGGGACAGAGTTGAGATCGGGCATGGCTTGAAGAGAGCCAGATGCCAACCCTCGGGCAAGAGCACGAGTATAATCAGAAGGAGAGGCAACGACGAGTCCGGTGGGTTGGACCTGGCCGCCTCTTGTCTTGCTCAGTCGCAGAGAATGAGAAAAGCAGAGATTTCCACAAAGACAGGGCTGAGAATGAATGAAGAGCAAGAAGAGGTTTTTTTTTGTTTTTTGTTTTTAGAAAAAAGAGAGCCGTGTAAAGAAAGGGAGACGCACGACGTCGTGGTGTGGTGTGTTGGCTGCGTCGTGTCCCGTGTGTCAAGACGAATCGAACGTGCACAAGGACAACGGGTTGTGGTATTCACTGAGAAAGACCAGTTGACGCAAGTGGGGCCGCTTTCATGTCAATGTTCCAATGTTGGGCCAAGCATTCGGCGCATGCGCCTCCAAGGCCCTGTGCGGAGCGGTTGCACCCACTGCCGCCTCAAGCTAATCTTTAGTTAGATGCCATCCGGTCTCAAGGGCGCTGCGGCTGGCACAAGTGCAGCTGACGGACCTTTGTCGACTGATGACATTGAGCTAGGTGTAAGTAGTCGATTGACTTGACATAAGCTTGCATGTGGTGCTAAGGACATTAGACTGACGACGCCGAAAGGTGATGTCGCCTGGCGGTGCCTGCCCGCTGTGGGGCTCCACGGCCTTTGACCAGACATGGACTCGATTGATTGACACAACTATTGACTCCTCACGGCGGGCAATAACAATATCGACAAAGCTGCGCCAATTCGACCGTACCGACCAGGGCTAGCATGAAGCTCATTAGAGCTGAAGCTTCAGCGATATCCATGCTACATCATCCTCAATGCTTCAACAACGACGCATAAATCAGTAATTTGGTGTTTTCAACCCCGTTGCGTCGCCGCAGCCACAGGAGCTTTACAGCATTCAATGTTGATTCACGCTCCGTTTGACTTCATAGGCCATGGCGGCAAAAAGGTCCAACAGGGGGGGGGGACAAACCAGTCTCCTACGCCATTTCAATGGATAACTTGACTGGCAGCACGCAGCGGAAGGCGGCTAGTTTGCCCCGGCGGCTCGTGTGTGCCATAAGTCCACCAGACTCTCCACAAAACGTCAAGTGACTCAAGTCTAACCCGTCATCTTGACGTGCACACCGTATGTACACCATATCAATCGGCAAACCGGTATAATGTACAATGGACAAACATGACGCCATAGAATGACGGCCCAGGGGGCAGAATATAAAAGAAGAGAAATCTTAACATTCCGACAAAAGTCACTTGTGCAAAAGAACCACGCACGTCCTCGCCTAGCAAACCCCCTACATACTACCCGCTGCACCAGATAGACGACGAGGTTGAAACAACTGCACCATGCCCGAAGGGACACAGTCGCCGCCTCCCGAGCGCCAGACCGGCAAACAGCTGCACGAGCCGCCCGGTAAAGGATCTGGGATAGATGAGGTCGACAACAAGGGCGACAAGATGAAGTCTGAGTTGGAGGTATGCTGCACGGCTCATGGTATAAAGTCCTCATTGTACTGCGAAAAACACACTAATACCTTTTCCCTCTCAACTACAGAACCTCTCATCTAATCCCAAGGGACCGATGGATGACCATCTCGAAGCAAAGTTCTCAAAGGAACCGGGGAACCCGGTTGGTGCACATATTCAGAAATGAAGACGCAAACAAGTCACCAGTTTTCTATTGCAATGCTCAATAAAACTTGAATAAACGGATAAAAGATACTGTCTCGGACGAGGTAAAGTTTGGTGTGCTAGACTACATATTCTGGTAGTTCGTGTATTGCTCATGCGAAAAGACAATTTCCCACAACATCCATTCTTAAACTAGCCACTTGATCCTTTCAGCAGACCCTTCCACACCTAACCCGTCTTTTCATCTACAGGCTTCGTAGCGGGAATGGCCTCGGTAGGTGCCACAGCAGCCGGGGTGGTTGTAGCTGGCGCGCCTCCAGAGGTAGCGGTAGCAGTCGCAGTAGGCGCAGCCGTGGGAGCAGACTCCTTGGGGGCCTCCTTGCCAAAAACCCTCTCCAGCCCGGCGGCCTTGTAAGCGCTCCCACCGTGCTCCTGCTTCTTCAGATCGGCGAGACGTCTGGCCTCGGCGTGAATGTCCTGCACCTGGCGCGAGCTGTCGGTGTAAAACTTGGCAATCTTCTTGCCCGTGGGGTGGTTGCTAGCCTTTTCAAAGTAGGAGCCGATGCCGGTGAGAAGGCTGTTGGCGCGCTGCGAGATGCCGTAGCTGGTGTCGGCGGCCTTGGCGCGGTCGGTCGCGTGGTACTTCTGGTCGATGCTCTGGATGGTGCTGAGGAAGCGGTGGGACACGTTGTGCTTGGTGTCCAGCTCGATGGCGTGCTCGATGGCGGCGTCGCCAACGACGTATCCGTGAGCGAGATACTCGGCGAGGATGCGAGCGCGGGGCTTCTCCTCCTGCGTGATGTCGTCCGAGTCGCGGTCCACCTTGGCGTCGTGGTGGCCCTCGTCATCGGTGGTGCTGCCGGAGCCGGTGACGGAGATGTGGTTCGGTCCAAGCTGGGTGTTGTTGAGGAGGAGGGCCGTCTTCATGGCCGTTTCCTTCTCAAAGGTGACGTCGGCGGACTTGGAGTCGCCCTCGGTAGCGACTTTGAAGTCGGCAATCTTGCCGCTGCCAACGGCGTTAGCCAATTCACTGCCATCCAAACTGCGTCGGGTGTCGGGTGGATGGTGCAAGAAGCTTACCAGAAGCTGAAGAAGTTCCTGACCTCCTCATCGCTGGTCGCGGAGGCGATATTCGTGACGTGGACCGTTGCGGCAGCCATGGTTTTACCCCGCTATCACAGAAGCTTGGGGAGCTGTGCAATATATGGATAGAGCAGGGGCTTTTGTTTTGTGTCTTGTCGCGACGCAGATAATTACGCCAGAAAATAGATATTTGCGAATACCAGCTTCTTCAAAGGTCGACAAATTTCGTATGATGCCAAACAAGCACGGAGCAACGAGGTTTCAAGGCGAGAAGTCAAGAACCTGCTTTAAGGAGGTGCTCATGAGCGGGGCAAATCGCGACGTCATCAACGACTGTGGCTGGCGGCAGTCGCCTCAGCTCAAGGGAGCTCTTGCGTTCAATGTTCAGCTGCGCATGCGTTCGAGTGGCGCCACCAACATGAAGGCCTCCACTACCCGGCCGTGATGCGCAAGAGCGATCGAATGTGGCAGCCAGCAACACTGGAGGCTTCCATCTCCGAAACTCACACGGCACACAGTTGGCGTCATCCGTGCACCAGACCCTTTTGGCACTGCGCCACAAGAGGGATGAGGCGATTCACATCAAGACATGTGAGATTGGACGTATCTGAGACACCCAAGAGGGCGGCACCTGCAGCTACGTTACTCCGTACGAGATATCCAGGTGTATTGTGCATATATGTACACATGCCGCCTCATGCATGGACATGTGCCCTGTACGGAGTGCCGAACGTTGCAAAACCGTCTTGCGTTCATGCGAGACCTCCCAGGCACGCGGCTGCCCATGTAGGCTTTGCATCGACATGTGGTCTTGCGGTGGCGGTTGATAGTAGTAGTAGATGATGTGAGAAGAACGACCTGGCGCTGATTAAGGCCACGCGGCATCTGCCCAGCTTCGGGCATGGAGCAAGGCAGCCGTCTCAAAGGCAAACACACACACACACATGCCTCTCACACTCTGTCCCGAATCCATCTTTTGCCGTGCGTATTTGTTTGGGCTCCAACTTGGAGCATCCATCATTTATAATTAATTCTCCATGCCAATCAATCCCCCTCTGCCCGGAAGAGCATGTGACATCCGGATGGGACATGTTTCGTCTACACGGACCAGAATGGGCTTGACCGCCTCTCAGGCTCTCACCGTCACCCTCTTGGTCAACTTGACCCCATCACAAAGCAAGCGAGCAGCACCGACTTGGACGGTCCCATCCCGCTGCATATCTAGGTAGGTTCGTGTGCAGTCCTGCCAACGGCCATTTTGACCCGTCGTCTACTTCGTACAAAACAGACGTCAAGAATTCAGCATAAACCATGTCCCAAATGACGGTGACTACGGCCCAATTGACCGCAGCATCGCGTATCCTTGCCATCTCTGGAGCCACGATGGGCCTGTCTCTCTGTATGACGGTGGATGTAGCGGGGGCCCAACCCAACAAAGAATCCATGGCTGAGACGGGCACAAAGAGATTGAAGGAAAGCCTTTCCATTCACGTCGCCAAAAATTCCAATTTTACATCGGACCGTGTAAAGGACCTGGTCGTGGTGTGTGATGCAGCGCCCGAGTGTCCTTTGGAACTTTCAATGTTGGCATCTTTGCGATGGGCGTGGCATAAAAGGACACGGTTGCGAGAACCCAACGCCACACCGACACGGATGAATCGACTGATGACAGGTCATGGTGTTGCGGGCAACGGCAATGCAACTGCATACCGGTGGCCAACGGATGTTGTTTCTGGCCACTTTGCGCGCACTCAATCGCTGGTGTTTCAAGCAAACACGCCCCTCAAACATTGTGTGTCCGGCGTCCGGCGTCCGGGCATCACCCTGTGCTCCACGGCGTCGACTGGTGCGAATGCCATCTCTCCAACTTCCCGAACAGCAAGACTATGTATGTACGTCGAGTTATAACCACCATCACTTGCTCGCCGACATCATCAGCCTCGCCCGTGTATAAAATTCAAACCACAAGCAAAAATACATACATACATACTCCGTACTGTTCCAAGTGCAATGCGTAGTTGGCCGCCGCCCCTTGTCACGCACATCCGTGTCACCCACCATCCCTTGGAATCTCCCCTTCCCTCGTCCAATGTTGCGGGGAGGCTGGGGGGGGCCGATCAACTCCAGAACGGACCGCCATGAATCCCAGCATCCCGGCATCCCAGCACCACCGGGCCACCAACCAGTGCGACCAGGCATCGTCTCTGTGGGCCGGCAATTTTCTCAAAAAAACCCTCTTGACAGCCACGCCGCCCAGTGTCAGTGTCGGCGCAGTCTCAACCTCCAAGGGACCACCCGTCTATTAAAAACCGCCATCGCCAGCCCGCGCTCCCCGTGACGTGGCTCTACAACCTTCCCTCTCGCTTTGCGCTCTCACATGGCCACGGCTATCGTGCATGTCCCAGGACATTAAGCTGTCGTTACCTCCCATTGCCGAATCATCTTGTTCCTTTTCGTGCCACTGGAATTTGCTTTGTTTGCCCCCCCAGCGGCGAAATACACGCGATCCCCATTCCAGAGGTGAGCCATGCATGTGTCCCAACATTGAACCTTCCACGACTCGTTCCAACACACCCCTCTAGCTTGTCTATATAAACCTCCATCTCGGTACCGCGCATCCAGGCATCGTCGCAGCTGTGCGCAACGTCCTACCCATCTCCCGACCGGCGACGGAACAATGGCCGCCTTCCTCAAGAACCGCACCACCTATGACGAAGACAAGATCCTAAACCTCATCTGGTTCGGCCTCGTCGGCCTCCAGGTAGTCATTGTCATGAGCGTTGCCGCTCAGGCCGCAAGGCGCTATCTACTTGAACTTTTTTTTTTTTTTTTTTGCTTGTATGGGCGGGCGTTTGGCGGGGAGGAATGGACAGGCATTGGGGTTGAAAGGTTTCCGTCTGGTCCTAGCGACTGACCATGGTCGACATAATACTGGCGTGTCTCATGTTTTTTGCATCACGGGGAGTTTTTTGCATTGGGCTTTTTTGATTGCATGGGTTGGCGTCACTGTATGGATACGTTTTACTGAAATGTCAACGGTTTTTACTCTGCCTAATCTGCAACTGCTAATTCGCAAATCATTTGACCAAAATAGTCCAAAACCCAGCGTCACATTCTTACTCCCTACTTCAATACAGCGGTAGCGTGCCTTCGGTCTCGGCGAATGCTCTCTCAAGGATTGCGAGCCCATCTTCAACCTGGCTCTCCGTCACTGTAATAGGAGGCGCAATTCTAAATGTGCCACCAAAGCTTGGATGGCTGCTCAGATTCGCCCAGAGCCCAAGCTCGTATGCGCGGTTTCCAACTCTTTTGGCCAGTTCCAAAGCCGGCCTTTTGCTCTCTCGGTCCGTCACAATTTCAACGCCCGCCATGAGACCTCTCCCGCGCACTTGGCCAATGCAGCCGTACCTGCTGTGTAGTGTCTGCAACCCGCTGTGCAGTATCTCGCCGCATTTTCTCGAGTGCTCTATCAGATTATCCCGGAACAGGATCTCGAGGACCTTGTCACCAACAGCAGCAGGGAGAGGATCGTTGACATGGGTGGTGTAAAAGAAGAAGCCCTTCTCCGCGGCTACACTGGCAACTTCATCGCTGGCCACCACCGCACTCAGGGGTAGACCGTTACCCAGGGTTTTGGACAGGGTTAAAATGTCCGGCACGACGTTCTCGTGGTTGATGGCCATAAAGTCCCCGCATCTGCCGACGCCCGTCTGAGCCTCATCGACGATCAGGAGCATTCCTCGCATCTCGCACTGCTTTTTCAAGGCCTTCAGATATCCCGGTGGGAGAACATGCATACCGCCCGAGCTTTGGATGCACTCGACAATGCAAGCAGCTAGAGAGCCGCACGACTGCAAGTCAATCATCCTCCATCCATATTCCAATTCTGTCTCCCAGTCATAGGAGCCATCGGGCTTGCGGAAAATGGACCTGTATGCATTGGGCGCGGGCAGCATGTGCATGCCTGGCATCAAAGGTCCATGACCTCTTCTGCCGAAATGATACTGCGCGCCAAGTGCCTGTGCCGTCACTCCATGCCATGAAGCCCCAATGCCAACTATTTCAAACTTGCCCGTATATGTCTTGGCCATCTTGATGGCGGCTTCATTGCTCTCCCCTCCGGTGGAGAGAAAGAAGGCTTTGTCTAATCCAGCTGGAAGAGCGCTGCAAAGTCGATCCGCAAGTGAGATCACTGGAGGCGAGACCATGCCAGAGAAGAGGTGATCAAGCTGCATTGCGTGATCGGTAATGACTTTGACAATCTCTGGATGCCCGTGGCCGAGGAGGCAAGACATTTGCCCCGACGTCCAGTCCAACACCTTGTGGCCCAATGCCGTGTAGATGTATAATCCACGACAGCCAGTAATAACATCAGGCTCGAACTTGGTACCATAATCAAGGAGGTGTTTCTTAGACTTGGCCACCAGGGCCTTCTCATCAATATTTTGGTACAATGTTGGTGGCATGTCTTCTTCTATAGGAAAGACCACCATAGAGGTGCTGGCCATGTCCTTTGTGACAATCCCCGGAGCCATTTCGAGTTGTAAGTAAATAAGTGTCGATCAGAAATAATTGCCTGGGCTTGAAAGAAGTGGAGTGATACTAAACATGATGAATAGATTAGAAAGACTCCTACCTGCGGCGCCTTTTATACCCGGTTCACAACATTGCTGCCGGCGTGGACATGAACGGCCAAGAACGCATTTATCAGGTCCACAGGATGTTCCCCGCGGGCAACTTTCGCCGCGGCAGGAAAAGTCGATATGGCCCCCCCTCCACAACCGCCATCATGCAAGGTGACGAGCGTGTTCTGTCACCATGCATTCTGTAAAGGGTCCCAGAGGCTTGGGAAGTATTGATCCAGGATAGATGCATCAGGCATTGAAAATTCTTGAATATCCATATTGTTGTCACTCTCTTCCTCTCTGGCCACACCACCCAGTATTCTATCCACAATGTCCGCATGCTGTGCCACACAGATATCAGCCAGATCCCACTCGAACTGCTTCTGATATTTGCGGAGAGTGGCCACAATGTCCTGAGCGATTCGAAAAGAACTGCTCCGTGCCAATCCTTGGAGAGAGCTTTCCATTTCCAATGCGCAGCGCAAAAGGAAATTGACTGTTGCGGGAAAGGCAAAGGCTGTCACCGGCAACCAGAAACCGCTGAGCTGCTCGACTTGTAGTTCTTGGAGGAGGAGGAGTATTTCCTCTGCGGTACGCCGCGCTTGTATGTAGCGATTCATAATTCGCTCATTGAGTTGGTCGTAAATGCGCTTCTCGGCTTCCAGCTCCATTCTTTGGAGGAGAAGCCTGGTCGTGAGATATGCCAAGCGGAGGTTGGCCGCACCCGGGATCTCGAGTCTGGAGCCGCGAATAACTATAAGACGACAACTTCCAGTCAAGGACTCGACCCAGTTGTTCAATGCCAGCTCTAGGCTAGTTGTATCCCATGGCCGATTTCCGTCAACGGCATACACGCGTTGTAGATGTTGGTCCAAAACATCAGTCAGTCGAACCAGTGCTATGAACACGTTTGCTGTTCGTACTCGTGCTTCACTGGAATCGCCCTCACAAAGACATTCTAGTGTCGGAAGGGGAACATCATATTGTATCCTTGAAATATGCGGCGGTGTGCCATGAGCCAAACTCAGCCTGGTGCCGTGTTAACAAGATGAAAGATGCTCAGAATCGGACTGTAACATACCATCTATCATGAAGCAGTAATGACCACCATAATTTCATTCTCAAGTATTTCTCTGACTGCGGTATCTTCCACGGTAATGGATTATGGTTGAGTCCCAGGGAATGCGCCATGGATACAGCTGAGCCTAACAGCACCCCGTTCCCAATGATTGACGTGGTTGGTCGCCCGCTTATATTGAGCAGAATCGCTTTGATTATAGATATCCCCGGAGATAGGTAAAGCTCAGAATACACGGCTTCATTGGCAAGGTTCCATATAAATCGGTCATCGGGACATTTATTGCCACTGAGCGTAGGGGAATGGCGCCAATAAACCAAGGTGTGGGCATATAAACAAGATAACAGAGCTGGTGAAATATGAGTCTTGTCTTCAAGATATTGGTCGCGAAAGGACTGCTCGTCCAATAGTGGAAGACACTCGTTGGCCTTGGTGAAATACCTGTGTCTAGAGTCAGTCTGTATGGACATTAATTGGGTCTACACTGTGATTTCAACACACTCGTTGATAATGTCATCAACGAAAGGCTCCAAGATCTTTTCGATGATGGCCAGCTTTTCCGCAGATGGGCTTTTATTCACGGCCAAACCCACCGGACGCTTCTGGACCATTGTAAATAGCACCGGTTGAGAACGACCCGCGGATTCCGGAATGATCATCCTAGTACTCCTGGTCGCTCCAGGAATTCCTGATAGATAATCGGATAGCACCTGCTTGTCATTTATCACTGCGGGTCCAACGATATGCATGGTGTGATGGTCCTGATGAGTAGAGTCAAGCTCTAGTGGCTCTTGGTCTTGTTCACCATGGCCGCCGATTCCGCGGGAAAGGGCATGCGGACTGGAAGGCTCAACGGGTGCCGGATTCTGACTTGTGAATGCTGCTGCAGGGTGGCTCAAGCCGGAGTCCTCATGGATATGCACCAAAGCTGTTGAGCTCTTGCTGCTGGAATCTCCCGATTCCCGTGGGCGTCGTCTTGACAAAGAACCGTTTTGGCTTGCACCTCTCCGGCGAGGATGTCGGTTCGGTCTTGGGCAGGCCTCAGCGTCTGGGCTATCCGGAAATACGCATTCGGTTCGATGAGCCCGACAAGTCACACAGGTGTCTGAGAACGCTTCGGTTTGACATCTTGACTTTCGGCGTCGACAAGGCAAGCAGGCAGGGCGTAGATGGGAGCGATATGGCCGTTCCAATTGCCTCGATCGCAACATTTGTTCGTAGCTATGCGGTTGCATGACTTGGCCCAAGGCTTGGCCATGAGAATCTCTCAATAATAACCCTCATAACAGACAATACTCGTTCTGGACGGCGAGGCAAAATCGTGCAGTTTTCCGCGGGGAACTAAAGTGGCTGCGTGGACTGCACACGAGTCAAAACGGCACCAACATAATGCAGCGCCAGTGCCCCATCACTATCCACACATCCATCCATACTGGAGAGCAGTTGGCCGTGAAGAAGCATCTGACTGTAATTCATGATAGCTGAGCAGATTGTCCCCAGTTCGACTGGACTCTGGTCACCGATTCGATGCCGACAAACGATGGCTGGGCCATGCTGTGAGGAAGGCGCGCTTGACGATCCTGCCGAAGTTGTCTCGCACTCGGGTTGGCAAGCAAACGGGCAGAGAAGCTAACACTGTTGCCTTTCTCGTATTGACATATCAATCTAGGATTCACTCCCGATAGCACCGCCACTTTAATCTCTCCACTGATTGTTCGTAAAGCTAGGTCGTGAGGTAATCTGACATGGTGTGCCTGCTGAACAGTTGAGGCTCGACTTATTCCATGGCGGAACATGTAGACCAGGATTGTTCTCGCTAGCAAAGAGCACTTCCATATCAACATGCAATGGATGCCCAAAACGGTTGGTCAATTTTGGACGATGGCACAATCACATCATTTCTTTTTCTTCTTGTTCTTGACAAATATACCTGGCGGCAAGTGACGGCTTTGGGCCGGAACACTTCCGTCTATTTCACACTTGATCCTCAATTACAAAGCAACGACGATATTTGCGGAACTCGGAAGGAAATAGGAACGACCTAATTCTGAACAGGTATTTTATTCGTTACCGAATTTTACGTCCCCCTTACCCCTCATTCACAAACAATAGAGGTAAGCTAGGGACAAGGTGGGGGAGTGATGAATAGAGTAGTATCCAAGAGGGTACGGACTTCGGAGGCATGTACAATATTAAGGGCTCACATTGACACCTTCCCAGAGAAATATGTATAAAGCCCCTGTGCCTCTCTGATGTGCGACGTGTCAGATGCAAAGTTAGATGACGGGTCTTGGACACTTTGAAAGCCGGCCATCTGAGTTCTCCCAAACAACCTCTTCCAAAGAAGCATCATATTTCAAGTCTATGAAGACGGAGCGGCTTCAGAGAACGACATGTCGAGCGCAGAAGACTCTAAATTGCCGAATGGAACATCTCCACAGAGCACCAAGCCGTTTGAAAAGGTTGAACAATACAAGCCGATGCCGCGTGTTGTCTAGCTCCCATCAACTGATAGCAACAGGTCTTGATCGTGGGAGCCGGTCCGGCAGGCCTCTTACTCGCTATACTTCTCGCCCGAAGTCATATCCCGTCGACGGTATTAGAATCATGGGATCGTGTGGATGAAAGGTTGCGCGCAACACAATACGGCGTTCCAGCGACGAGGGTATTTCGACGAGCAGGTATCCTTGATGATATCCGGTCAGAAAGCATCACGCACTTTCCGTACATCTGCTGGCGTAGTGTCCGGACTGGTCAATTTCTTACTGGAATAGACCTGTCCGTGGTCAAAGCCGATAAAGATCGGATGACGATACTGCCACTGAATGAGATTTTGCAAATCATGTTGCGACACTGCCGAGAAAAATATTCTGATTATGTTACATTGCTTTTCAACCATAAGGTTATTAACATCAATCAGGACTCAAGGTCAGCAACAGCGGTGGTCGAGGTTGGCGGTCAAGACGAAGTCAAACGCACCGTGACATTTGAGGCATCTTACATTATTGGGTGTGATGGTGGGCAGAGCACCGTTCGAAAAACGCTTTTCCAGAGGAATTGGCCCGGTGAAACGTTTGGGAGTCGCCTGCTTGTTCAAAATGTAAGTCACTTGCTAATTAACTAGTATATTATTCACGAAAAAGAAAACACCTGTCTCTGCTTTAGTCAGATTCAAGCGAAATAAACTAACCCCTTTCCCCAGGTATACTACAAAGGGTTCGCAGACAGTGGTTGGGATGGTGGCAACTACATGATAGACGACGAATTCTGGGGTCTCATTGCCAAACGAGGCAAGGCCAAAGGACCAGAGGGTGAGCTCTGGCGAGTTACATATGGTGATTCGGTCGCCAATCTATCGGAAGAAGAATATCTGAAGCGCCGCGAACTCGCATTCAAGAAGATGCTTCCTGGACATCCGGATCCCAGCCAGTACAAGGTGACGCAGACGGACCAATTCCGCATCCACAATCGATGCGTAGAAAAGATGCGTGTCGGCCGAGTTTTCCTCGCGGGCGATGCTGCTCATGTCTGTAATCCTTTTGGCGGATACGGCTGTATGGCTGCGGTTTTGGATGTGGCGGGCCTCGCGGACTGTCTCATCGGGTACTATGAGGGCAAAGCCGATGAGGACATTCTTGACGCTTACGCGGAAATCCGGCGAGAGAAGTTCCTTCAGTTTATTGACCGGCGGTCTAGGAAAAACTTGAATCGAATCTCCAAGACAAACGCAGACACTGCGCTTGAGACGGACCCATTTCTAGCATTGCTGAAAGGCATGGAGGGTAATGCTGACGAGACGAAGAAATTTCTACTGGTACGTATTCCTCGCCAGGATGCCCTTTACCCCAAGGGATATTATCAGATAGCCTAACAGCCAATGTAGAAGGTTAGCAGCATTGAGTTTGACTTTACCACGCTGTATAAGAACCCTGTTGCAGCATGAGACGAGGCGTTCAGACTTTAAACTGAAGGGTTCCCAATTACTGCGTTTAGTTTTTAAAGGCCTGCATTGTTTTGAGAAGAAATGGTATGCTTACATCAAGCTCAAGTTCATCCGCATAGAAAGAACATGTTCAATCTTGTATATTCTTGTTGTCTTGAATTCGCAAGTTACCTAAGTTGACGAGGGATGTCCCGTAGTAGCAAGGACCTTGTTACTGCCAAGGTCTGTCTAAATCAGCCGTAATAGCGCACGGATTATCTGATGCCTCCAACTTGACCAGACGCTGCCAGATTTATCCAGATTTCTATTCCTCGCGACCAATCCAGCCCTATCTTCCTCGGCATGGCATCGTACATCATAACAGATTTATCACCAGGTCATCTCTCCAAGGACCTGTCATTAGCTGTCAACTTCTCACCTAGCTCTCCTTTCGAATCTAGTGAGCGGATGATACTAAGGGATCTATTCTACGAGGTTCTTCGGCATGGAGAAAAACACACCACACCCCAGTATACGGTCAGCACAGTAAGCCTTTCCCTTGCAAGTAATAATAGCCTGGTATCAGAAGAAAAGCTAAAATAGAGAGTTATTAGTATCCAATACAATTGTTCTTCCAAATGAAGAGTACTCTTGCCGACAAAGTCAGAGAATCTCCAAATTCATCTTTGCCTTATTCCAATACGCAGACCTGCATGGTGGAAGTGAACTTCTGCAATGCAACGGTGGCCGGCGACGTCATCAACGCACCACCCCGGGAACTTGTCGACACACATTTCCATAGTACTATTTATGCTCTATTTTTCGTCTCTACCGTCTTCCAGAACATGCTTTGAGAATACAAACCTGGCGCGTTTAGAGGTGTGCGTGGCGCCTCGGCGTCCACACCTTTGCATATTTTGTCGGAGCGCCTCCGGATGATGCCCAGTTCTATCTGCACATTCCCATGCCATTTCTACTGTTGCAGGTGGTGCTTGGCCTGCTGCATCGGGACGCCCGGGCAGCATCATGTGAGGCGGCTGGCGATGTCACCCCCGGTGCCGCTTTCGCTGCTGCTGCTCCTCAGCTGCTGCCAACGTCAGCTCGGTGCTGGCCGTTTGGCAGGTTTAAGTTGGGCATGGCATCAATATTCAAGGATTTGGACCGTGCTCGAATACGTGGAACAATACATGGCACGGATCACCTTTGTTTGTGTCTGGGTGTAGAGACTGGAGCATCTAGACTGTTCGTAGCATCATGGCTCTTGTCCGCGTGAGTCCGTGACCATATAATGGGCTCCGAGTCCATGCCAAAGTCGAGAGGCACTGCATGCGGCTAGGGAAGTGGTATTCTCACTTTTTGTTCATCTGTTGCTCGATTCTTGGGTCAAACGATTCTGCGAGCTACAGGTCCCAGCTATAAAACAGGCCCATTTCACGAAGAAAGGCGATACATCGACGGTGCTTAATACCCCCGTTTTCCCATATTGTGCATGTTCAAGGCCCGTGACCTTGTTCAATCAACCAACATGAATGCCTCCTTTCAACAATCCAGCATGCGGCCCGTGCCCAACACAGACAGAGCCGCTCTGACAAGACTCGTACCGATGTGTAGACATCATGACAAATACTCGCCCGAATATAATGATAGCCATTCGATTCACCCCGTTCCAATCATTACATTTGCCAGAGGCCGTCGGCTGGTTGGTGGAAGTTTCCCGGATTGCCCATCCAGGTTGTACTGCGGTATGAATATCCAGCGGACAAGTCGACCTGCTCGAGGGGCGTCTTCTTGACAAGATGGGAAAGAAAAAGACTGCCCCTAATCAGAAGAGTCTTGGGAAGCGTTGGTCGATGCTTGCTTTCTCCGGGCACTGCACACTTGAGTGCCAAGTGTCCATCTGTCTTGTCGTCGTGTCCGGCATCTGTTTGCAAATGTCAACGGCGTGGTTTGGACTCGCATCGAACTCGCATTGAAACACGGCCACTTCCCGATTGGCACATTTGCTGACTGCCACTGAAGACCGAAAAGACCGTCTGATCCCGGTGCAATTGCGCGTGGGCTGCCTACCCAGGTAGCCTCTTCGCATGAAGGCTGCGTCAAACCCCTCCCATCAGCTCAGTTGTTCTCAGCCACGCGCGTGCGGCGGCCGGCACGAGAAGCCCACGAGTCTGCGATGATGCGTCGATGAGCCAGTTCGGAGCACCATCCTTGGATCCGTAAATTTGTTCCTCGAGTCTGGTCTGGTCCCTGCATGTACACTATTGCGTACATGGCACACACATACACACACGCACGGCTGAACAGAGTGCATACAAGTTCAACCAGACCAGGCGCTTTATCCGGGTGCTCAGTGCTCACCCACCTGGGCACCTACCTACCTACCTGATTAGGCAGTGCAGGCAGGTACTGCATCGTTCTTGCCTTGGACGCAATTGCCGGGCGTAGAAAAACGTCCGCGTTCATTCTCTTAAGCCATTTGTTTCATCTCCAGACCTGGTGTTTCATCCCATCATCTTGGCTCGCCTCGCCTCGCCTCACCTCGCTGCCAACTTTTAGGAAATCATCAAAATATCATCGCATCAACAACCAGGGCAGCGCTAATTACTGCAGCATTGTTTCGGCCACGACTAAGACGTGCTAGTGCCAGCCCGTCGTTACTGGCCGCTGCACTTGATGCTGGGACGGCCAAACATTGCTTCTGGAGTAAGACACGGCCAGCGCAAAGAGGCGAAGTGGTGAATCAGTGACGGGGTTCGGCTGTCATCACTCAGCCCCCCCTGAGGATTTAAATCCCCATCACCCAGACGGCAAAATTCATCAAAAGTCATACCAAATGCGAATTTCATTGATTCTTCTCCATTTCTCGTCATCCCACCATCTGCACACCCAACACGCCGGGTTCTCGCACTGCAGCACGTTGAATATCGGGTGTCGTTTCTGTGCCTGAACATCTCCCCATTCTCTGACGACGACGACGACGACGACGACGACGCCGACGACGCCAGCAGCTATGCCACATATAAAATCGCCACACCGACAGCATCTTGCAAATCCATCATCAAGATCGGCTCGTGCACCACAATATGGACGAGGCCGGCCGCTGGTGGAGAGAATTGTGGCATGATTGGCCCAACGCATGGGACGTATGCCGCCGTCGTGGGCTGCTTAAAGCACTCCCCGACATGGCACGGGCTGCCATCTGGACGGTCTTGATGATTGTGCTATTTGCCGGCGTTATTGCATGTGATTTGCTTCGTACAACATGGTCCCATGCATACCCGCTGTCTGGGCACAATAGGGACAAGAGGGAGCGTCGACGCAAAGACAACTCGCTGCAGCGACTGCTGAGCAGACCCATGGCAGATCCCATATCAGCATATAGGACTGTCCACTCCCAGAGCCCGCAACACGATGAAAAGGCTAAAACTTCCATCTTTAGCCGCCTCCCGCCCGAGATTCGGAGGCACGTTTTGGTTTCAGCTTTTGGAGAACGCACACTACATATGGACTTGGATTTCCGACTCCCATTCAACTTGGTTGAGAAGAAGCCATATGATGGGTGTGACGTGCATGCAAGGATTCACCAAGAAAACCTGGCCTCGGACTCGCACTTGGATACAAAGTCTGGCAGGAATAGGACTTGGAGGTGGTTTGGTTGTGTATGCCACCGGTTCGACATCGTTAAGACACCACCGTTGACTTACGGCAGGAGATGCAACTACCGATGCGCTCATTTTGGAGAGCCAGATACGGACATGTGCCTTCGCGGATCAGGAAAGTGTAATACGTGGCCTGGAACGTGGCCAGTGAAGTGTCAAATTGGCGTCATGGGGTGGATGCTATCTTGCAAGCGAGCGTGAGTTTTGCGTGTCTGGCTGCCTTGGGTGACTCTATCGACCATGTACGGAGCTGGCAACACTAACCAATTTTTTTTCAACTCTGCTTAGATATTTCGAGGTCATGGATGTTTTGTATAGCACCAACACGTTCCACATTGCGTCTCCCGTTCTAATGAAGAGCATGTCCGATCTGTTTCCGAGTCATATATTGGCCAACATTCAATCCATAGAGTTGGTTTGGCAACCAAAAGACCTTCCTCTGGTAGAGGGCTTTTGCTCAAGGGTGAAGCACTCCGAATATCAACACCCAGTTTTCCCGTCTCTTGCATACTTGCGGATTGCGTTTGCCCGGATGGTCATCCACGAGGTAGACCACGCCACCGACATGATTTGGCCATATGACAACAGGCGACTACTATCCGAGAGGTTACACAACTCCTTTTTACCGCAAATGGACGAATTAATCAACCGAATTGCGCCACCGACGGCGGAAGTAACGGTATCTTGTGCGAAATGGGATTGGTACGAATTAATAGATGTCTCTCTTTTGGAAAGCCAGGGCAAGGAAGCGACCAGGATGCAAAGAGCGGACATTGAAGGATTGAGGTGCTGGAGAATGATACCCATTAGGAGGAGCATTTCATGGGAAGATGCCGAGGCAGGTCTATCTTCTGTGCCGAGTAGAGAGGGATACTGGATTCATATACCCATTGGCGACGTGCGTCTTCACAACTGGTGTAAGTTCTATTCTGACTCATCTCGTGCGCAATTTGAGACTGACCTGACGACACTTTAGATGGTTACGATTGGCAACGAAATGAGCTTTATGGTCTTGGGCCGGACGGCCTCCCATGTTCTTGATTAGCGGGCAGCGAGGGTCTCAACTAGAGTACATTTCGACACATATATTTTCTAGCGACGTTAATAACAAGCGGTGGAATTGCCGCCACGGCATTGTCCATCAGAGTACATACGGCGCTGGTTCGTCATGGTCCGGCGCCCAATGCCATATACCGCTTTCATGTGGTTGCCAGGCCACGAGCCAGACGCTGGTCCAAGCGAGTAAGCCCTAATTGTGAATTGTGATGCTGCAAGTGCTGCATATGGCTTTCCGCCACCGATCCATTGGCGCACCCGGTGCAGTGACGCGAGCCAATCGTGTGCCATTCATGAACAATGGCTCAAGCTGAATGTGACAAGTTGATACCTTGATGAGATGCTGCTGGCCCCTTTTTTTCTTCTTTTTTTGTACTTAACTTTAAGACATACATTGGTGCTATTTGTGATGGACGCGCCTCGTTGCTCAGTTCAGAGAAACATGCATGACTCGTAGAAAAAAAATACATAATCCCCCATTTCTAATGGTACTTTTCGCACAAAGGTAGTCCTATCAAACAGGCGCTGTTTGGCAAACCACCACGACGATTGGCAGCCCACCTTGTAAGTCGTCCTCGCCGAGCCACTCCCGCAAGAGCGGACATGGCGCCGTCGCCATGACCGGCGAGCCTCCGGCATTGAGGTCATTGTTTCCAATGATGTAAATACTGCGCCCTGGAAGTACATCCGACAAAAGAGGCAGTAAGCTTGTCGTGTAGTCAAGCCGAGTGATGCTCCGCAGGGCCAGCTGCGTCGATGCGCCAGGGACACCGGGCGGCAATGGTGCAAAGCCGGCTTCCGTATTGGGAAACTCGTCGCGGGGCTGCCGGAGCCGGCGCGAGGCCGTCGCCGCATCGACAGACAGCCCGTGCCAGATCAACAACCAGCCATTCAACTACTAGTGATTCTGCCCATGAACAGCACGGTCGAGCCAGCCGTGAAGACGGCTAAATAGTCCGCGCATTATACGACATGTGTCTCCATGATGACGAACAGGGTCAAGATGCTCCCAGCGCCAGACGTCACTAACCCTGTGTTCCAAAACTATCCACGGAACCGCGGCCGCCTGACACCCGTCCGGCGAGGGGACGGGAGGTCATGCACAGCCGTGGCATCCCGTCGAGTTATAACCCGCATTTCAATATATGGTGCCATGTTATAAAGTGGTTCAATTATTGTACAGCTAATGGCCTTGACAAAAAGGGTCGTCGGCTGCTACAAAGTTTGGCACAGCGTTGCCCTTGACTAGTTTTGCCCTTGCGAACACAGCCCCCGATACACATCGTCATTCAAAACATCTCCTTCAAATGGGGAAACACGGTTCCATCGGGTGTAAACATGCCCCCAACAGAGTCGGCCGTGCCAAGGTCATTATGTGGGGGAACCTGTTCGTCTCCAAACTGGAAGCCATTCAAGCCGACGTAGCCCTCGAAAATCCGCGACAGCTCGCTTTGAATCCTCTTGCCGTTTTGTTCCACGGGCTGCTCCGGCGTCTGGTGGCTCTGAGGCATATGTATGTTGGGGAAAGGAGACTGCGTCATGGGCGTGCTCTCCATATGACCCCTGGCCAGCCCAATCATTCCCAGAGCAGCATTAGAATGCGCGTCATCATCGGGGTTCAGGCCGAATCGGGGCGCCACGTCCTTCAGTGACTTGATGGTGCGCCATAGGCGCTTGGAGACAAAGCTCTTGGCCGACAGGTCCCTCACCAAGTCCAGCGCTAGGTAAAACTCCTCCCTGCAAACAGCACTAAATCGGATGGGAGCATGCACCGACGCGAGAAACACCACGGAAATGGCCGAGGCCAGGAATTGATGGTAGAAGGATTGCGATCGTCGGTACAAGTTCGTGGTGTTGTTCAAATTGTTCAAATATTGTATGGTGTCCTTGGCAAAGTCGACAACACGCTGCGCTTGACCCGGATGTTGCATGATGCTTGTGGCGCTGTGTAGAATAGGAGTATACAGCCAGATACGAATCTGTCACCAGTTAGTACTCTGTCGCGGGAAAACCCACGTCGAGGGACGGACCTGATTAAGTCTCAAATATGTGAAGATCTTGAGACGCTGCAGATTGTACGAGGGTATCGATGTTATTTGTTTTTCCTTGTCCCAGTTTTGCACCTTGACTTCTTCGGGTACACTATCATACCACTGGAGTATCTCTCGATCAAGATTATCAATCTCTTCTTGGTGTGATTCTCGAGCCAGTGCCGGCCCGAGACGTGACACTTGGCGCCAGACCTTGGCACCAAGACGAGAGTAGGTGATCATGGCAACAAGGAACGGGTACTCCTCCTAGAAATAGTCAGTGATATATGACCCATGTTTCTTTCCTCTCTGTATTTGCACCTACGGGGAGCGGTAGCCTGGGATCGATTTCCTCATCCATCACCGCATAGGGTAGCCCGGTGGCAAATGCCCATCGTCTGTCGAGAACATATGCCGACCAGAAGCTGTTCAGTGCATCCCGTCTCTCTGCGTCGTCCTGGATCCTCATCAACCCCGCCATCTGATGAATACCAGCTTCCAGGCAGAGCCGTACAACCTGCCCCATGATTCTCCATGCCAGAACTTCTTCGTAAGAAAGATATTTGAACCCGGCCAGCAGGCAAAGAAGCGGCAAGCTGGCCACGTCAGTGGGATCAGACATCAACTTCTTGTTGACTACCCCCTCCATACTCTCATACAGTCGGACAGCCTTGTCGCTGTTGCCATGGAACTCGGTAACCAGAGCGCAGCAGAGGACAATTTTGAGTTGTAATGTCTTCTCGTCATTGACGAGTCCCGTGGGCTGTTGTTGGCCACGCATAGAGTCCAATAACGGTGCGATGTTCTTGGCGTGAGCGGTGACGCTCTCGATGTTGAGCACTGGGTACATTATGCCGACCTCTTCCTCATGCAATCGACACAGCCGAATCATCTCGTCCTTGTCGAATTCTAACAGAGGGTCATGACCAGTATTGCTAGTACCGATCTGCATAGCAACATCGCTTCCGTGCTGCTCTTGGTCGGACGTCTCATCGATACCACGATATCCCATGCTGGAGATGGTCGTGTTGGCAATATCTAGACTGTAAGCCATGCTGGTAGGACCCCGGAACTCCCCTACTTTGGAGTGCGACAAGTCTGGTCTGGCCATGGACGCGGAGCTTTGTGCGGAAGAGGAGGGCGCAAGGGTCGAGCCAAGTCTGCCGTTCAGGATGCGATCGGTTGAGGGGGCCACAATACGAGTTGGCTCTGCCTGCAAAAGAGTCTTCATCGTCTGATTCAGCCAGTTGACTTCTTCCTGGAGTCGACTGAGCTGGCTTGTGACGCTCCTAAACTCATCCGAGTCCTTGAAGTTGTTTGAGCAGCAGTTGGGGGCGTATAAGCACGCCAGATTGAGGTTGCCACATCGTTGGCAAGGCGTCTCGCCATTGCACTTGATTTTTCTTCTCTTGCACTCGTTGCTGTGCGCATTCTGCGTCAGTCCCAATCTGCGTGGGGGAATGTCGAATGTCAGGGATAAAGAACTCACCACGCGATGGAGATATACTGCCAGTCAACCACCAAGAATATGTCAGCAACATCATGTACAGAGCAAGTCGTGCATGCACGCATCCGCAGGCCAATAGCCATATTGTGACACGCGACGAACCGGCGGCATCTGCAGCTCGCACAAGACCGAAGGGGGGGGGGACGACTCGGGTAACACCAAAAACATCAGAACAAACATCAAGACCCCAACATCACAGGCCAAAATAGCCGACACATGCCGGGTGCAATATACAGCAAGCAAGGGAGGTCCCTGGGGGTTGGTCAAGACTCACCCGATTCCTCTTGCTCCTCGTCTGTTTCTGCGCTGCTCCGTCGTCCATCGACTTCCTCTTGTTGGCATTGGACGCGGCCGCAGAGGCACCGATGCCAGCGGAATTGTCTCCGTATGAAGCGGAACCAGACGGACTGGCGTGTGGCCCAGGCCGCGGTGTATCATAGGATATGCTTGCCGTGTCGCTCAGCGCGGCGGGAGCTTGCGCCAGGTAGCGCAAATCAGACGCTTGTGTCTGGATCTGCTCCATGTTGTTGCGCCCGACCACATCAATCCCTTTTGCCTTCACCCGTCGTTGCGGACCGGGAAACCATGCGAGTCGGGAAGAAAAGAAAGGCACCTGTGATTAACAAGGGAAGGGGGGGCAATGATGGCAAATACCTGGCGCCGGCTCAGCCAGCCTGCCACTGCCAGCCTGCCACCGACACTGCAAGACTGTCAGAGCGGCCAAAAACCCATCCTCCTCCACGGACCACCGACCACGAGGGTTGACGGCCCCACGTGACGTCCACACAGACGGGAGAGCTAACTTTGGTGGCGGCGGCCAAAGGCTTGAGTGGCATGCCTTGAAAAGTACCTGCAGGTGGCAGATCTCTGCTCTGATGGAACAGTACTAATACGTACGCCGTCCAATACACACAGTCAATGCGTGTACATACTGTACATATGTATGCGGTGATTGCTAGGGCAAAGATGAGACAGGCTAATGTGAGTTGAAAGTTCCGAACTCTGCCCGTCCGGGGTGCTGCTAGTTTGAGTGCGCCAAAAGGGTCTGGTCCGGTTGACGAGCGAGCAAATGTCCTGCGCCAGGGTAAATCAAATCAGACGCATTCAACTGCAACTTTGTTTTTCGTTGCCAATAGGAAGGCCCTGAAAGTCATGGCTTGGTCATGACCATGCAATCAATTGATTGCCCTAACAAAGGCCCCATCAAACACCGCCACTAGCATCGTTCTGGTTCCGTCCTCATTTTCTATGTAGAGGTAAATTTTCAACTTCAGCTTGCCATCGATATATCTACAAATGCACGGCTCAATTTCTAAACAACTTCAGTCCTTCCTCTTCAATATCCACACCCTCCATCTCTTCATGGTCGCTCTCATCCTCGTTCAGCTCCAACTTGCGCCCAAACAGTGTTCCAAAGAAACGGTCAATCGCCTCCTGTTCCCAGCCTCTCCTGTCCTCTGGCGCCATAAAGTTTTGCAATTTCTCATGCACCGTGAATCTCATCTTCCGTCCCTTGCTAGCCTTGCGATCTACTTGCTTGCGCACCTTGGCTTCCTTTGTCGCTGTCACCATTACCGTCGGCACAGCAGTAGCGTAGTCTGCGACTCCTTCTACAGTTCGCTGGTCAACCAGTTCCTTCAGGAGAAGCTGGTAGAAGTCAGCGTCATCGTAGACATACTCGTCAGTGGCGACTTTCTTGGCGAGCTGCGCAGGGGCACATGATCGAGGGACTCGTGTCCGTTTGACCAGCCTGTTGTTGGGGACTATTAACTGCTCCTGGAGGGCACTAATGAGGGTCTTGTTCTTTTCGCTAATTCCACTCGGTCTTGCCATGTTGACACTTTGGACTTTTTTGGACCACTTCTCCAATCGTTCTTGACGAAAGCCAGTCGCGTCCTTGTCTTCGTCTTGTAGCTGTTCCCAAATGTCGTCGTTTGACATTGATGCAACAAAATCGCGCTTCCGCTTCTCGCCGGTTTTAGTTGGCGCTTTGATGCTTTCACGCAAGCTGCTAATGGTGTTCAGCAGCTTGATGGCAGCCTCTTCAGCAGCTTCGTATGGCTCAGACTCGGCATCAGTGCCCGCCTCCACCGTGGGGAATGAATTGGCGGCAACGAGTGCTTTCTGTAACCGAATGCGTAGATTGAGTAAACCATCGTAAATCTTGCGCTGCTTCTGGATAGCAACACCTTTGTCGATATCAGCTCGGTTGGACAGAGCAGATAGGTGGGGTCTGGCCGCAATTTTCTTCCCGGACGTTTCCTCTTCTTCAGTTTCGTCATCATCGCCGTCCTCGTCATCCTCCTCGTCCTCTTCATCATCATCATCATCACCATCATCCTCCTCACTGTCCTCTTCGTCCTCATCGTCCACTTCTTCAGAGTCGTCTCCACCATTCACCAGCGCATCAAGTCCATCATCCATATCTTCATCTCTGTCAGATTCACGGTTCTCGTCATCAACAGACATGAAATCTGCTGCAGTAGCCCTCTTGCCCCTTCCCTTGGGTTTCGCAGGCTTGGCACTCCCACGAAAAGAGTAGTCTTTGAACCGTTCGGCATCCGACTCGCCTAGAGCGTTGTCGCTGTCAATCTCCGAGTCGTTGGACTCGGCCTCGTCGGCTTCCAGGTCGGCGACATCAGGATCGTCGTAGTCGTCTTCATCATCATCATTGTCCTCACTCTCCTCTGCGTCTTCGTCATCCTCGGTCTCGTTATCCAATGCAGATCGGCTAACCCGAGAGCCCCTGTATTCAGGGCCGAGTGAAACGCTTTCTTTCTGTCTCAATTTGCTCTTTCCCACGCGAACATAGTGCTCCGTGCCCAGATTCTCGTCTTCGCTGTCCTCGCTACTGCTGCCATTGGCTTCCGGGTCGTGGTCTGTAAATGTTAGTTTATGCGATTGTGCAAAAATGCAATGCTTTCGGGTTGGCCTGAGTACCTTTGATGATGGCCTCGTCTGGATCCTGGAACTGCTCGGCGCGGCCTTTTACTTTGGCCATTTTCTTTCCCGTTCAGCTTGCAATGCTTGATTAAAGATCAGACGTGAGCCCCACGTTCAAAAGATTTTGTCTCTGTCGCTCCAGCATCAACTTTTAGGCGGTGTGTAGTGGCAGAACGCAGCTTGAACTCTACAAGTATGCTGCTGGTAGGTCTGTGCTGGAGCCACCTTCCGTTACCAGCCTCGATAGCATAAAGTACCAGACCAGACTCGACATTATACAACCATTGGCCCCAAGACCTGGCCCAGCAACTACTATTAGGTCGTGCACTTAACCACAGTATTTTTGTATATCCCACGTAGTCAAAATCAGTCAAACGATCCCAAATTCTAGTAGCGTTATTTTTGCACAAGTTCTGGCGGCGACAGCAGTCCCAAACATGCGCCAGACAACAGCACGCCTCCTCCAGTGGTTTCGCCCATTATATCATGAAAACCCTCTAGTAAGTTCCCAATTTATCAATCTCCTATGATATGTTTATATATATATATATTTTCCCTTTTTATTTATAGGACCTAACACATGTCGTAGGGCTTGCCCCGATCTGGCACGCCGCCAACCTGGGCAAAACGTCCCCAGCGACGCAAGATCACTGGAGTTGAAAAGGTCATCGCCGTATCATCTGCCAAGGGCGGTGTTGGGAAGAGCACAGTCGCGGGTGAGTTCTTGGCCGGTCCAATGCCACGGTATTCACGCATTTTAATGTCAATGAGGCAGCCAACCTATCCCTGGCTTTTGCCAGATTGGGGTTCCGAGCAGGCATTTTAGACACAGATATATTTGGACCGTCGATTCCAACACTATTTGACTTGTCCGGAGAGCCAAGATTATCAAAAAGTAAGTTTCTTTCTTCTTGGATGTATTCGTCTGGCTCGACGACTGATCTTTGTTCTAGATAACCAGCTGGTTCCTCTCACGAATTATGGTGTCAAAACCATGTCAATGGGTTATCTAATTGGCGAGAATGCGCCGGTTGTCTGGCGAGGACCAATGGTGATGAAAGCCATCCAACAGCTACTTCACGAAGTAGACTGGGGCGGTTTGGACATTCTGGTTCTCGACCTGCCACCTGGTACTGGTGACACACAGTTAACCATAACCCAACAAGTCATTTTAGATGGTAGGCAGCCAACCTTCCGACCCCTCCTCCCTGTGGTTCGTGCGCTACGAGTCTGCTAACGTTGATTTCCTAGGGTCTATAATCGTCACAACCCCTCATACCCTGGCAACGAAAGACGCTGTCAAGGGTATCAACATGTTCAAGGCAGTGGGTGTGAATATTCTAGGTCTGGTCCAGAACATGTCACTGTTCGTATGTCCCCATTGCCATGGCGAGACGAATGTGTTTGGGTCGAATGAAAGAGTCGAGAGGTTGTGCAAAGATCATGAGATATGCTTCTTGGGCGATATTCCTCTACATCCAAACATTGGAGACGATGCTGAGAAAGGGAAGCCTACGGTCGTGGCCGAACCATCAAGTGAGAGAGCATCGGCGTTTCTACGGGTTGCCGATAAAATCTTGCCAAAAGTTGGCTTGGAGAGGAATTAGGAATGTGAAGGATGGTAGCTCCGTGTACAATATTTGTTTCAATACATTTGATATCCCGCACATAAAGCCATTAGCACGTCTGCACAGTCTTGATCTCGCGAGGGTTTAAGTACCATATCAATAGAGCCCAGTCAAGCCTAGACCCAAATTATGATTTCGAACTGGAAAGAATGATTTATCCCCTGTCGACGTGGTATATCCTATGTTTTTCGAACTATTACGACGTTCGGCAGCAGGCCGTTTCAGGGGCGAAGATACACCAGGTTAGCCTCAGCCTTTATCAATCAGGAGGCATATTACCGAGATATATAGCGTAAAAGCCCACCCAACCTTAACACATCCATCCCTTAACGCCGATCTGGCTTCGTATCGCGCTTGTGAACATGAACTAGAAAAAAAATGAAAAGGAGAGTCGTTAGTCTAGGTCTTCGTTTACCTGGTAAACATGACGAGATCGAGTAGGATCTTTCCGCATAGCTTGGCCAGAGCCAGTAAAGCCCACTACATCGCCAATTGTTAGCATAATCTAGCGTATAGGTCTTGCTCATCAAAAAAGATGCTATACGCATGTGCACATACCTCTTCCATGAATACCCTCCGGCGTGCGGAACATGCTATCCTTCTTATTCGTTTTGCCAAATTTAGACTTTGCATTAAATGCTTGCCACTTAGCCTTGCCGGCCTCAAGCTCTTTCTTGGCCTTGATCTTTTTCGGTTTCGGGGCTTGCGCAGCCTCCGCATCCTGCTGGGCTTCGTGCTGGGCACCAGGATACATTGTAGCCCCAGCAGACGACACAACACCTGGAGCCGACGGCTGCGGCGGAGGGTCGTCAGCTTTCCTCTTATTAGAAATGGGCTTTAGGTCTTTTGATCTTAGAGTCTCTGTATTGTCATAACTTTTGAACTTGACAGTGTATATCGGTGCGGCGGACGACCCGGTGATGGAAGTGATTCTGGCTTGATAGAAATTCTTGTCTCCGGATACCCATTTGGCCATGACGGTGTCGTTCACATGATACGTGACTGGAGGCTCTTCCTTTTCTTCCGGGGGCGGAGGGGCCTTCTTAAAGGCGGGGTGGTTTTCACGAGACCATTTTTCGGGCTGTGGTGGCGGCGACGGTTCTTTGGGGGTAGGTTGAGATGGCTGGTTTGGTCGTAGCTCTGCGATGTTCTCGTCGAGAAGACCAATAACGTTGGTCAGCTCTTCCTGTAGAGCCTGAAGTTCGGCGCTGTCTGGGTCATCTCGGAGTTGTTGAAGGATGATATCGAGCTTGACGCAGAGTTAGCCCAAAGCGATAGAAATAATGGAGTGCTGAAACGTAGGATACGAACCTGCTCTTGGTATTGTGATCTCTCCTCTTCGATGGCTGCGACGCCAGACATTGTGTTTTGGAAATCTGAAAGAGGTGATGTAGAAGGGTTTTGTTGGACCTGGTTGTTGATAAAGCGCTCGTCGAGATTGGGTGAAGATGGCGGGCAATGTGGCTATGACAAGCAGTCTGGTGTCTAAATTCTGAAGAATGTCGCAGCCGATTGACGTTGCCTCCACTGAGAGATACGACCAAGCACGTGACCCACCTCGGATCGCGGAGTCGTCCGCCTCGAATGTCAATCCTGCGAAGATGGAATGAGTTTTCAAATGGAGGGCGTCGTACGGAGTAACTTTACCAGGATATCCAGCATGAGAGATTCGGTGCATATACCTTGGCGTGACCAGGGGAGAATCCTACACTACTAGTCTGTTAAGTGCGTTGTCTGTTGCGCGTATCCATCCTCGTCCAACTGACGTGCCTGAAGCATGGTCAGTCTGATGACGCATGTGACGTGTCAAAAGGGATCAATGCAGAAGGTATAACGCCGTTTTAATATAACAAAATAATATTTCCTTTCTCCCTATATTTTCAGGGTCGTCCGGTTTACTCATTAAGAAAGCGCTTCGGAGGATCGATGGTGGGAGAAGTACGATACAGCACCGGGCTAAAGATAATGACTCACTTTGCTGGCTCCAATTGCAATTCTGCACGCCGGGCTCCGTGACTGGTTTCGCCATATACATACATGTCTTTGAATGCACCCTTGGAAGGCATCGTTGCCTTTTCGCATCAAACCCCTCTGCCGTCATGAATGATGAACCGAACACTACGAGCGATTCTGCCCTCAAACAGGTATGAATTGAATTCGTCCGCAAAGGCGACTACCGCCAACTGGATCTAACACGTTTGCAGGTACTTTCCCATATTCAGTCTTCAGACAACGATGACCGACAAGTAGTTATAATGACCTGTGGGATATCCGGTCAGTAGACATGACGATCCCCAAAGTTCAACATTCCGAGGCAAGCATTGACTAACGCGTCAAACGAGTCTTCAGGGGCAGGAAAGTCTACTTTATCAAAGGACATTGTTAAAAAACTACCAAACTCGGCTCGGTTATCTGTTGATTCTTATATATACGAGAACTATGGACTCTTCAAGATTGATTATCCCGAGGGCAAATACCCCGAGTATCAAGCTGAGGGTCTACAGCACGTAAAAGCAGAGCTCATCCGCCTGCTCGGAGAGAAGCAGAAAGACATAGTCCTGGATCTCGCCTTCTGGAACAGGAAGTACCGCGAGGAGTACAAAGAGGCCATTGCTAAACACGGTGGACGCTGGCTTCTGGTATTCCTCGACGCAGACAAGGAGGTTCTGCGGAGGAGAATCGCTGGTCGGCGGGCACAGAGAGATGCACTCTCTCTAGATGACAAGAGAAGAGACGGTGACACTGCATTTGATGTTGAAAATGAGACTTTTGAAATGTACTGGGATGGATTTGAGAGACCTGTGGGCGAGGGAGAGATTGTGATTAAGGTTCTGTGAGTGCACTGCATCGGGAGGGACAATCGTCAAGTCGACGTCGCGTGTGGTCATTAGTCTTGGTTGAGAACGAGTGGTCTGCGCCAATGATGGAACATTGAATGAGTAGAGTTCTTGGTCAGCTTGCAAGTTGACGGTAAACCTCCGGGAAGGGGGTTGAGTTTGGGTGCTTCTGTACATGTGCGTTCTGGATGCATGCGAGTGTCGAGCTGGTGTATTCCAGACTTGCAGTAGAACCTGACTGCCCTCTGATTTCTCCAAATGCCCGCCCGCGTCCAGACAGGGATGCTGGCCTGTGGTGACGGTCTGTGCTGTGAGTCAAGTGTCAGAGCCTAACCAAACATTGAATGAATGCCAATTGATGTCTTCCCCGCGTCTGTGTCTGGCTCTCAAGGTCCAGTCAGGTTTCTTCCATTGTTCCAGCCTGGCGCAAGTTGGGTATACAGTTCCGACGCGCCGGCCGGCCGAGTCCACGGAATGCTGAACCGCGCGCATGCGTCGAGGGCACCTTGACATGGCGGATTAATTACTCGACTAAAGACAGTAGTCAAAATTAAAGGCCATACTAGGAATTACTCTTCAATGTTTCTTGCACAACCACCAGACACTCTTGGAGTGGCTCCTGGCACAAGGTTATTAGCGAGTAGCGACGCTAACCACATCTAAGTACAATGTCAAATGGCAGGCAACGGCCTCAACCCTACACGGGCCCGGGCAGGAGTAGTATCCCGATGATAAGTTTCTTGTTCTTTCCCTATATAATGAATACCTAGAGGTACTGCAGCTTACTCAGCTACTAGGCAGCTAGCGTATTCTCATAAAATCTTAAGTAAATAAAGGCCAGACCGCCAAAGTGTCTGTTGCCCAAGCACGGCTTCCAGATGCGCTGCCCCGCTGTTTCAATTGCCTGAGAGCTTGGGTCGTGAATCATGGATGCCCTTGGCGATGCACGCTGCCATCAGCGCACGGCCAGCCACGGCCAGTCACCGTCTTCGTCCACCCTCCACATGTGCGCTCTTCACCGCAGCCCAGCCCAGCCCTGTCTGCTCCCCGGATGTCTGGTTTCAATCTCGAGTGCTTCCAGATGCCCCCATCCAACCATCAGCCATCCAGTCTTCTTTGCAACCCTCCATCTCGTCACAGTCCGCCACCCTCCACCATATCTGTTTCCAGTCTAAGTCGGACGAAACCCGCACACGGCCAAAGACGACGACGACGAGAGAGCGAGAGCGAGAGAGAGAAGGGCTTTTAAAAAAAGACATCTCATCCACTCACCTACTGTCCTCGGCCTGCCCTATCCGACCAGTTGACGTCTGTCATTGCTTATCCCGTCGCTCGGCCCTGGACGACGACTTATCAAGAACTCCTGCTCCTCTTCCGCGCGCCCGGGCTGCTTCTGCCACCTGCGACTCTTCTTGCAGCCGGCCAATTGGCATTGCGACTCCAAAAGTTGGTGGACAAGCTCATCTCCTCAATACCAATTCGCCTTCGCAGCCGTCATCGCCGACTCCGACATTCACACGTGTCCCGCATCACCAACCAAGGCAGCCGCAGCCGAAGACGGCACATCCTTCGGTCGGACGAGAGCCTCTGCAGTGTTCAGCAGCACCGCAGCACCGCAGCATCGCACCGCTGCATGTCTCCCAACGTCGCCGTCTTCGCCCCCAGTGCCAGCCATCAGCTCGACCCATCAGCTCCGACCCAGCATTGATTGCTCTCGAGCCAGCGCTTGCACCACTTGCCCGAGACCCCAACCACAGCAGGTGCGCACGCGGGCTCTGGTACTTTTTGGTCTGGCGCTCCGTACTCCTCCTCGGGCGTCTTGCAGTCTGGTGTGCATCCTCAAGTATTGTACAAGCCAAGTACCTCGGTCCTGGAGTGCGCAGGTGCTACCGTCGACACCATGCCGCGAGACAGGGACCTGGACAACGCATCGTCCGGTGGCCAATCAAAGCGCCCTCCCCTCAACCACCGGGACAGCGACTCTCACAGCGACACGACAAATACCTCGGGAGCTCCGTCTCACCCTCATCGTACAAAGCATCACCAGAAGCAGCACCACGTCGGCCACGCTGGTCGCCTGCACGCCCGCGTCCCTTCCTCAAAAGCTGTCCACAAACAGCATGGCAACGCTCATCCTCACCCTCAACCTCATGCCCACCCCTCCAAGCTGAATCGACGACCAGCTTCGCGACCTACCTCGCCCACCGAATTCGACCAAGTCGCCCTGCGCCCGCCGCCGCACCGCAGAGCCACCAGCGAAGTCAAGCTCTCCCGCCAGTCTTTCCCCGCCAATCTGCCCAAGAGCTTGTCGCACACGAGCTTGAAGCGCAATCGCTCACACGTCGAGGTTGGCAAACGGACTCGGTCGTCGGACAAGCTCAAACGAAGCTCGAGCGGCACGGGTATACAAAGGCAGCCTGCTAAACCCAGCAAGATCCAGGTGCATTTTGACCTGGGGAGCGACGATCCCGAAGACGAGTGGGTGGATGCCAGCGGCTCCAATTCACCATATCTCTCACGCAAAGGCTCGCTCAACAGCAGCGCTCAATCGTCTTTGAGGCACGGACCTAGCACCGAGAACTCGCGGCCCGTGACCCCGAGTACTACTTCCAAATCCCGGGAACCAGACCGTCCGTCACCAGACCGTGAAACATCTCACCATAAAGAATACCTCACCTCTCGCCTCCTACAGCGAACACCGTCGCACGGTGCACCGCCGCAAATGACCGTCGACCTTGCCAATGCAGCACCGGCGCAACTGTCCCGCTCCGTCAGCTCTACTGGTCGCAACGTAACGCCTTCGGCAGGGAGCAATCAAGATGAGCTAGTGTCCCGATTTGTCGATGCTGCCAGTTCTGGCCTGGCAAGCCAGGGTTCATTTTATCACCCAGCTCATGCCACTGGCCGAGGTCCGAATGATGTCCCCCGAAGGCCCGACTCAATGACCCATATCGATCTGGCCCCAAAAAATGACGATGCCGAAGCGGTGCCGGTGCCATCGGCCGAAATCGATAACAGCGCCTTGGTACCAAAGGCTGGCAGGCGGACAGTGGGCCCGGCGGCAGAAACATCACGCACACAGCAAAAGTTGAATTTGCAGCGGGCTAGCTCAGTATTGGAGCCTGGCCAAGCATTGACAGGGGCAGTGGGTGTAGTTGGAGCGAGCCCATTGATCGGCGTTGGGGGTCCTGGCTACGACGGAGGAAACAGCCGTGATCCTCGTATTGGCAAACTGCTGGAACGAACAGGCATGGAATACCTCGTCGTTCGGAGATATCAAAACCCCGTTGCTCGATCTTTGAACCGCCTCAGTCGCCTTCCCGGGATGGAGAAGAAGCGAAGAATTCCACGCACAGCTGCTGGCTCTTTGAACGGCAAACGGACTGTGGATGTCAATGCTCGACATACTCGAAACGTCAGTATGCCGGATCCGCGCCAAACCGCGCTCAAGTCTGGTGCATCAATTAGAACCAATGGAGCTGGTTCCAGCTTTGACGGAGACGACGTTGCTAAATTGAATGAACGACTAAGCGGAGCGAGCCTAGTTGCGGCCGAAGAGGAGGATGGTACGAACGCTCTGCTTCGTAATCTATGGGACAAATCGATGGATCTTAGCGCCAGTACTGACTAGAGAGATGTGGGCTTTGGTTGTCGAACGATACTCACCATCCTCATTTGCTAGGCAGCAATCACCCATACTGATGCCCTGTTCCTATACCCGAGCAACACCCTAGAGCAACTTCTTTCAACAATTACAACGGACACAAATCACTTTCATGTCGACTGTTCGAGACACTCACAACTACTCCAGCTCGGGTCCCAACGCCCTCCCGCTGCCCTTTAGTTGGAGATTCCGGCACTTGTGGCCCACCATATTTATACGTTTTTTTTTTTTTTCAGGCACGCGTCCTGTGATATTATATAGCATCTTGTCTGATTATTCTGCGAAGGCATTGCGATTCCACTACCAGGGGCTTCTTCGGTCAAGTAGACAAAATATTTGCAGGTCAGGCTGGGGTTTACACAGATGCATAGCCATCCGGTGCATTTACAGATAAAAATCTTTAATATACAGGCTGATGACTTACGAGCAAGAGATTTGTCTCCATTCTCCTTTGCGAATTGCTACTGTGATGTCATGGATACAATGCCCAGGCAAAACGACAAAGGGTATGCAACTGAGAAAATTTGACACGTGTATATTTACTAGTTATCGTATATGCAAGAGAGAAGATGATGCTTAGCGCTAGCGCACCTCTATTCATGTATTTTGCATCTATGCCAAATCTTTGCCACCCACCATGCATGCAACAACATGATTACCCATGGACGTCGCTCCTGTAAACAAAGTAAAAAAAATAATGCAAGACAAATACCGCCGTGCAAGTACTCGACACAACCCTACCTGTTTATACATTCGGTGAAAGCAAATCATACTTGACACATCGTTCAACCTAGGCAAATCAGTACGAGGCCATCGGAAACACGTGCGATTGAATCGGCTCAGAGGGAACAAAACTTACATCTTCTATGCTCGCCTGCAGGAACTTTCTCGCCTCGAGACCCGCCCAGACCAGGATGACGCTGAAGTCGCCGCTCTTGGCCATTGTCGCGCCGCTCTGGGCACCGAGCTGGCGCAGGATGGGCAAGGAGCTGCTCAGCAGGTCGACGTTGGGGTTCAAGCTGCGGCCGATGCCCTCGAGAAGGAGGATGCTGATGACGACGTTGACAAAGTCGCCCTCCATACGGACGTGGTGGTTGCGCACCATGGAGAGGACCTGCTGGAGGATATCGCCAATCTTGACGTTTCCCAGCGCCAGCGTGCGCGACTTGACGCTGAGGACGAGGTGCTGCATCTTGAGGGCAAACACCTCCTTTTCCAGGACGGCCTCGGGCTGGCGGCAGCGCTCGCACATGAGGTGGCCGGCCTTGTAGCCGTCGAATTCGGCGACGGCCCGGAAGAGGTCGAGGAAGTTGGCGCGGTTGGTGGCGTTGAGCTCGGTGACGAGGCCTGTGTCGATGAAGATGAGCTGCGGCCGGTACCCTTCTGCGTCGATCTTGGCCAGCTCGGCTTCCCAGGCGGCCTTGTTCTTGCGGCGTCTGAAGGGGCGGAGGCGCTCGAGGACCTTTTCCGTCACGTCCGCTTCCTGGTCGTGCGCGTTGCGGTCTGGCTTCTTGCGCAGGCGGAGCTCAGGCTGGGCGGCCTGGTAGAAGCGCACCATGATGTTGCCCGGGTGGAGGTCTGCGTGGACAAAGTTATCCAGGAGGAGCATGCGGAGGAAGGCGTCGAGGCCCTCGTCGGCAATGTCGTGCTGGAAAACGCCGCCGCCGTTTTCCATAAAGTCGGCGAGCGGGATGCCCTGGGCGAACTCCTCTATGAGCACGTTGCGCGTGGTGAAGTCTGTGTAGGGGTAGGGGAATGAGGCGGTTGTGCGGTCTTTGAAGTTGCGGCGGAACCTCTCGAGGTTGGCAGCTTCGATGCGCAAGTCGAGCTGGAGCTTCATCATTTCGCCAAACTGAGCTACTTCGTCGGGCAGCGAGAGCCATTCGATTGTCGGGATGGCATTGAGGATGGATGCGAAGAAGTGCATGATCTTCAGGTCGCGGCGGACTATTCTGTCTACTCGGGGGTGGAGGACTTTGACGGCCACGTACGATGAGGGGACGCGCTTTGGTGAGCTTTTGAGCACGGTTTCGACGTTGCGCCGGACGTTTTCTGATAGCCCGCCGTATCCCTCGGAGCCGTTCATGCCGCCCTTTGACATGGCGAGCTCTGGCTTGAGCTTGGCCTTGTAGACTTGCGCAATGGCCCCCACGCCCAGGGGCTTCTCGTCGAATTCATCAAAGATGTCGTCAAACTCGCGCCCGCCAAATGCTGCCGAGACGGTCCTGCGAGTTGCGTGCATGGAGTGTGCCGGCGCATTCGAGTGAAGCTTCGACATGGTATCACACATCTCATTGGGAAAGATGTCTGTTCGGGATGCCGCCCATTGTCCCAGCTTGATGAAGGCAGGGCCTGCAAGTTCCATCGCCTTGACTAAAAACTGGTACCACCAAAGCGTGCCGCTTCGTTCGTTGTCACGCTCGGGGCGGCGTTTCCCAATCCAAATTGCCGGAACCGTGATTATGACGGGCACAAAGATGGCGAGGAGGTGCAGAAAGCGAAAGCCTGTGCAGACCGGCTCCCACACATACAGGTCAAAGAAGAGGACAGCCTTGTGCGCCGCTCTCAGCAGTCCGGTTTCGTGGTCGCCAACAGCTTTTCGCATCTCCTCGCGGGAGACCTCTAGCATTCGATGTTCGCCCGTTTGTTCGGTGCCATTGTTGTCCGTTTGCGATATCTCTATAAAGGCCCCAGCACTCAGCGCAGCCACGCCGGTCGAGGCTTGCAGTATAACCCTCCTCGCTGAATATCCCTTTGTTCCCGGGCCCGTCCATGGTATTTGGCGTGTGTGGTGAAGTCGGAACGCGACGCGGCGTATAAGAGGAACCGAGCTGGACTGCGAACGCAGCAAGGGCCGAAAACAAGTCCGGCCCAAGATGAAGCCGGTCCTCATATCGGCTCACAGGCAGTCGAATCCTCCTTGCAAGCGGAATTTATCATGTTCGACGAGGCATGGGGACATGGGGACATGGGGCTCGAGGAGTTGTCGTCGGCAGCACATGGAAATTCGGGTCCATCATCGAAGGCCCGCAAGGCCTGTAGGCGCCCACAGCGGTCGACGGTACTAGTACAACACGGGATTGGTGACGTAGGAGACTTGGGCAGTTGAGCGCAGACGGCAGGGAGAAGCCGGACATGCACGTGCAGTGGGTTCAGTGGGCTGCCGTTGTGATTGCTGGCAGTAGTTGTATGCATGTACCTAGTACCAGCATAAACGATAGTGACTCGGAGGGAGGCACGGCCATTTTGAGTCAAGCTGGTGTACTCCGTACCAGACATCAATCAGTCTGGTGTGCTCCACCACAGTGGCCGCTCCACGGCCTCGCCGGGGCGCGATAAGATTCCGTACTTTTCATGCTGCTAAATTTCTCTTCTCGTCACTTTGATCCCTCCCCGGGCATCGACGCCGTCAACCTTGTTCGTATACTTTGTCTGTAAAGCATCTGGCGCTTCAGCCGTCGGTTTCCCCCATTATTTTACTCTTATTTTAATTCTTTTGCAATAATTGAGCGTCAACATGGGCTGGTTCTGGGCTGAGCCTGCTCCCGCCGCGGCGCATACACCCAGCGGCCATCCCCCAGTCATTGGCAATACAGCTCCCCCGGTACGCAGCATAAATCTCATCAATGTGGCCCGTGAACATGGATTCTAACCCTCTTCCTCTTCCAGGCTGGATGTCCGATGCATCAAAAGACTCTCGATGCGCTGAACCCCAATGAGAAGCCCCGCGAGCAGGCTCCTGGCCCATCCGCGTCTGGCTGCCCTGTGCCTCACGAGGCTCGCACAACCCAGGACAAACCCAAATCTCTGCTGTCGCAGCTGAACCCGCTCAACTACATGTTCCCCGACCTGTCGCAGGAGCGTGCTCCCAATCAAGCCATTGCGCTGCCAACAAGCAGAGAAGAATCCACGATACCAAAGGGGTCCGGGGATGGCACGTGGGAGTATCCTTCGCCGCAGCAAATGTACAATGCTCTCCTGCGCAAGGGATACGAAGACACCGATATCACTGCTGTCGAATCCATGGTGTCAGTTCACAACTTTCTCAACGAAGGCGCCTGGGCAGAAATTATTGGCTGGGAGCAGCGCTTTGGCAAGGGCTTGTACAACGGATGGCAGGTTTGCAGGCGAGGAGAGGCGCATGCACCGGAGGAGATGGAGCGAAACTGGGATGTCAATGATGCCGAGCCTACCCTCATCCGTTTTCAGGGCCGTCCCAAGGATCTGACCCCCAAGGCAACTATGCTGCAGGTGTTGGGCTGGATCTACCCGTCAAAGTTTGGGTAAGTTTGCGAGCGGCAAACCTCACTGTATGAATGAGTTTCACATGGCGTTCTAACGTTGCGCAGCACTGAACCGCCATTTGACCGCCACGACTGGTACGTCTCCCGAGATGTCAACGGCGAGAGACAACAAATCCGATATGTCATCGACTACTACTCCGGTGAACCCGAGCCAACTGGTGAACCTGTCTTCTACCTCGACGTCCGACCTGCCGCCACCCCACGAGGCGCCGCCGAGCGCATTATCCGATGGAGTACAGACGTCTGGTGGAAGGCTATCGGGGGCGACAAGCGAGAGCAAGACCCGCAACCCTTCTTCCGACACAACGCTTCGAAGCCTTGGAGTTAGATCAGTATAAAAGAAGGCGTTTATTGTTTGTAATTGTATCATAAGAAGCAATGTATTCTACTCCGCAACGGCATAATGAACCTAAACCGGTTTCCTAAGCACGCACTCACGATTGATACGCACTGGCATGCTTTGTATAATAGTTATAATTCAAGAACTGTTTAAAACCGTTGGACCTGAGGGCAACCTGGGTTGATGTTATGTGGTCGTAATACAGTTGGATGCCGGTTTTAACAAAGCGACCAGAGGTGTAATTGCTATTGGTACCTAGGCAGGTGTATGTGGTTGCTTGCTCGTGTTCGGTGCTGGCTGGAATTTTCTACAAGTCATCTTCGCCCAGACATCAACTGAAAGAGACTGGAGCGTTTATGAACACTGGAGGGGGGATAAACACGCAGCACTCGCAACTCGAGGTCCCGCCGTGTTAATCAGGCATCTCCATACATAAATTTATATGTAAAAAATATATGTTAATTTGTAGACCTTGAAGCTATTGATAAGGAAGAAAAAATGACTGGCGCAGCCGGGACTTGAACCCGATACAGCGGCCTAGATAGCCTCAAATGGCACACATCTCTCAAAGACCTTGAAAACGCACTTTTAATCGTAAATCACACACACACAAGGTGGGAACTGATTCCGGCCCGATTGGGACTAAAGGGTGCTGCGTGTTTGGTTGCCCGGAGGCACTAGAGGGCCCTACGCACCAAAAGTCACCCGCCCCGCCTGACGGATAGAGCGGGTACTTGGTATCTTTTCACTCTCCACTAGCGCCCAAAGCTTTGCTTCGTCAGAGAAGTTTAACCGCCAGCAAGCAGAATTTCTGCCTGTTTAACATATCGACCCCAATTTCGGCTCGGGTTCACAACCAGGCAGCATTCGACTTTTCGCACCACTGCAACGGGCCCTTGGAACCCATGGCTCCAGAATTGTCGCCCACAAAAAGCGACAAAGTATCCAAGGCTCTTGTACCGGACGAAAACGGCTACACCCGTCTGCACATCACGCCTCTGGACCAGGAGCTCGTGAAGATTGTCATCCCAGCCTCTGTGCTTCCCAGTGCGCGCAACATCTCCTTCCACACGCTCGAGACCTTCCCCGAGAAACGATACGGGTTTGTCGACCTGCCTCAAATGGAGGCCGAGAAGCTGAAAAGGAAGCTCCATGGCGCCACGTTGAAGGGCTCCAAGATGCGGATTGAAAAAGCGCGGCCGGAGGATCGAGTCGAACCCACGGGTGATGTGGACACTGAGATTAAGAGCAAGAAGAGAAAGTCCAAAGATGAATCTGAGAGCTCAAAAAGACGAAAGCGAGATCACAAGGTGGTGGAAGGAGTTGTGCTCGAGGATCGAAAAGTCAAGCGAGGCTGGACGGAATCCGCTGATACAAAACGGAAGAACAAGAAGACCAAGGACAAATCTACCAAGGACAAGGACCAGGAGAAGAGGAGGCGGCAAAAATCCAAGTACACAGACCAGGATGAGTGTCTTCTCAAGACAAAGCTGCCACCGAATGCGGTGGGCAATTTGCCGGCAGCAGACGCCCATAAGAAGAAAAAGAAGAAAGGAAACGTTCGAGAGGTCACGGTTCACGAATTTGAAAAGACCACCAAATTCCCCAGTTTCTTGAAGAACACGGCGCCTGAAACAAATGGTAAGCCGGCAACAGAGTTTGTGGAAGGCAAAGGCTGGGTTGATGAGGATGGGAACGTTGTGGAAGTTGTGAAGAAGCAAGATCTGCCAGTGACGACGCCGAAGCGCAAGGCGTCTTCCAAAAAGGAGGCTGCCGTACAGGAGGAATCGGATGATGACGACACCAGCGGCAGCGGAACGTCGTCAGAGGAAGAGGAGGATGGAGACTCTGACCCGGATGAATCCGAAGCGGTGAATGTCACAAAAGTTGAGGCTGAAGAGAAGGACAGTGGAAGTAGTTCAGAAGGAGACGATACATCCAGCGATGACTCCTCTAGCGAAGAGGAAGAAGACCCAGCATCATCTCCAACCAACAAAGCCGACAACACGAGGCCCATGTCATCCAGCTCCTCCAGAAGCCTCAAGATCAAAATCCCACCGCCACCCACTACCCCATCGGCTAGCAAAGTCCACCCCCTCGAAGCGCTCTACAAACGGGCCAAGCCCTCCGAAACAGCAGCAACGCAAACGGCGGCGCAGGAATCCCAGCCATTCAGCTTCTTTGGCGGCGGCGACGCCGACGACGATGACATTGAAGACGAACCCGCGGCTCCCTCCATACCCATGACCCCATACACCCGACAGGACTTTGAATGGCGAAACGTCCGAAGCGCCGCGCCAACCCCGGACACCGCGCACCCCAGTCGCACGAGCTTTCCACAAGCAGACGACGTGGACATGGACGATGCCGCCGAAGAAGAGGAGGACGAGGATCAGGATGGTGAGGAAGGTGCCCCGGCTCGGGGACAATCGGGATCGAGTGATTTCCAGACATGGTTCTGGGAAAACAGGAGGGACTTGAACAAGTCGTGGATGGATAGAAGGAAGGGCGCGGCAAAGGAGAAGAGACATAGAGAGAACAAAGCGAGGGCTTCCAAGGCGATTTAGCCTCTTGGTGGAGTTGTGGGGTTTCTCGAGTATACACGGTACTTAATATAGATATACTGAGGTGTGTTTGGTTATCATCTCGCGGCTGCCACGTGCCGGTGTGCCCTTGACTTTGACGAGGTTGCCATTTGAAGAACAAGGCCTGGCTTCTCACAGGGGTGCTCTCTGATGCGACTCCAGCGTGGCTACCCTGGATAACTTACAGTCTGTGGCAGAATATATTCGCCCACCAAGTATATGTTACCATATAACCTACAGTAAAATATATTTACCCACTAAGGACTGTATACACCAATTTCTTATAATATAAACTGAAGCTTGATGGGCAAGACCTTGTCTGGGGAGTTAGACAAACTGTTCCTGGGTCCATGGTTTCTCTGCCATTGGTGCAGGCAATTCTAGGGAATCACGCAAGCTGTACCGTCACGGACGTCTTCTATATCAGATATAGAGTCCTGTAGGGATTCGTAAGAAGTATATTAGGTACTAGATGCACTATTTTGGCTGCCCGTGCATAGTGTCAAATTACTGGCACTCTGCTACTACACTTGGTATGGTCCATGTCGTTTTCGCATACGTGCGGCTGATTATCTTCTGAGCACGTGTCATGTCGTTTTCTCCCGACAACCATTTTACTTCCCGTCAGTGCTTCATAAATCCCCAAGTTATCTGCCGTCGGCGGCTTCAAAGTGCGTTCCTTCACAATGCTGTCTCTGGATCGAACGTTGGCATCAGTCCCAGCTTCCGGTGAAGGCGATTTTCTACGCTCAGCAGACCAAACGTTATCATCTGGCCGTGGATATGCCTGCTGGTTGAGATCGTACTGGGTATTTCGCCGAAGTTTCTCAAGTATTCGAGGGATAAAACCCTCCTGACTGTCCCAAGGCGAATCATAGGCAAGGGGAACCTGAGAACTGCGTCGCTGATAGGCAGATGAGCTAATGGAGCTTCCTGGGCGGATTTTGCCAGTAGAAGTCGAGCCATTGGTTGCTCGACGCTCTTGAAGGTAAAGATTAGTGCAGTAGAAAGGATCTTTGTCGAAAATACTGTCGTCACACGGTATGGCTATGGGCTGGGGAGCTTGCCAAGCAGCTTCTGGAGACGCGGGAGCCCTACCACTGTGTGCATCGACTCCTCGACGGTATAAGTCAGATGTCGGGGCTTGAGTAAGTTGTTCAATTTCAGCGGGTGGGTTGAGCCAGTCGTTTGTGCAGTGACGTGGGCGTAGCTCGGGGAACGAGGTTATGTTTGACTCCTCATCAGTCGATCGAGATATTCGCTTCTGAAAAGAGAGGTTCGATGACAGTGATTCCAACCGGTTTGTAAGATACCGTGTCGTCGTTTCTTCGGGGATCAGAGTACCTTGAAATTGAGCAGACTTGGATATAGGCTGCCTTTGTATGCGTTTGTGATTTGAAGGTTTGTTGGATGCCTTTGCAGACGACCTGGAACGCGATGGCCTGTTAGCGCCAGTCGATATATTTTCTGACCACACTATCTCGGATACGCTCCCACGAGACAATATGGTAGTTGTTGTTGACAAGTCATCTTTCAAATAGCCTGCAGATAGTTCTGTACTGTTCCATTTTGTGTGAGCGAAGAACGTCTTTGGCACACTGATGGTGGTTGCGGGTTCAGCGACGGCAGAGAGACGCGGGGTGATGGAATTTCTCTTTCTATCGAATTCCAGAAGCATGGGACTGCTCTGGCTTGGATTCTTATCTGAAATGTTTTCACGTTTGATGCTGTCTTGGTATGCCGCCTCCTGTTGAAACGTATCTAGTACAATCTTCACAACTTCTCTGATGTCGGTTTTGTTGACAAAGTAAAGATGATTTCCATCGTCGACTTGGATCTCTGATTCACCGCCAAGCTTCACGGATGCGTGATGAAGTCGTCTAGGTCGCAGATGGTCCTGGACTTTGGTTTCCGCCTGCTTCACGGCGTTTTGACAACGGACGCAGTCGCTAAAGGCAGATCCACGAGACGCCTGGTAGATCAACGAGCCTGATGGTCCATATTGGGGGACTTTTTGATCGCCCGAAGCTCTATGGTAGATATTCGAACAGTGATTGTGATAGGTTCGTGGGCCATTATCTTTGCTAGGGCCCATCACTTAGTTTTGATTGGAATTCGTCTGCTGGAATGCTGCCAAGGGCAATACGCCTTTTAGGTTCTGCGTGAATCAAGATCGTCTCGGTCGGATCTCAACGTCAAGTGGTTGAGTAAGCTCCATAGGGTACAAGAATTTGTTTTGTAGTGGGATGTATTTTGAGCTTGTTAGAGAACTGTTGCCTCACGATAAGTTCTGGCACGACAGCAACGTGCTACCTCCGCTCCTTCCAGCTCTTGGTCGTTGCACACGAAGGTAGGGAACAGCTTTCAGACTCAAAATACTACCTGAGTATCTAGGCGGTTTATGCATACGCATTGTTCATATAACTTTTTTGACCTATGCGGGTGTTATTCTAAATGTTGTCTGGCGCCGTTTATGCTAGTCGAATACGACTTTTGAACCAGCGAATGCTACCGCCTTTTGAGACTCCTTGGCCTTTTTTCTCGCCTCCCAGCTTGGATGCAATTTCCCTTCGTCATCTCTCTTTGCGACGGGCGCTGGCGCACCATCACCTCTCATGCCATTCCTTGCAACAGGGTTTTGTATCCCTTTCTTCCAAGGTGTCCCTCGTCCCCGGTCCTCACCATCAACAGCACCCCGGCGCATATCCCAACCAGAGTCTCGGCCACTTTTCTTCTGTGGCTTCTGTAAATGCTTGGCTCCAGAGCCATACTTCTGCTCCCAAATAGCCTGGCGTGCACGTTGTCCACGACGATTCTTTGGTTTAGCTTCTTCAATGTCGGAAGCGGACTCGGATCCCGAAATATAACCACCCATGAGCGATGGAAGAAATGTGGAATCCCTGACGGGACCCGTCTTAGCGGACGCCTTTTTATCCTTCTTCTGTTTCTTCTCGGGAGGAGGAGACAGAGATTGAGACGAGGCCTGCGATACAGACTCCGCTTCAGACTCTTCCCCAGAGCCAGACACCGAAATATCATCCAAGTTGACAGTTTCTCTGCCTCGAAATTGGGCATACTTGTCGCTACTCCAGTCATCCTCTTCATCAGATGAGCTTCCTAGCAAGCCATCAAGCTTGTCAAACTCAGTCACCTCTTTCACCTCAGCATCACTGTCAAGTTCCTGTTCCTCAAGCACTGAGCCAGGATCGTCCACGTCTGTACTAAACCCCTCGAATTCGGACTCTTCATCCCACTCGTCCGCCGGGTTTTCACTAGGCGTCGCAAATTTCGTTTCGTCGGGAAGCTTCTCTGCCCGAGCCGAAGGCTGCTCCTCCCCGTCTTCCTTTTTGTTTTTGCGTGTCCGCCTGTCGTTCTCGGGGACAGGAACATTCAACACACCGCAGACAGCCTCGACAGCTCTCCCCACGACCTGCTTCACCGGTTCACGGTTATAAAGCCCACTCGTGACATTATGGAGCGCTGCTTTTTCATCTTCTGGCAAGTCGGGCTTCGATACTCCTCGCAGGAGCTCTTGAGGAAGGTCTGCTGAGGAGGCGATAGACTTGACCTTGAGAAGCGATAAATGCAGGTGCGCGCGAGCGGTTTGATGTAGATCGAGAGACTGAATGCACATGAATATTAGTTCTATGCTATAGCACTTTCGGGGCTTCTCCAAGCACTCACCTTGAGAACTGCAATTTCTCTTTCTAGACGATGGACCTTGTCCTGTGTGATGCCCGGGTCTCGCAGTCTCTTGCTAAGCCGTTGCCTCTCAAAGCCCTTTGAGGCTTTCAAGGCTCTAAACACTTCATCCTGATACTTTTCAAGTTCGGCATGTACGCTCGATTGGCCGCTGCGCTTTCGTTTCGGCATGTCGTCGATTAAACCGCCTGTTATGCAATGTTCACCATAAACTAGCACCACTTTGGAAACGCGAACAAAAAATATCATGGTGTGGATAAAACACAGGCACTGTGACGGGGCGTTGGGTTATCGGCGCTATCGCACCTTGAAATACAGTGCGAGTATTGTCGCGCCCTGTGACATCGTGGCGACATGGCTTAGCGGAATTCCTTAGCTCCGTACTATTAATAATTACCATTGTCAGGAGCGGGGGATGGCGATATTTATTCAATTCAATAAGTGTCCATAGTCTGCGGCATTCGCTGTAGAATATATCAAAACTTCACTTCCAAACGACGTGGAGTCGCTTTGCTTCAACCAGAGAGCCGACATGTCTTCCCAACCAGACAATGCTTCCCTTTCAGCCCTAGACTTGTTCAACGTGGACGGTCTTGTTGCATTCATCACCGGGGCTGGGACAGGTGAGGCCCGGGCCTATCAATACTTGACTTTCAAGACATGAACTCGTCAGCAGTCTAACTGCGGCATCACAGGTATCGGGCTTATGTTTGCCAAGGCATTGATCAAGAATGGTGCTGCCAAGGTATACATTGCAGGTAGACGTCTAGAGGTTCTCGAAAAGGCCGCTTCCTCCATTGGACCAAATGCAATACCCGTACAATGCGATGTTACATCCAAGGAGAGTCTTCGGGAAGCGGCCAAGTTGGTCGAAAAGGACTCGGGATACCTGAACATTTTGATTTGCAACTCTGGAATTACCGGCCCATCAGCCCCGGCCGTGTCTTCTGAAACGACTCTGGAGGAGTGGGCAGACGGCAACTTTGCTCGGGACGTAAATGAGTACGTCGATACGTTCGCCGTCAACACAGTTGCGGTATGGTACACCACCATGGCGTTCTTGAAGCTGCTTGGTCGGGGGAACGAGAAGAAGAATGTCACGCAACAATCCCAGGTAGTCATTACCAGCTCGATTGCCGGCTTCAACAAGACATCCACTGCCGGTTGGGCTTATGGACAGTCAAAGACGGCGGCGATCCTAGCATCGAAACAGCTTGCGACGGCTTTGCCCCGATGGAACATACGGTGAGTCCCTGATGCTCGGTGGCTGCCCGGTTATTTTGTTGCATTTTTTTTCCCTCTGACGTATTCCTTGTATTTCACGTGTAGGGCGAATTGTATTGCCCCTGGAAGTAAGTGTTCTCGGCCATGAAAATGGACCTCCGACTGAGTTTGCTCGGATATCGAGGCTGACTAGCTTCGTCTAGTATTCCCGAGTGAAATGACAGACTCCGTCATCCAGCAATACAGGGGTGAAGCAGGAGGATATGGCGTAGTCCCGACCACAATGATTCCCATGGGAAGGCTTGGCGAGGAGGCAGACATGGCTGGAACTATCCTGTATCTAGCATCAAAAGCGGGCTCATACTGCAATGGCGTCGTCGTAGTCCTGGACGGGGGACGTCTAAACACGTTTCCGTCAATCAATTAGACGGGCTGTATGATGTCTCTTTGGACGGTTTGTACCTCTAATCTGCGCTTGATTATCCACTAGACAACATGGCAAGGGATATCGCGGGTGCAGAGTCAGGGCCTACACGGATGTGAAGCAGCAGGGCCCGCAACCAAGGCCAAAGGGTTAGGTAACGCAGAACGTCAAGTTGAGTAAAACGTAGTCTCTGATTGAACAAGATAAACGTCATCACATCCTTGTACCAACACACGTGGGGCCGGAAGCTGGTCTTGACCGGTTTCTGGAGGGTGTTGTGTGTTCTAGATGTTGAGGTCGTCGGAGATCCGACAAGGCTGGATCGGCCACCGGCGGCATTAGCGCTGTTAAGCCGCAGCCCAACACCAGAAGAGGCGGCAGACGATGTCTGAGCTGTGATATTACTCGATTGCAATTACGATATGCTTTTTGGGCATGGCCATGGATCCACAGACGTAGTTGAGGCGATTGTCAAGGACGCTAGGCGTGAGCCAACTTGGATTCCGAGCTCGGGACGGGAATATGTGCCATATAACACGGCATTTCTGTTAGTACCCAGTCATATTAGTGCTGCAATCGCAAAATTACCGAATGATGGGAAATTTGGTGGTCTGCTGTAGCCCTGTCGGCGCGAGGTGCACAAACTTGGGCTTGTCGGTTCGGAAGAAGTCGGCCAGGCCACAGCCATGGCCACAGCCGACGGACGTCTTGTGGTGAATCGCTCGGAAATCAGACCGGTCACGATAAGGTTGCTCAAACAAGGCGTAGCCGGACGCTACCTCCGCATTCCCGATACAATTTCCGGCGACAGAGACACGGCGTGATTTGCTTTCCGATGGTTGATTGTCCGTCGTGGGCCGGGCCTGCGCCTGGTTGTGGATGGAATTGGGCGATTTGACGCGCTGGCTCAACAAGAAAAAAAGAGGGCCTTGAAATACCAAGAGCCTGGAACCCTGGCAAACCTAGCCAAGCCGTCGCTTGCTGAGCAGCTGCATGTGCTTATTCGTCGCCAACGTCATTGGTGGTTTGGGTCTCAGGTGCTGGCAGAGCTTCTCCCTGCCGCGCTGGGATATCCACCGACATTAGGAGCAGGGCTTCCGGGTCAAAACGCATGGGAATGCGCAGAGGCATAAAATTGGTTCAGTGCGAAATCGGATACCCTTGTGCAGCATTTTTTTTTTAAAGCAAAATAATCGTAATAAATAAGTTGGCCATTTTGGAGTCTGGAGCACAGCGAGAGCCGAGGGTAGTGAAGCGTAAAGGTGCCAGGCGTAGTCCTTGGCATTGGACAGATGGATCCACTTCGGCAGCTTCTGACGGGCCCCGGAAGATTGTCACGCACTTGCAGACATGGAGACTCAAGTCCTGCGTGGGGCCACTGGAGCTTCCATCTGCAGCGATGGCCCCGCCTCTAGACGCCGGAATGCCACTGAATTGTGCCGTCGTCAACATTGAAGGCAAATCAAACACATGCCCTTACAAGAGGCAGTTGCACCGCAATCGCCTCGTATGTCAGTTGGCATGGTAGCTTGTCCATATCGCCTGAAACCAAAGGTCGACACAGCCCGGGAGATGCGCGACACGGCCGTGTGAAGCTGGGCATGCACCAGCGGTGGGCAGGACGGGATGAGATGATGCAGGCCTGCAACGTTTCCTGCTTTGCGCATGCCGTAAGGCGTAGTCACTATGGTGGTGTTTTCCGGCGCCAGTGTGTCCCCAATAATCATGGCAATTGCCAATAATTTCGGACCAGAGCGTTGCTTTCATCTTTTAAATGCATGAAGCGTGCCGTGTTGATAGTACATACACGGTCTGGTCTGATAGTCCACCACACCAAGTTTGATGCCAGCAATTGACTTCAGATTGTTGGCTTCACATCCCCGCCAACGGACCAGGGCTAGGTAGTTCCCCCTTTGAGATTCTAGAATTACCGCCAGAAACGAGGACAAATAGATTTTCAATGTTCCACATACTCGCACGCCCCCATTGTACATAGTTGTCAACTGTATCCTTTCTTAAACGGGATCCGGCTACGGGCCATGACGGAGCCAGCAGTTCATCCACCTCATGGGTCGTTGGCCCCAACCTATTACATCCCATGTATCAATGGCCAAGATATGCCTACTCCGTGCCTTTCAACGCCGAGCATGAGCATCACTGAGCCGGTCCAGCCACGGCGGCACCACGCTACAGCATGTAAACCCCTCAGCTAATTGCAGGTGATACATCTCAGGTTGCCTAGACCGTCTCTGGTCAATCATTAACCTGATGTGTGACCGCACACCCAAAACACCTGGATCCGACCTACTTCTGGCAAGGTTCAAACGTTGGTCCAGGTTCGTGGTGGAGGGTGGGCAATGGATGGAAATCAACTACGCCACAAGCCTCCATCCATCGCATCCCACAGCATCCCGTCGATGCCAACAAAGTAAACTTGGGGGGCGTGGTCCAACAAAACTCTCCGACTCTGTACAGAGCGGCGTGTCACGCGTATTACACCTTGGTCTCGCCGTTGAATCTATTTATCCCCCTCGTCCCCGCCCCCGAAGCCTGTGCAAGGCGTCTTCTGCATATTCTCCAGAATCCCTTCTGCAAGTGCCATTGCCGTGCTGTTCGGCTTGTTCGGTCTTCTATCGGTGTTCCGTCATCGCATTTGCTTCTGCGCTTGCTTGTGTCTCTCTGCCTCGTGCGCAAGGCGTCTAGTGTCATTCAGGCTGCTGATCCCGGATTCTTTATTGACGTCGTCATTCGTCCAAGTCGGTCGAGCTGCCGCAGCTGTCAGTGCTACTTACACGACGACGAGCCGGCCGCCCGCGTTCGATACCCATTGACGGTGCCGTGTGACTCTCCTGTGGCTGTTGCCAGTGCAATTTCCTCCAAGTTTAGGATTGCCCTTGGGGTCCAAGTCATTTCGCGTCCAAAACCAAAAGAAATAAACAAGAAAATAGACTCCGTTTAGGCCATTTTCAAGCGCACCAACCGAATTGCCGTTGGTGTCATTACCTTGGCTCTGGGTACTCGGTACATCGCAGGCAGGAGCAACCCCGCAAAACCACCTGCGCACCTCCTCCTTGTCTCTCGACTGCTTTCCCAGCTTAGAAACCTGCGACGACCCCGCCTCGCTTTCCCGATAGTGGCTGCTCGCGTGCCCTCGGTTCCGCGCACTCGAGTTTGCTACAAATTCCCGCCTCTTCTCGACTGCTTCGTGTTTTCTGTTGGCATTCTGTTGCCAGCTTGACTGCGCTTTGTATAAGTCCCGGCTTTACTCCTTTTCGCTCTGATCCTGGTAAGTCATTCCCCATCATGGCTCTTCCGGACCCATACCGGCGAGAAACCCCAACATCAGCCAATGTCCGACAGCAAGCGGAGTCACTTCTGGATCCACCATCGCCGGCAGTAATGGAGCTCTTCCGACGGCACGGGAGTTGGGCAATGCGTGCAGACCTCGGTGAAGGACTTGCTTACTTCTGCAATTGACGAAATTGCCCATCCTTTACTCCAAAAATGGTTGAGCGGTTTTTGGTAATGCGGATTCCGAATGCCGTCGACATCAAGCGATGTTGTTTAGTGGCGAACTTCAGTCTTTCCGCGGCATTATAGCCCCTCGGTGACAAAAACTGCTGCAAAGAAATGATGTCTTGAGCCTCATTCTTGACGAGCTACCCAGCCTTCACATATACAGTGAAATTGCAATCTAACATATGCGGTTTTTGTCGTTAGCTTTTTCGGCTCACGGCCCCCGTGTCGCGTCTCTCGACCTCAGAATTCTCGGAATTCTTCACATTTCGAAACCCTGGCCGTGACAGAAAGATTGGAAGTCTTCAAACAGACTCCGAAATGGCTGGCGGCTCACTGAAGCAAGCAGCTGAATCAGCCCGGAACAAGACTACTGAAGTCATGGGTGTGGCTAGGGCCGACGGAGCGGCCGTCGCTCACGATCTTCTGCACACCCCGTGGATGAGAGCAGCTCTTCCCTTCATCAATGGTGGTCTCAGTGGCATGGTTGCTACCACTGTCATTCAGCCAGTGGACATGATCAAAGTCAGAATTCAACTTGCTGGCGAAGGCACTTCGGGCGGCCCCAAGACCAGTCCTATCGCGGTTGCTCGGCAGATTGTTGCTAGTGGCAGGGTCCTTGACCTTTACACTGGTCTGTCTGCGGGCCTCCTGCGACAAGCCGTGTATACAACCGCGCGCCTGGGATTCTTCGATACTTTTATGGGTTCGCTGACCACTAGAGCCAAGAGTCAGGGTCGTGATGTCGGATTTGGTGACAGGGCTACTGCTGGCCTGGCTGCAGGAGGTGTGGCCGCAATGTTCGGTAATCCCGCCGATCTGGCTCTTATCCGCATGCAGAGCGATGGCTTGAAGCCTCTAGCTGAAAGGAAGAACTACAAGTCTGTCATCGATGCTCTATCCTCAATTGCCAGGAGTGAGGGTGTTGGAGCCTTGTGGGCTGGCGCAGCACCAACCGTCGTCCGTGCCATGGCCCTCAACTTTGGACAGCTTGCCTTCTTTAGTGAAGCCAAGGTCCAACTCAAGAAGAATACCGATTTGTCAGTGCGAGCTCAGACGCTAAGCGCTAGTGCTATTGCCGGTTTCTTTGCCAGTTTCTTTAGTTTGCCATTCGATTTCGTCAAGACTCGACTGCAGAAGCAACAGAAGGGTCCCGACGGGAAGCTTCCCTACAAGGGTATGGCTGACTGCTTCACCAAGGTGGCTAGGCAAGAGGGTCTGCTACGATTCTATCGTGGCTTCGGTACATATTATGTCCGCATTGCCCCTCACGCGTAAGTCTATCCTGACATGATTCGTTGAGCCATGCATGGCTTCTGACACTTGACAGGATGGTGACTCTAATCGTTGCCGACTATCTGGGATGGGTAACCAAATAAATCAAGTTACTTTGACTTTGACTTCACGGCGTTAAAGGGAGGTGATGGCTTGTGTGCGTTTTTGCGTGGGATTTTCTGTCGAATACCAACACTCGAGTAGAGTTTTGT